CAGAATCCTCTGTACAAGAACCTCTTCTTGTACAGGTGTAAGACGGCGATTTTTGGAGATAGCACCGCGTTGTGGAGGAATACCACGGGCGCGACGCGTAACCGTCTTTCTGGGCACATCGTATAGTTTCTCAACGCCTCGGAAGGATGTAATTTGGCCGGTCTTGTAGGCTTGAACGCCTAGAATAACTCTGCCTTCTTGAAAGATGGCTTCTTGTTGTTGTGGTGCTGCCATTGGGGTGGTTGTTGGACGACGCGTCGCGTGTTGAGTTGGGTGGGCCACTAGCTTGTGCGGGCCACTAACTTGTGGATTACGTTAGTTAGACTCTTCCACAGGTATCGGGAATTTCCGATCGCTAGTATCCGATCCCAAGTCTTTCTCCGATAACGATAAGTAAAAGAGCTTCGCAATTTTCCGATGGCAGTGAAGCATTAACGCTACTCCAACGTATCTCTTATGAGAATAGAAATGGCTGTACAAGACGGACTTGGGTATTTGAATGCTTTCATGGCACCTTTTCTCGAAATATACCTCATTCCATAGCACATCTCGGCGATTCCAAGCTTCGATTTCCAGTATACATTCTTCTATCGCTGAAAAGAGGACCAGCCATCATGCAACGCTTCAACCTTACCGCCACCGGTTACAATCTCAACTATCTCCCCGAGTACATCGCCCTTCGCCATGGCTTCTTCCGCGAGCAAGGACTCGAAGTCACAGTGACCATCCCTACGCCCTGGGACGGCGTGCTCGACGCCCTCGAGAACGGCACAGCCGACATGGCTCTTGGCGGTATTTGGGTCCCGTCAATGTACCGCGACAGGGTCCAGAACTACCCTGTGTTTGCGCAAATCGCGAATCGCTGCCCTCTGGCCATACTCAAACACGGCCCTCCTGAAGGGTTTGGCAGCCAGTTAGAATGCTCCTACGCACGTCTGTCTACGCGTCTCAGCTGTACAGGGTTCACTTCTCAGTTGGACAAGGTTCACCTGTTGTTTTGTCACCGTTGCTGCCTGCAACCCCTGGTCTCTCTTCACTATATAGCCACTCGTTAGCACCTCAATACAACTCATGCTTTCCTCACTGATCCTTTGCCCTTCCTACGCCAGCTGCCAGGGTTTAAGCTGGCCGATATGGCTGGGAAGACGGTTCTGATGAAGTCAGGCGGCGGGGCAAGCGTTGGCCTGTTCTTCAAGATGCTGCTGCGCGAGAATGGCATCGACGCAAGGTCCGTCGACTACATCCAGGACCTCGACGGTGTAATGCTGGGCAACTTGTTCCAAGGTGGGATGGGCGATTACTTTGTTACAGACAACCTCTCTGCCCTGGCTATGGCTGCGCGCAATCCTAAGGTCTCAATTGCGATGCAAACGGTCACGGAGGGCGACATCCCTTGGAGCGTGTACTACCGGGAGACGGCCACAATCAACGCTGAGGTTCTAGATGCGCAGAGGCGATTCTGCATCGCCCTGGAAAAGGGCATAGCCTGGGTGCTCCAGCACGACGCAGAGAAGTTCAGAGATGAGCTCGCAGAGCTGTTTCCCGCTGTCCCAGTCGATGTCGCGGTCAGCGTGACCAACGCCTTCCGTCACGACGGCATGTGGACATCTACCTCTGTGTCCCGCAACGGATTCGAGCGGTGGCAGCTGGGGCTCCGCGATGCGCGTCTGGTCGAGGAGCCAATTGCCTACGACGACATTGTCAACGATGGACCCGCGGCCGCAGCGCAGATAGTAGCGCAGACTGCGGCGGATAACGTAAAGCAGCACCTCCTCGCTCAGATTTCAATAGCAGTAGTTTATATAGCCAACATACTCAATCTGATTTATCGTTTCTAATATCAAGTTCAGTTACCTCTAGTCGTGATTCGATCCTACCCACCTTCAACAAGTCCAATTTTCGTCTCTGATACTCAACTACTTTCTCAGCACATAGTTTTCTTTCATGTACACACTCACACTACCAAACTCGTAACACTACATTTTAGGGTATAAATTTTGCGATAACTCGTACGCGTTGCACGTGATTCGCTTGCTAATCTAAGTAATGCATGGCCTTTCGACAGAAGCAGACTGTCACGTGATATTATATGAAGTAAAGTTTTAGAAAATCACATCGACTTTACTTGTTTAGCCTAGAGATAGAATAATAGATATAACTATGCTGCTTATTTTACAAAAATGAATCAGATCCAAAGTCGATGCCCGATCCTGTCATAGGAACAGGTCGCCAAAGTTCATGCCCGGGAACTCAGGCCACTGAGCGGAACTAAGCATCTCGCCAAAAGCAAAGTTGTCGGTGGAGAGCATAGTTGACATGTCGTAGGCGCTGTCTCCGCTGGTGAACATACCTCCACGAGGGGGCTGCAGTTGTAGCAGTAGATCCTCTACTTGTTTCTCACCGGTTTGGCGTGTTTTCTCGGCGTCATTGGGGACTAGCCAGTCGGTTGTTACCGAAGAGAGAGTATCAAAGATATCGCGACAGCCTGCAGCGCCCTGGAAGGTTTCTGACATGGCAGAGAGCGTTGAAGCGCAGGATTGAAGCGTTGAGATGCTATTACTGACGGGATTCCGGTCTCGTATCTCTTTCGACTGCCAGAGGCCATATATAATTGTCAAGCCTGCTATGAAGAGATCATGGACCGACTTCCACAGCACATCGAGTTTCCCCTCTCGCTGTAGTGTCTTGATGCCTGAGATTAGGTTGCAGGCGACCTCATAAGAAATGGACAATGCTTCTGGAGGCTGTTGTTGGACGCTAGAATTGGGCCGGTACAGCAGTAGGATCGAGTTATTGTAAATGGCATCCCAGTAAGTCTGATACGCGAATATGGAAGATGGGTGTGCTTTACCAGGGTTCGGAATAGTGCTGTACCATTCCTGCAGACGAGGTTGGATGTCCTGGACACACATTGCGAAGTTTGGCTTGGGGTAGGCTTTCTTTAGAGGCGAGGCTTGGCTGTGCTGTACATGCTTGATTTCCGATTCGAGCTTTGCCATGCTGAACAAGTGGTTGTGAGCTCGTTGGTGGTGAATGTTAAAGTCGTTGGTCTCGTGGTCAAGGGGCCGGCGAGATGCCGCCTATTGATTTGGAAGCTGCACCCGAGTGCTTTCGTCGTTGATGCCAAAGGAGCGACCGAGCGTGATGCCCAATACACGGTCAAAATGGTAGGCAGAGTACCATAAGCGCCGGCGATCATTCAACAATGCTGAATCTGCATCGAGAAACTGTCCTTCAGTTTCCCAATACAGGCCCATGTCAATGCACAATCGTAGGGCGATGCCAATTAGATGCCATAAGCTCCCCTGCCAGGGGCACATTGAAACAAATTGAGCCAAAAGGAGTACAGCCCGGAGAGTCTCGAGGTCGCTTTTTGAGCAGGTGATAACCTTATTGATCCAGCCAATCGCGGACCGGAAGCAGCCCTCGCTCTGAATTACTCGACTTGTACCACCAGACGGATTGGGAACGTTGCAGAGGGCGATGGCGAAGATCATGTAGGTAGTGAAAATATCCCTCTCGACTACTCGATTTGCGGGTTGGTGACCGACTATGAAGAGGTAGGCGCTCTCAAGGGCTTCCTCGACCTGTGACCGCTCCATGATTGGTAGATGGGGCGTACGGTACTGGAAGTAGACCTGGACAAGATGATCTGCAGCGTAGCGTTGGGGAAGAGAAGACTCGGGTGCTAGTGCAGGCGCAGACGCAGACGAATATTGGCCATGTGAACGGTCTTTAGGGAATAGAGCAGAGGGTGGCAGGGCGTCGGTGCGGATTGATGCCATAACCATTCTGGCGAGCGTGATGCCACTGCTTGGTCCCAAGAACCGCGGCTGTCTTGACGGCTCAACTACGACGTCCCTGACACTCTTGACCAAATCTTAGAGATGCCTTGAGGTTTCGTTAGAGGTCGCAGATTCTTCTGCAGGAGTGCTGCTGAGTTCGCGTGTTACCGGAGAAGACGGTGCTAACGAAGTATAATCTGCACTGATGACTTGAGTAGGCTGAGTTCGCGTTCGTAGTTCTTGATTTTCCCGATTCAACTGTTCGACCTGCGCCTCTAGTTCGGACACGTAATTGCGAGGTATCTTGCAAGGGTTTAGTGACGTGCGATGGGAGTCCGATCAATTCTCATTGTACTCACTTCGGCATGTTTCCCTGAGTGATAAGTCAAGCACCGGACGTGTGCGCTTTCGCAATTCGAGCAATCGGGATGCTTCAGATCGCACTGCGCGTACACGCAACTATCAGCGACACGATGTTCGGGCTGGAGCGAAGGTCATGATTACTTTCTGCTTTCTCCGACGACACCTGTGCACCTAGTGAGCCACGCCGGCCATGCCCATTCGTCCGACTCACCTCTGACACGCCGTCACCGCTCTCGCAAGCCTCGGACTCGGGCGCGATAGCGAATCCATCTGCGATTTCTGATCTTCACACTTCGAGTTTCGGCATGGAGTTTGCGACTGCGATAGCGATGATGGTAGATGAGGGGTGCCGCTATCAAATAGGGATAAGTCATTTACAATGGTTCTTCGGCTTAAGCCGATCGGTGCACCATTGCTACCTAGGTAATCGAGCACCCATTGGCCGCGCCACACTTGCCTACTGCTATCATGATATGGCCACCAATCATCGCAACTTGGCAGTGCAATAACGACCCCTCCCGAAAGACCACGAAATGGGCTGTATATATTCTGGGAATGCGACCTGGCGACTCTTTCTTCAACAGCTCACTTGCGACATCTCAACCTTCACATCCACATCTTTGCACAATTGTCCCCACTATAGGCTACACAATGGAGTCTAAGCCGACCATGGAAACAAAGAAGTCTGCCCTAGCCGACACTGAGAACCCTGTCGACTATGACTCCGGGGAAGTAAGCTAGGCACAATCATTCACATTGATCCCCTGAAAGAAGCAGCTTGTCGCAAGAAATTTGACAGATATGCCGTGCCGGTTTCGGTCATCTTCCTTGTTCTGTCTACCCTAGACCGAAACAACGTGAGTGAAGCCTTTGCTCCGCGAATCCCATTGTTACTAATAGTTGATCAGCTTGGAAATGCTCGGGTCTTCGGCTTCGACCAAGACCTCGGACTCCATGGCGGCCAGTTTGGCAATATCCAGACGCTATCGAGCGTCAGCACCATTCTCTTTGAGGTCCCTTGGGTCCTGGCTGTCAGGCGCTGGGGTGCTAAAAAATCGATCGGCACTGCATTCGTCCTCTGGAGTATCTTAACGCTTGGGACTGCGTTTATCCATACCTACGGCCAGGCTATCGTCATCCGTATGCTGTTGAATGCCGCTGAAGCCGGCCTTGCCCAGGGTTTCGCCTTTCTATTTTCCACCATCTATCCCCGGGAATTGGCAGGAAAGCGTATAATGACGACGAATCTCGCCCAATGTATCTCCGGTGCTTTTGGTGGGCTGTTCGCATATGCTATCCAGACCATGGGATCGCGCAATGGACTCGCCGCCTGGAGATGGCTCTTCATCATCGAGTTCTTGATTACCATCGTTGTTTGTGGTATTGGCTTGTTCTTCCTCCCAGGCGAGGTTGAATCGGCATGGTTTTTGAACGCCGAAGAGAGGGAAACTATGCGTCTGAAAAAACAGCGAGACTTTATGATCCGAGGAGAGGAAAAATTCGACCGGAAATAGATCAAGATTGCTCTCACGGACCCCTTTGTCTACCTGCTTGGTATAGCTTTCTTTACTTCGTCTGTTGCCATTAACGGATTTGGTGTCTTCCTGCCTACAATTATCGCTGGCCTTGGGTGAGTACCTATGCTCGATAAAAACTTCAAACTCGCTGATTAGGTCTAGTTTTGCCTCTCTTCAGGTCAATTATATGACCATTCCAGTCTATGTCCTTGGCGCCATCACAGGTGAATATACAACATTCTCTCCAGCATCCCACCTTAACACCATGCCACTCCGGGCACCCCCTTAGGCCCGCTACGAGTCCGTAGAGGCTGGTATAGCATCTATCCAGGCCTATGCAAAGGCACAAGTGCGCAAAGTTTTTGTGTAATGCGACTGTAATTGGACGGAGCCCATCTAGGCGCTTTCCGCTTCTAGACTAGCTAGAGTAGATAGAGTGAATAGACTCCTGCATCCTTTCCGTTTTGTGTATGTATACTCTCCATTTTACGCAGCCCTCCGCAGCCTATACGAAGGCAAGCGAGTAAGTTTAATTGGTGGAACAATATTTATACGGGCCGGAGCTAGACTCAGTTTGGGGGGGGCTACACGGAGTAAAAAGGGGGGCTACGATTAGGCTCGCCCTATATCTATCAGATATATCACGTGATAAATATCTTGGCCCGCACTGACCCGGGGGTGCTTAATCATCATATGCAACTTTCTCCGAGATTTGGCGTGTCTCAGTTGTGATGGCGTAGGTGGCTGACTGTTGCCGACCAATCCTCTGCTCTGATCCGATTGGCCCGAGACGACCTTATTACACCCCGCGCGGACTGGGGTGAGTAATTCCATAAGAACACTCTACGCCGGCATTAAAACATTGTACCAAAGAAGATTCACGGCGCATCATGAACTTAGGCCAAGCCCATATCGAATTTAGACTGTGATAAGACTCCTGCAGTCTCTACGATTTAGACGAACATACTGGCTTGGCCCCACAAGGATCTCGCCATGGGAATAAAAGGTTGTTGGACTTGCAAAGGTAAACACCATCAAGAGTGGATAAGCCGCCATACAAACGTTAATGGGCTGATTTCTACTTAGGGCGCAAAGTTCGATGTGACTCTCATCGGCCGAGATGTGGCAACTGCACGAAGGCGGGGCGCGTCTGTCAAGGCTATGGTATCCAGCTGTCCTGGCCTCGAGATGGCGACAGAAAAAGAGCAATCATCTCGCGAGATACGCGCCGCGCAGTGAATAATCTTCATTCAAATGTCAAGACGTTCTTGAATTCATCTTCCTGGGACATATCGCTATCAGAGGAGCTAGAGAACGGAAGGATCTCTGGTGAAAATCACCTCCGATACACCGTCAAGCTGCTTGATACTAACGGCAGTTTCCTGTAGCTCGTTACCTTCGTACCATGAAATTCCCTCGCCCGAACTATCTATCGCCCACCGTCATAAACTCAGAAGAGTCGCATTTACTGGGGTTCTGTATGTAGGGTGACTCTCTAGACCCTAATCGTCCTACTGATCAAAACATCTCAGTCAACGAATCGAGATCACTGATACTAGGACCAACCGACGAGGAGGTTTTGGCACAATTTATCTTGAGAATTGCCTTCTCAGATCCATCCGATGCGACCAATCCAGTCCTACAAGGCGTGTTTGCTCTCGCATCACTACAGCTTCACGGTAGCTTGAAGAGTTTTCGCTACAAGTGTCTTGTCATGTCATCAGTTAAAGAGCCAATCAACTGGCCCGACGAGAAGACGCTGCTTCAGAACTTGATAGCGATGATGCTTTTGTATCATTATGAGGTAGTATAACCCGGTCCACATAGGCTTGCCATGGTCGGCTAATAATCACAGCTCTCACTCGAATCAGACTCCAAAGGGAGCTGGGTAACATTTCTATGCGCAGTGAAAAGGATTATCAACACGTCAACAGCAATTCACAAACTTGTGCGGCAAGAATATTCGGTCTTCCTTGATTGGATTTATTATCACGAGGCCCTCGCAGAGTTCACAGTCAGGCATTGGGCTGTACCTTATGAAGGTTGCGGCTTTGTTCCAATAGCAAGATCACCCAGAGCCATCGAGGGAAGCGGTTCAAAGGTAAATGGAAGCCTTTTGCACATTCTTCTGCATCATCTAACACTGCGGCAGGTAGAGGACAACATCGGCTGTCCAACTGATGTGCTCCAGCTCGTTGTACATACATGTAGACGAGCTATAGTCGCGAATTCCTCCGAGATGAAATATACGAATGCTGAAATGGAGCGCACGAAGGTGCAGGAACAGAACATTTCCAGGGCGGTGGGAGATTATGGCCCCATTCACGCACAATCTGCGGCACCGATAGACCGGAATACCATGGTCTCCGATCTTCATCGAATCGCGTCCTTGATATATGTCAATCGGGCGGTCCATTGCGTTTCAGGAACAGAATTCCATCATAGACGACTTGTGAGAGAAGGAATATTGCTGTTGACCGACATGAAAACATGCCAGAACGCCTGGCCATTGTTCATTATCGCCTGCGAAGCAGTTGACGACGATCAGCGCCTTGCTATCCTGGACGTCTTTGAACAAAGTCAGCAGAATCGAAGACGAAGATCAAGCCACATTCATTTTATTCAGCATTTGGTTGAGGCTGTGTGGAACCAGCATGATCTCAATGTGGAGAACCAAGTCGATTATTTAACTATTTTCGATGCGGTTGTTGGTGGAGTTCCATTCATGCCACCATTTGCCTGAGTTCGCGTCTCGGCCCCATCACTTCCATTCACTGTCCTGATATTCTATCAAGATAGATCCATTCAGCTTCCAAACTAGAACCACTCATCATCATTTCCGTGATGCGTCAGAAATTTCCCACTGTTCGCTTCCGTCAAGTTCTGAATCACCTGAAGCATAGCGGTGACTGATTCATCTACCGGAATCGGTCCATTAACGCTTGGGTCGATCTTGTGAAAGGCACTTAGCATGAATTTGCGTATCTCCGGGTCGCCTGTGACTGCTTGAGCTGTTCTGAAGTCAGTCATCTGTGCCGACACGATTCGCCTTGCGTATTGACTGACCAGCATCTGTGTTTACCCATCCTGGACTCATAGACAGTGTCTTGATGCCATCTTGGGCTAATTCAATGCCGAACTTGGTGGTGACCATGTTCATGCCAGCCTTGCTGATAGAATATCCCAGCATGGTAGGTAGGCCAGAGATACGAGTGACCTCAACGTCTCCACTCTGACTGGAAATGAATATGATCTTCTTCTCTTTGCCGTTACGAACGAGATCGAGGAAGGAGTGGATGACGTAGATGTTGCTGATCAGGTTGTTTTTGATCTGGGAGCAGTCAATTTTTACTGTTATCGCTCATGTGCTAGCTGAAGGATCATACGTTCTCATTAATCTCCTTCTCCAGCGCTTCTTCCTTGCCACGACTGCACTGTGTCAGCAATTTGAACTCTCAAGCGCATTAGGACCGTTCACTCACAAGGCACTTGGCGGTAGCGCGTTGGTATCTGGCCCTGCGGAGCCAGCGTTGAGAATCAAGACATCAAGCGAACCGGCTGTGACTTTAGAGACTTCAGCGGTAGCCTGATCCAACTTCCTCGGGTCGGAGATATCGGTCACTACAATATGGATGTTTTTGCGCTTTGCAGCAAGCTTCTCAAGCGGACCGGCAGTTCCTCGACTTCGAATGAGGGCAAACACTTGGTTCTTCGGATCGACAGACTTTGGCGGCACAGTCAGTGGCAGGCATTTGCCATGACTACAATTGTAGCGGTAGACTTACAAGATTATTGACGAAGCCGAACTGCAAAGATGATCTTATTAGCATTTGAGGATGTGGTTGTGTTGACCTGGGGAAGCTTACGCCAATGCCTCGCGTCGCGCCGGTGATAGCCCAGGAAACCATTTTCAGTTTCGTCGATATTAGGCAGCGATAAATGACCAGTATAGAATGTTGAAGAGGTTTAGGATAATATGGATCGTTTTACTCAGTTCGTTTGGTTGTAGTGATGCAACGACAGAAGGGGAGGCTGTCGCATCCTCTTATACCCATCGTAGGACACATCGCGATGTGCCATGGGAGTGAGAGGTATCCGGTCGAGTATACTATAATCACTGGAAAGTATTTGCGAAGTAATATTAATAATTCATGTTTGGAGTGTTTGTTGATAATGCGAGGCAACTTTCTCCGAGCAAAACGCGCTGGCGGTAGACCCCTGGAATATGGCGTAAGCCGCGTCCGAGCAACCCCTTTTAACGTAGCCGGATAGCATGTGGCCCAGGATAGCATGTGGCCCACCCCATCAAATTCTCCGGAAACGCGACGCGTGATACAACTACAACCTCAATGCCTCCACCACAACAACAAGAGGCCCTTCATCAAGAGGGCAGAATTCTTCTATCTATCAATGCCTATAAACAAGGCCAAATTACAAGTTTCCGAAAGGCCACTAGCACGTACGATGTGGCCAGAACAACAGCACGGCGACGCGTCAATGGTATCCAGCCAAAACGTGGCTCAGCAGCACCAAATCGCCGTCTTACACAAGCACAAGAAGAGGTCCTCAAGCAGTGGATTCTATCGATGGATCAACGCGGTATGCCGCTAAGAATCGCGACCGTACGGGAGATAGCTGGCGTCTTAGCCACGCAGCGTGGGGATACAAGACCTATTGGCGAGAAGTGGGCACGGCACTATACAAGCAGGCTAGGTAGCTAGCACTATCACAGAACAACATACGGGCAGGATTCGCAGCTACTGGGCTAGTTCCATACAGCCCTGATCGCGTGCTATCACAGCTGCATGTTGAATATCAAACGCCATCACCCCAACGCCGTCCACAATCAAAAGCTTCATCTTGGGCTGCTGAGACACCTTATAATATTGAGGAGCTTTAAAAGCAAAGGGCCTTAATACAACGGTTAATTAGGCAGCGCACGCATAGCCTACCAAGCCCAACAAATGATGCAATTCGACAACTTGCGAAAGGATGTGAAATCGCAATGTTAAGGACTGTGCTGCTTGAACGCGAAGTTGAACAGCTACGCAAAGAGAATCAGCGCCAAAAAAAAGAGGGCAAAGAAACGCAGGTATATAGGTAGAGGAGGTGTTCTATTAGGAGCAGAAGGAGCTGCTCTCGCACAAGCTGCCCAAGAAGGGGCAGCAGAGGGGGCAACATCAGGGCCAGCTGAGCGACGGCAGCGAGCACCACCAAAGTGTAGCTTGTGCGAATCATTAGAGCACAACGCTCGTACGTGCCCTAGACGCCAGGCAACTAGCTAGCAGGTAGCTACACCAAATACAATTCGTTGTGGTTGAGCAATTCGCAATATTTGGCGTTGTGGTTTGGTGGGGTGGGCCACATGCTATCCTGGGCCACATGCTATCCGGCTACGTTAATAGTGATTAGCGGCTGATAAATCTCCGTCTTAGTGTTAAAAGAATAGTTGGTGTTCGTCAGGCAATATATAATATAAGGCGTTGATCCGTACAGTTATGCTAAATGAGCCGCTTGCCCCCCTAAAACTAAGGGGTATCGCCTGTTTATCCTATAGCGCTAAGCCTACGCACTAATCTGCCCTATCTAGGCTAATCTGACTAATTAGCAGCACCACGCAGCGTGCAACTAATCGGACTACTTAGAAACAGTCTGAATCTAACCAATTGTTACAACCCGTAACACGAACAGTCCGAGTACTGAGGTACTCGAGGAGACAAGTAAGCAGATTAGATTGATTACGCAGGATCAGATCACGGGACCTTGAGGAGCGAGGGTTGGCCGTATAGGAATCTTGGATTCCCCCACGGACTGCTGGTGGACGGGAACGATCTAAGAATAGGAACATCACGGGACAGAGGTCACGTGCTGGCTCGTAGAGGGATCGAACGAGCAGGGCTCGTTGGACGAGTCCACGAGCACATGGGTTTCTTAGGAGTTAGCTTTTGTACTTAAGCACACTTGTTTATGTAGATAGGAACCTTGTGTTTAACTTAAAACTTTAATACTACCTATTAAAAGTAACCTATTTTATGCCTAAAACTAATTTGCCTTACCTTTTAAAGACTATTACACCCTAATTGTAATGGAAGAGTGCACGGCAGGGAGCTCGTAGATGGAATTGACGATTTCGTGTATTGAGAGACGAATCCTTGAGGAATCGTGATGCGTGGCCTGGGGCCCCCCTCTCCCTTAAATATCCTCCTACTATCCTGCAATACATATCAGAGGTATGAAAAGCAACCAGCCTACCCTTATAACCTCTCCACCGCTCCTACTCCCACAAATCCTCCCTCGCTCAAGTCCCCAAGACCGCCCTCCACACCCAACAACCATTTTCCTTAAAGCCTCACTCACCAGCTGTTACTCCATCAAGAGCAAAAAGTGAGCTTGTATCCAAGAATACCCACCACATTCACCCAAACCGCATGCTTCCTCACTCCTCGAATCCCGACAGCCGAATTACCGTCAGTGATCGGTACCAAAAGGCGCAAAAAGGCCCCCTAACTATGTGCCTTCAAAATCGCTTAACTACTAAAAAAGACTCTGGAGAGATGGAACCGAGATCAAGAAGCAGCCATCACAACAGCACCACGAAAGCACCGCCGAGCCATTCAAGCCGCAAGGAGAAAATAGATACATATCCTGAAGGCTTCAAGTCGGGCTCCAAAAGCCTGTCAACTATCCAAGGGCTAGTTTTCGTCGCATCAACGATACAAAGGAATGAGCATATGCGTCATCGTCCGCCTCGAATCACACTACTCGGAGACGCTAGCGGGCCGAGCCTTCCTTCAACCTTACGTTTGTGCAGATACACGAAATACAAGCAATACGCACATCACAGTCATCTCGATTGTCATGGGCAGGTAATTTCATTCACACTGCCAAACGGTCTTTACAGTACATTTTCGCTCGACGCTATCTAGGTAGAGGTTTGGCCGTTTATGGGTAGGGGTTTCGGCCAGCTATGCCAACGTTCTACAACACAACCGATGCTTAAGCAAGGATTGCTCCTAGTAGGAGGCCAGTTTCGTGGCGAAGAATGTGGTTTCGAGTTCCCCGTCATCCTGAGTACTGGCACTTTATTGAAGCAGTAGTTCTGCATCTGAGCCGATCCAGCCAGTCCACTGCGACCGCACCTAGAACTCATTGTCATCACCGCCGGCGATAATAACGTTGTTGACCTATCACATAGAAATCATTAGCTGTCTTCGTTCTTCTTCATCATCCCTCTCTCGTGTAACAAACAAAGTAGCACAACGCAAGGAGAGAACACGAACACTGCGGGGAAGTGGGCCCGGGGAAGGAGCGGAAGCATGACCCGGGCCAAAAAGCACCGACGCAGTTGCAAAAACACGACAGCGATGAGGACCGGATACAAAATGTGGGGGAAATAGCGGTGAGAGATAGTCGGGAAAGAAGTGCGAGGGGATTGGGTATAGAGGCGACGCTTCAAGTGCAAACACGGTACGCGGAACGGGTATGCATGCATCGCTGCCGTGTTTGTGTTTGTGTTTGCGCGGCCTGTGTTTGTGTTGCGTGAAGCATCGGGGAAACGGGAAAGGCGGTTTGAAGAGAATGGGATGCGGGAGGTAAGGAGCCGGGGTCTATTAACAAGACCTGGGAAGACAAGGCTTCCAAGATTACAATGCATGGCTGACGTGGAAAAGAGGGAACGATTTTTAATAACGTATTGAAATGAGAAGTAATGAAAAGTCTTGAATCGTACCTTCAACACCATTCTGCATAGCTGCGTGGCTAGTAGCAATTGCTGCCGTTTCGAGATGAGCGGGTCAATGACGAAGTGCTCGCGCATGTCTGATTTGTCACAAGAATATTAGCGTTGCTCAGGAGGAGTTTCATGATGCGATAATGAGCCGAGAGGGGGCAAAAGGGCATTAGGTGAGGTAAACAGAAATGCCAACAAAATTGATGAGTGCGCGTCGATAAAACGTGGGGGTCGAAGTGGACTGGTGACGAGCGCCTCTCTGCTAGGGTAGTGCAACATAAAACCAGGAAGTAGTGCGTCAAAGTGCACGCCAGTGAACTCGCATGTAGTGAGCGGTGAAGAGTTGCATGCACGCTCGAGAGTCGCTGATACGATCTCGAACGGATCGGCAATGTACAACGGAGATCGTGGGCTAAAGGCTTGAAAGGATTGGAAGCCAGGCTTACCGTTGCTCCCGGTCTGCATGCAGTCAACGCCTAGGCGCGTGTTCTTCTCCTTCGCCTGGCGAGACTTGATAGCCGCCAGCGTCTCGATTGGACTCAAGCCGGAGTTCTCGGCAAGGGCCATTGGCACGGCATCCAGCGCGTCGGCAAAGGCGCGCATCGCATACTGCTCCAGACCAGGACTCTGCGCAAATGTGTCAGAAATGATCCTCAGAGTTGCCGGTATATGCAAAGCCGTATCTGAGTCCTAGACCGGTGCTGGATGCTTACCTTGATCGCTGCATCTTCAACGGCTAATGAGCACGCAATCTCTGCCGCACCTCCACCATAGACGATGCGGTTGTCCTTGACGAGATTTCGAACAACACAGAGCGCGTCGTGCAAGGAGCGCTTGGCCTCGTCGATGATCTGGTGGTCACTATGAGTAAGAATCTCTCGAAGATCTCTTGGCTTGATACAGCCCATCCGGGATATCTAAACGGAATACTGCGGAGTTGACACATACCATCTTGTTACTTCCCCTGACGAACACTGTTACAGCCCGCGTGTTTGCACAGTCCTCAATGACAAGCATCTTATCTCTCGTCGTGCCGAAAGACACTTCGCGCACAATACCGGCAGTTCCTAACTTCTCTGCACTAAGATCCTCGAATCGGGGTACTATCCTGCCATTCGTGGCAATGGCAATGAGCTCGATTTCTGGACCGCCGACCCATCGGACTGCGGGGAGCTTGTTGGTGAGCAAAAGATGGTTGGCCTCATCGTCGAATCCCCATTGACAGATCACGACGTTCGCTCCTGTGTCCTTGATCTGCTGAATCATCTCGGTGAACTTGTTGGATTCGTACTTTTGGAGACGCTTGAACTCTTCCACGGATGTGATATCCAGCTTGTGCTTAGTCTTGGGCTTCGGGGGCTCAAAGGCACAGGTAAGGATGGCCAGCTTCGCGTTCTTAACCTCCGAGGGCATCTGCGGATGAGAGAAGTCCTTGTCGACAACAACGCCCTTCACCAAGGTAGTATCCTCGAGTGAGCCACCAACCTTTCCGTCCACCTTGATGAGTTCGAAGTCGACATCCTTTCGTTCGAGGTCGGCGACCGATAGCACGGCATCCACCGCAATTTGCGCGAACTGATCGTGTGCCTTGGAGACAATCTTACTTCCTAAGCTCGTCTTCGCAACCTTGAAAAGATTCGAGGAGTTTTCCTTGGAAAAGGGAATTATGTCGCTGATCCGGTCCAACTCTGCCACCGCCACCTCGCACGCCTGGTCGTATCCGTCTGCTATCCGTATGGGATGTATGCCCTTGTCTATGAGGTCTGCAGCTTGTTCGAGCAGTGCTCCGGCGAGCACAACGACGCCAGTTGTGCCATCGCCAATCTCGTCATCCTGGGACTTCGAAAGTTCTACGAGCAGCTTGGCTACGTGGTTTGATATTTCCATCTATTTGGTTAGAGATGGAAAAGATTTGAGAAATGTGCATGCGTACTTGGGAGAGAATTGTGGCGCCATCGTTTGTGACGGTGATATCTCCGTCGGGGGATATCAAGATCTTGTCCAGCCCTCTTGGACCCTGTGCACAGATATTAGCATTTGCTCTGAGTCTCTGACTTGCGAGTAGCGTACGAGTGATGTCTTGACGATATTCGCGACTGTTCGTGCAGCGAGAATATGTGACTTGACCGCCTCAGTTCCATGCTGCCTCTTCTTCTTGCCCTGACTGCAATCCTGTCAGCAGTCCGCCCGTATCACAACTGTCGGGGTTCATATATAGAAGGCTACGCACTCTCTGACAATAATAAATGGCCGCCCTGACTCGTCCTTCATCACCTGGGCTGTATTCTATTAGTATTTACTTCGAGGACGTGCGGTGTCGCTAGAATCGCGAGGGAGTAGGTCTACCATTGGACATGTCAAGGTCTAGGTGCATGATACGTTAGCCTATGCTCCTTATATGAGGATTCCAGCAGTATAGAGCTCTTTCGAGCTATGCTGGAGCCTGAGGGACACTTACTCATCGCCATCTTTGCACCGGACCCCGCTGCGGGGATTTTTTCCGCGTTAAAAGGAACTCTCTAGGGTATCAACGACCAGAGACAGAGGTTTGATTCAAAGAGCAGTGGGTTGAGCTTCACACGACGCGTGGGTGGGGTTGCGGTGTTTGCGGCTCCAAAATTTCAAGTGGACGTGAACTTTGTCGCTGCCAAGCCATCGCCGGATCGCCATCTGTTACGCGACAGAGCTCGCTAACTTCACTTCACCCCAGCCACCGCTTCGTCACTCCCGGCGCGTCGCAGCCATTGCCAGACTGCAGCGCCGATTGAGCTGGTGCGTCGAAAGCTCTCGCGAAATCTACAGCTACACCGCCTTTAGCTTTTCAACGCGCGCGCTGTCGCCAAACAGCCAACATGCCGCGTGAGCCAGTCCCTCCGCCCTCTTAAACATCGCGAACACCTCACTAATGCGTCGCGTAATAGCTGCCATTAGCGACGATGAGGCTTCTGCCTCTGGCAACGAGGACGAGATCCCGTTCAAGGACAACAAGAACATGCTTGATGCGCAAAACGGCGACGAGAATAGCGATGATGATGAAGAAGAAGAGGAGGAGGAGGAGGAGGAGTACGCAACCGCGACCCTCACTACGCGCGTCTTTTGCTAATTAATCTCTAGATACATAGTCGAGGCAATCCTCAACCATGCATTCGAAGACGACGTCAGTACACCAGCCGACTCAATCACCGCAAACACTAACATATCCAGGTCCTCAAATATGAGGTGAAGTGGGCAGGGTACGAGAAGAAATCGGAACGTACTTGGGAACCAGAAGAGAATCTGTGAGTTGTGCGCCAAATGCTCTGTTCTTGCGCTAACAAGCTCATAGCTCGGGCGCAACGGATATTTTGGCGGCATATCACAAGAAGATTGGCGGTAGGCCAAAGCTAGGAGACCCAACTCCTGGGGCGGGCAGAAAGAGGAAGCAATCTGGTACCCCCGTCGCCAGCAAAACTCCAAAACAAGGCCGCAGGAAGTCGAAGGCAGGCAAGACTGGGGACGACAGCACACCGACTTTGAAGAGCAAGATCAAGTCGGAGCCAGTATGGGAACCACCACAAGGGCTGTGGGAAGACCTTATCATCGCCGTCGAATCTTTGGAGCAGACGATTGACGCCAAAACTGGAGAGCCCAAGTTAATGGGATACGTCCAGTGGAACGATGAGAAGAGGACACAGCACGCCATAGGCCTTCTCTACAGGAAGTGCCCGCAAAAAGTATAGTATTACCCTCTCGCTTCACTGTACATGACTAACGTCTATCTGCAGATGCTTCAATTCTACGAACGTCACTTGTAAGTTGCTTAGACTCCCTGTTGAAATTTGGTTCTGAATCCTGTCAAGGACAATTACATCCTAACGTGGCTATTTACTAGGGTGTTCAAAGAGGGTCAGGAAGCTGTCGGTGAAGACGAGATGGAGGAGAATGACGTTTAGTGGACCCATTCTTCACAGCAGCCCGCTTCCATTCACAGCCCTGACACGGTCCGATCCTTCTTCTATTCGCTGTACAGCCACCAAGCGACCCAATCTACAGCGTCAAGAGGGCCCCGGTCCTTCGATTTGTCGTTTCTTATTTCCTTAAGTTCAAAAGGCGCGGGGTGGGTAGCTTTGGGGCTCAGGTTGAATGATTCAGGTTCGGGTCTGCATGTGTTCGCGCTTTGCAGACAGGCGTCAGGAACAAAGTTTCTCTTTCATCTTTTCTGCTGCGGTTGCACATTTACGTTCTGGCCCTTCTGCACTCTTTGGCGTATACACCAGCACCCCCTACCACCCCGCCCAATCTTGTACTCTAAATATGCCGGCGCTGAACTGGAAGGTTTGAAGGTTGGAAACCTGGATGGAGTGGCGGACGCTACATAGTTACGGTAATCGAAGTATCGACACTACACCGGTCCTTGATTTTGATCTTTGCTAGCAATGTGAAACTCGAAATCTTGAGATGTCTGGGTGGCAGAATAGTTGATTTATGATAGTTATATCAATGCCTGTATACATAATTACAGTCCTCCCGCATGACCAACGGGGTAACAATCGCCTCAGCGACGTCAATATATAAAAAGGAAGACTCCGACCCAATCCCATCCCGACCCAATCCAAATCAATGCTCAAATCCAAACGCCAACCTAATGCGCGTGTCGCTGTGTCGAACTCATTAAACACATGTCCCGTATCCCTCTCGCGTAAATACAAGTCCAGGTCTGGACAATATAAGCACCGGTTTCTTTTTCCGTCATGATTCGTACACCGGACGAGTGTGCAAGGTCTACACTTCCGTCACATCGCTCACGCTGCTCGCGGCACCGCCGCCGACGGCCATTCGGGTTTGGAGGTAGTAGATCAACCAGGCGATGAGGGCGATGAGGATGAAGAGGATGAGCACGATGAGGAAGATGACGATGTTGCGCTTCATGGTTGCGGGTGGGTGGGTGGAGGTGGTTGTGGGAGAGGTTGGGAGCTGGCGGCTGGCTGACTCGTTGGCAGAGTGTGGGAGTGCGGAGAGTGGTTGGTGGTTGTGATGCGTGAGCAAGAGGTGTAGGAGCTGTGATGTGTTAGTCGGAGACTGAAGACTGGAGGGTTGATTGGCATACCTTTTCTCAGAGATGTTTATACGAAGGTCCAAGCAGGTCGTCGGTACGATATAATAGCGATGCGAAGCGTTGATGTCGAAGAGCAATAGTAGGGAATTGGGATGGATGCCAGCTCAGTGTGGTACTATTCGCTGGTGCAAATGCGGTGTTGGCGACGTAACAGTTGGATCGCAGTTGGATAGTGGGCGGCGATATGCAGTGTTCGGGAGTGCAGAGTATGCAAGATGAAAGAGGAAAGCCATTGCAGCGACCGGCGGCTTCTTTTCTAGCAATTGCGCAAATTGGTGGTGGTTGGTATTTTTGGGGAGGCGGGATGAAGTCGAGTGGCTGGACCTCAAACGTGGCTGGAGTGGTCCGTGCGCTTGGAGGATCGCCAGGGGTCACCACGTGAGACGACGACACCAGAAAGACACGATCGCGGGAGCGCGTCATCGTGAGGTCCGGTCCATGTCCTGCTTACAGTGTACAGATTCAAGATAGTGCAAGCGCATTGAAGCCTCTCAAGTAATGGTAAATATGTACATACAACCCTAAAAGAGAAGCTTCGTGTCACGCCGATATCGACTTGATTGCATCAGATACCTCTTCGGATGGCAGAGTATCACTTTCTACGTAGTCTAAGTCGTCCTTTTCTTTTTCATGATAACAAGTTTCTGCTCCCAATTTTGAAAACTCACGAAGCGTGTTAGCGCTAATCCCGCAAGTCAATTATCCTGGGCGTCTTCTTAGGGGAGCTGCTATTGATACCTGGAGATGTGTCGCTTGGTGAGACCTTCTGCCCGGTACTAGACGCGGAATTCCAGTGCGCATTTCCAAACTATAGTCGTTTATGGCCACGTCAGACACCTTGCGGTCGCGCTAGTGGAAGAGGAATTATGAAGTTGTCCGCCTGCTCTCCTCGTGCAAGAATGATTCTGACCTCATGGACAAGGCCCTGCGCGCAGACTGGTTTAACGTTGAAGACCCTCAAATCCTGTTGTATAGAAGTACAATCACCACGACCATTTGCTGGTATTTGCTCCATCCGTGGTCTGCGTGCAGCTGGTGGTCTATGAAGTATTTCGTTCGGGTCTCAATCTCCAGGACTACCTTATGCTTGTCGTTGAAGATCCAAGGTAGAGCAGGCAGGTGACGGCTCTTATAGGAAAAAAGAAGCAAAGTATGTTGGCGATGTGTCGGTACCTGCGCCGCTACCAAATGGACAACGTCAATTGCGCAATGCCTTACGTTGTTTGCTTGAGCTTCGTGTCGCAGTGAGAGTGATTGAAAATATTCAATCTTGCGACAAGCTCAGCGATCAAGAGAGGTCTTCCGGCAAAGGTCCAATGGTTAGGAACACACTAGTCCACCCTGCGTAATACATACCGTGGAAATGTTAGGGCAGTGCTGAGCGGTGTTAACCAAAGGCCGAGTACGAAGTTATTGCACGCGGGGTCAGACCCGCGGAAGCTCCACGGCCTGATCCTTTGCGCTAGTCAGTGCTCTCAGCCCCTACGAATTCACAACAATAAAAGAATCGGAGGGCACTGTGATTTCCATGTTCTGCCTACAGCCTTACCATCTCTTTCCAAGTAGTCTCTTGCATAATTCAAATCCTTCTCGTTCTCTTCATATTTCATTCTCTTTCCACACTGGAGCCGTGCTTTCTCAACAGACTTCAATATGGATGACTCAAAAGATTTTCGTACCGATCCCTCAATTATGTCGAAAGACATAAGTCAACACGACGATGCTGCAGATGCGCCAGATGTAGAAAAGCAACCCGTCCCGGAAACCGAGGGAGTTGGCGACACCAGTCGCGAGAAAGACCCCAACATCGTCGACTGGGATGGTCCAGACGATCCTGCAAACCCGATGAATTGGTCTTCAGCAAAGAAGCTTGCGGCTATAGGCATCGTATCCATTATCTCGTTTCTATCGTAAGTTTCACATATGTTAGTCAAACGAGCACGACTGACAGCAAATGGGCCGTTCGCATCAACCGTCATCTCGCCGGCCAGCGCAGATGTCATGAAGACCTTCCATTCCACAAACGAGACCCTAGGCGCCTTCGTAACCACTGTCTACCTCCTCGGATACGTCTTCGGTCCCCTGGTGATAGCTCCATTGTCAGAGCTATATGGCCGCGCCATCCTCTACAATATTTGCAACTTTATATTCCTGATCTTCAACATTGCGTGTGCGCTTGCGAATAATCTCGGCGCTCTTATTGTGTTTCGACTACTCGCTGGTATAGCTGCGTCTTGCGCCATCACGCTTGGACCGGGGACGGTTGCCGATATGACGCCGGTGGAGAAGCGTGGACTGGCTATGGTTGGTCTATATATGGGACCATTGGTCGGTCCAACCTTTGCGCCTCTGGGTGTGTAATTTCTTCACCAATCTTTGCCAGCGTAAGCTGACAAGGTGTAGCTGCCAGTTATCTTGCCGAAGCCAAGGGTTGGCGTTGGATCTTCTGGCTTATATCTATTTTGGTACGTCTACAGATCCTCGAATGTGACCCTTTTACTGATAGGGCTACAGGCTGGTGTTGTCTGGGTTGCTGCTATGCTGTTCATACACGAATCGTACGCCTACGTGATCTTAAAGTGGAAAACCAAGCGACTACGAAAGGAAACAGGAAACCAGCAGCTCCGTTCTGCTCTGCACACCGGCAATACCCCAGGGGAACTCTTCAAGATTTCTATCGTGAGACCCCTCAAGATGTTGTTCTTATCTCCGATTGTATTCTTGATGTCCCTTTACATGGCAATCGTATACGGTTACCTCTACCTCTTATTTACCACTTACCCTCGAGTATTCCAAGGCCAATACGGATTCTCGAACGGAACCGTAGGATTGGCGTACTTAGGTTCGGGGATCGGGACTTTCATAGGCTTGGTCTTCTGCGGCGCGACCTTAGACCGACTGTTAGTCTACCTGACCAAACGTAACGGTGGGATCGCGAAGCCTGAGTATCGTCTTCCAGTCATGGCCATTGGGGCTTTGTTTATACCGCTCGCTCTATTTATGTATGGATGGACGGCAGAGAAGAAGGAGCATTGGATACTCCCGATTATTGGCACTGGATTCCTTGGTATTGGGATGTTCACCATATTCGTAAGTTGCTCTGCCCTCGCTCGCAGAAGCTGTCACTGACTTTGCATAGATGCCATGCGCGACGTACCTGGTTGATGCCTTTACCCTTTACGCTGCGTCTGTAACGGCTGCGTCAACCGTCTTGCGGTCACTTCTCGGAGCACTGCTCCCTCTGGCGGGCGGCAAAATGTATGATGCCTTGGGAGTGGGATGGGGAACGTCGCTTCTAGGTTTCATTGCGGTGGCCTTCATTCCAATGCCTTTCATCTTATGGACATTTGGCGAGCGCATTCGAGAGAGCAGATTCTCCCAAGTCAAGTTTTGATAGGATTGTCCACAGGCAATGATCGTAGATAACACTGCAGGAGGCGCAGATTTCGGCTGTATAAACCATTCATAGATTTTTTTTCCGTTCATTTAATAGATTACTCCACTTTATAATTGTACACTATTTACTTCAAGTCAAGAAGATCGAAGGTGTCAACGAGGCTGGCGGACATATTTTCAAAGCCTAGTGCCTGGAGTAACCTCAACATCACTTTACCCTGATATTTTTACCCATACCCCAGCACCCACCAGCACCTGCCATTGCTGAAGTAAATAATTGATAGCCGTGGCATTCGAATGCTTTGACTGGGCTATCCGATGATGGCCCCAGTGTTGCTGATTCAAGACCTCGCCCTTAATAATAGTCCACCCCGCGGAAAGTCCGCGGGGAATCCAGTTAAAGCCCCAAACCCTCCTGTTACCAGCCACAACACACTTTCTTTCATCTTCAATTCCATGGAATATCCGTCGCCATAATGCCCAAATACCAACAAACGCATGGTGTTCCTCGCCAAAGGCCCGTCAGTTGCCGCTCTTGCAGGGCCCGAAAGCTCCGCTGCAGTAGAGAGGCACCATGCACCAATTGCGTAGCTCGTGGTCTCCATTGCGAATTAGATAATCCCGCGGCGTCTCCGCCCAGAAATAACCAGGCCTCAGAGTCTGAAGTAATTGAACGCATCCGTAAGCTGGAGGAGCTTGTGGAAAGTCAGAGGTCACAGCGAAACGGAAGCCTGAAGCCAATTACCAAAAGCTATAGTCATCAAATGCTGCAAACCCCCATGTACGGTTTTTGCCCTGGAGCTGAGCACCTAGACAAAGACGTTGCTTGGCTTGCGAGTATCTACAGCGGTCTGGAAGTCGCGGTATGTGCTAGTCTACTTTCAGCACTATTCCCAATCTGATAGCCATAATAGGAGAAGATACCGTCCAATAAAGTCGTGTTCAGGATATGCCCGATCCAGCACATTATGGAGGCTCAGTCATATATTTTCCTTTCCCCTACAAGTGTAGAACCATCAAGGTGTATTTGGCTGCCACAATACCCCGAAGCTAAGATACTCCTGGACAAGTTTATTGAAGACATCGACGGCGGTCATCATGTCGTCCACATCCCTTCACTTCCATCCATTCTCGACGAGCTATACGCTTGTCTCAACCAGCAATGCCAAGTCAAGCCGGGTCCCATGATTCTGCTCCTCAGCATAATGGCGAGCTCTACCCATTCCTGGGTCCGACGCGACTGCGAGCGTGGCGTATTCTCCACATCTGCAGAAGTCAATAAACAGTCGTCGTTGTGGATCAAAGCGACTGAAGATGTAATCGATATTTCCCACCGATCCACACGTGTATCGATAGAAGGCATTCAAGGGATCATCATTGCTTCATTCGTCCTCGGAAATGTCGAAGGCTTTTCTCGAAAATGCAGAGCCATGTATAGTATGGCTCTTTTTCTAGCCCGAGAAATAGGGCTACATTGTATAGACCATCCATCTGTTGCGAGCACCGCAAACACAGCTCAGGCTGAAATGGGACGGAGAGTGTGGTGGTATCTGGCTGCTTCTGATTGGTAAGTTCCCACGACCCCCGAATTACAAAGCCATGTTGACGGCTTTCAGGCAAATGGCCGCGAGGTTCAACGGAGTCGCCCAAGGCGTTTATCAGTGCCAGCTGCGCCAAATGATGGTTAAGAAACCTAAGAATCTTAATGACGAGGACGTTACAGATGGCATGAGCTGCATCGAACAGCCACTATCTCAACCGACCGACATGTCGTACTCATTGCAACGAATTCGACTATCCGAAGTATGCCGGAACATCGTTGACCGCACTCCTATCATACACGCCGGCATCCCCGGCTACGGCACTGTAATGGATGCCGACACGGAGCTGCAAATGATCTTGAGTGAGACTCCACCATTCTTTTCCATGTCGGTGGCACAGATCACTCAGATTTATCAACTCGATCATCGTCGTGCTGCCAAAATTTTCCACCAAGGATATATGCTAAGCTCCCTTACTCATGCCATGCATTGTAAAATTCACTTTGCGTATTTCACTCGCGGATATGTGGATCCTACATACGCATCTTCTCGGGAAGTATGCATTCGGTCCGCCCGCAAAATCATCCAGAATGAGACACGGCTGGAGCAGTCAGGTCTCTGCACGGCGGCACGCTACAGGATCATCTTACTCTTGCTAGGCATCTTCATGGCAACCATTGTGCTAATAATGGATCTCTGTCACAACAAATCGTCACCGCAGCGTGAGAAACAACAAGGAGAGATCGCCGACGCTTTTCGCTTACTTGAAGAAGCTCGAGATGATTCGGAGACGGCTGTAAAGTTTTTGGATTCGCTGATGCAATTATTGCGGAGGCACAAGCTGCCCCGTCCGAAGCGTGCTGGGCCATCGCCGCTGGACTCTGGGATGGGGAGCGAGCAGCTTTCAACAGTTGCGGCGGGGACCTACAACGCCGCCAATAGCCAGCCATACAGCCAGCCTGTTATGGCGCCATTACCTACGGCTCCACCAAGCGTGTTGGGAAGTAATGATGCCAATAGCATGGATATGGGTGGTGATGGGTTTACGAATGGAGAGGACATGTCGTCGTACTTCAACGAGCTGGCGCAAAGCTTTGAGCAAGGCGTCGACTTTGACTGGGACGATATCTTCGCAGGGCTCGATTCCTCCTTCACGCAAGGTATGTGTGAGGTCAGCCAGACAGAGTTACACTTTTGAAGCTATCTTTTTGGAGTTTGGAGTTTCAGCACGAGATATGTCACGTGCATTGGGGTTGTTTGGGGTATAAGACTCTCCCCTTTCTTATCTAACAGTCAGAACGGAAGACTTCAACAGAGTCGCTGGCATCACCTCATGGTGTGTTAAGATATCGCAGGAAGAAGACGCTATATCTGCGGCTTTGGGCCGAGCTTGCGAGGACGTCAGGACGACGCAAAATTTCTGGGTTGCTGCTCAGCATCCCAAAATCTCTTTGGTCATTGCTATCATATATGCCCTATCTTTTTGCTGAGCCCAGTCTCTGAAGAATGATAATCATCATCCTCATCTCGTAATCTTGGCACGTACCTACGCGAAGCCACAAGACACTCATACCTTGCTTGGACAACGACTATCCCACCGCCTTCAAACTCCCACCACTGGACGCCCACCATGGAAGGCTTTCACAGTTGTTTTTGCCACCACGACCAACCCCATGGGCCCGGCTCTTCCTCCTATTTGCTCCCCGCCATACATTGGTGGCAGTAATAGTGCTTTTTCCCCGAACCGAACTCCTATGTTGTTCCAAGGACCAAGACCAAGAGCCGGCGAGGCAGGATTTATACCTCCCCGCCCCAAAGAAACGAAAACGAAAATGGCTTTGTCAGCCGTGTGGAGCCCCGGTGATATATCTCTGAATACCTACCTTTCAGATACCTCGTGATACCCACGTGCAAGGCAGGATCGATAGGGTATAAATATCTGCCGCCGACTTGAGAGGTAGACTTGGACAGTGGGGTTTCTTTCTTCCTCTGGATTGAAAGAGAGGAAGAAACAGTGAGGCATGGAGAGTTGAGGTGCTTGCAAACGAGATAGAAGAGGGACGTACTGGCTTGCAAAAGCGCGGAGCAGGGCGCTCCATGTGCGGTGCGTTGAGGAGGGAGTCAAATTGGCAAGATGATCTACTGATGGAGTGGAGGGAGCAAAATGAGGAAAAAGAAGGTATTATGGGAGTTTGGGAAGTGAAATACAGAAAGTCCAATTTGGTCATGTTGGGAAAGAGTTGTTGGGGCTTGGTGTTTGGGTTTTAATAGGGACGATAATGTGCAGCTTTGTTACGTTTTATGAGCTCCAGCATGGTAGAATGGACAAGATGGTAGCGACGAACATTCCTCGTACAGAGAGAGCATTAGGCTGGGATTTTGCTGCTCCAGAAAAGCGTAGTTAATGACGACGAAACCTCTTCCCCCAACACCATCAAGCGTGGTAGCAAAGTTTTGATCCCAACCAGCTCCAACTCTACAGACCACACCATGATGGCCTTGCATAATGCAATTTGAAACTGCTCTCCAGGACCTCCTCAACTGAGGAGGCTGTACCCATGGTCGGGACTGGTGTTATACCTCAAAGAACCCACTTCCAACGTGACCATCACATGAGCCAGTAAGATCAACTGACTTTCCCGTGAGCAACTCCTTCTGCCTTCTTTCCCAGGGTCACCAATCAATCCTAAGCTCCACCTTCCTATCGCCTCCGAATCCCGTGACCACCCCATGACACCCCCGTGCCCCATCCCTGCAACGCCTATAAAACCTCCCCCTCCCCTTCTCAACCTGCTCTCTTTTTCTCCAGAACACGCAGCTTGCTAGCGGCAAGATCTGCAAAATGCCACCTCTAAGCATCCCATGTTCGGAGCGGTGGAGTGGCGGATGAAACGAGAAAACGACACCTACCATGTCGCTTGGGTTTCGTGGGAGGATCAAAACCCCTTCAAAATTCCGCGATGGAGTGGTTGGAAGGTTCGATACTGCCCTTCGTCTTTCCACGTGGTCGGTGGGTTGGGGAGTTGTTTGAACATGCATGACCTGGGCAGCTTATGGAGTCGGCGGTTGGTGGAGCAAAATGGCCCATAATCTTCCCCAATGGAGTGGGAGTGGGGTGTGGAGGTGCTTCAAAAAGGACTGCCGGGAAGCTGATGGAGTTGGGGTTGGTGGGATCAAAAGGTGCGCTTCAACGCCTGATGGAGTGGAGTGGGTTCGGGCGGGCTGGGATATTTGATATCGGAGGTGACGATGAGCATCGTGACATCGACGCGACGTTCCACTGCTCTATTAGCTAGTACTCCGAGTCCGTAGGGACGAGGAGCGATGCGGGCTAGTCTTACTAGACACTACTGCTCGTCGTCATCTTAGCTGGTAGGCGAACGCAGTCCTCTCGGATCCACTTCCACCATGAGTTCGAAACATGGGCTTTTTCGAAGCTCTAGAGGCTCCGCTGTCTGAAGAAAGGAAAGTCGATTGTCTGTATGCTGGGTTTTATAGGCGAAAGGATGCATGAGCCACGTGATTACTCGGGCCTCGTCGGGCTGTTTCACAATGATCACGGATCAGCCCGTGTACTATGTGGGGCTCGAGTACGGTAGTATTAGCGAGATAGTCCGATTCTTGGAGACATTGCGAAACTCCTATGGCGAGCGGTGGAAGAGGAGTGAATTCAAAGGCTTCAGCATTGCAAGACCTGAACAAAAACCAGGATTCACTGTAAACATGATATAGTACACGGAGAGGAGAGGCAAACACCTGAGTGGAAAGGAAAGTGGTATTTTTACGAGCAAGTCAGTCAATTACAGCATGGGAGCATCATCCTCTGTCATCCGCATCGTCCCATTTCCATCATCTTTGCCTAGGATAAATGCATTCTCATCCACGCATACCTTCCACTCATTCAGCTCACTCGATCTGCAAAGCACAAAGAAGCAGCAAAGGAAGGCACCCATAAAACACCCAGTCACCATATCGCCGCATCTGCAGTCAAGCTGGAGGCTCAGGCTCCATAAGGAGTGACTGGTACACAGACGCACCACAAACGAAGGCAGGCCGGGCTAGTTAGCGCACGGCCGCACATTTCTTGAAAAGGGAGTCCGAAGCAAAATGAAAAAAAGCCCGAGGTACCGGCCACCAATGTAGTTTTCTTGTTTACAGGATCCAGAACCAGGATATACGCCGTGACTGCCGCCGTGCTGGTCGTGAGAGTCGTGACGCGAAGCAAAATCAATTACTCGAGCGGCGTTGGCCTTCCGGGAGACGCTTGAGGGCTGCCTCGACGTCCTTGTTGTCGACGACGACGCCGCTTTCAGAACACCTGGCCTTGGAGCGCAGTTCTGAACATAGGTTGTCGATGTCGATCGTGCCGTCTCTGAAGTCGGGCCTCTTGGCGAGTTTGTCCCTGTTGTGATAGTGAGCAGTGTGTCCGATGATAAGGTGGACAAACGATGAATACTTACCATATCTTATGACAGTTGAGCAACTGAGCAGGATCTTCTCCGGGAACGACTTCGTCATCAATACCGTCTTGTATGCGCTCAATCTCCTCCAAAGGATTTGACTTTTGAACGGCTGGCGTGTTGTTGTCACCAAAGTTGAACGGGCTTCCGAAATCAGCCAGTGGGAATGCGTCATTGAAGAACCCGCCGGTGAAGTCACCGTCGCCAACAATAGCGGCCTGCGACTCGCGGTAGTCACCAAACAAAGTTGGGTCGAACTGTCCACCGTTCTGGTTGGCGAGGAAATCAATGCCGTTGAAGTCGGTCGCAGGCGATTGGTTTGCAGCTGCAGCAGCTGGGGTGGCGTTAGATTGAGACATCGCACGAGGAATTGGATTGCGAGAATTGCCGCAGGCCATATTCAGCTTATCACAGAAGGTGACCTCACCTTCGGGATTTCCAGAACCGCATCCTCCTTCATTGATAGTGTCCAGACCATTGCTCGGCGAGTTGTGACTTGGCTCCGGAGATGTGTCGCATGAGGATCCCATGCCGTATTGAGAGACGGACGAAGCAGATGGAGAGTCTGAGGTAGATGATCCGCTATTGAATTGGAACACGCGCGACTGAGCCGAGCTGTCAGTGCTGCGACGGCTGCCATGGTTGGGAGCATTGTTGTTATTGTTGTAGTCGAAAACAGAACTGGAGTTAATTCCGTTGACCATGGGACTGAAAAGTCCATTGATATTGCTGCTGCTCGAAGCATTGCTATTAGGAAAGCCATTAGGAGGACTTCCCTTGGAGTTGGTCGTCGGCGAATTGGAAGCAACCCCACTGAGTTGACTCTTGGGACTTAGGCTAGCACCGTTGCTATTCGTTCGAACAGGTGAAGTAGTAATTGTGGATGGCTTATTTCCTTTGGCGAGACCGCCGTTGTCAAGAAGGTGGGCGCCTGGCAGACCACCAAATCTTGGGAACTCAAACTGGAAGTTGTTCGCAGGGGTGCCATTTCCAGTGTTAAGTGATGCAAATCCACTCGTGACCGCAGGAGCGCGACCTAGACCAGAGCTGTTGAGAGACAGACGCTTGCGATATTCACGCAGCTCGGTTTGGAGCCTCTGGACTTGAGCGCGAAGCATGCCGTTCTCGTGATTCGCAGCGTCAGATGCCTTTTCCAGTTCGCCGACCTTAGTCTCAAGGTCTTTCAAATGCTTCTCTTTTCGCTCTCTGAACGCCCTTTGGGCTGCGCGGTTCTGTGCCTTGCGTTTCTGATGCGGCATTAATAAAATTGATGTGGGTTGATGAGATTCAGCATGAGACTTACAGTCGTAGGTTCGGATGTCAATGGCTTCCTACCGGGCTTCTTTGCCGTCTTATCTTCACCTTCTCGTCGCTTTCCTCCGCCTTCTTGATCATCACCGTCGTCATCCGGGCTCTTTCGCTTATCGGTGCTTTCGTTGTCCCCCTCGTTCGAATGGCTCGACGAGTCACCTGGCAGACCGCCAATCATCAAATCGCTGTTGTCGCCATTGTCATAATCGAAGCTGTTGTCGCCATCGAGGTAGTCGACAAATGGACTGTCGTCGAGGTTGTCGAAATTGAGGTTGGCACCGAAGGTGTCGGGAGTACCCTGCTGAGGAGATGCGAAGAAGGTTGGGTCGATGCTGTCGATGCTAGAATATTGCAGGCCGGCATTGGCCGCACCCTGCTTGTTGGGACCGTTGGAGTACATGTTGTTGTTCTTGCCGTTCTGGTTTGAGGCCAGGGCGGCTAGGAGGAGGTCTTGTTGGTTTGGATTGAGGTAGTATTGATTGTTCTTGTAGTCGGTGGTTGATGTGCCAGCCATATCTGATGGTAATGGCGAGTTGGATTGGAGTTCACGCTGGTGCTCGATGGTAGAGACTCCACCTCAGGCAGACGCCAAACGGTGTCCGGGGAGGGTGAAAGAAACCAGACAGGAAAAGCTGAGGCGGTTGTATTGGGATCGGTAGGCTACGGAGTGGATAAGGTGAGCAAATACAATGTCAAGCTCCGAAGGGCTCAATCGGCACTATCGGCCACACCCAGTGCCTGGAATGTCGCGGATGCGTGAGAGGAGCAACCAGCACTCTGTGAGGTTGCAGAGGGAGGACAGGTTGAGGACTACGGACGAGGTCGGGCCAACGGTCGGCTGTGCTGGCGGGGTTCGCTGTGCCTTTGCAAGACGGCCGACTGGAGCAGCAGCGCGCACAGGTCGAGTTTTACGACGTCTCGTAGGCAGGGCGGCGAAGGGGAGGCAGAGGGCTGGCGGGAGGCGAAAAAGACGAGGTTGGTGAGATGATGGAGCGAGGTGGGAGGAAGCGGGCCAGGCCAGATGGGCGCAGCTAAGATCGGAGGGGAATGGAGGAGCAGCAGCACAAAGCAGCGGGCAGCGCGAGACTGATTCGAGCCGTGCTGCCGCCGTGGTTGGCTGGCGGCGCCGTTGTAGGGCGTTGATTCATAATCAGCGTAAAAGCAGCATCGCGGACTAAGCGGTGTTAGGGCTGGAAGACGGTGGAGGAACAGGATCGAAGTCTGCACCCGCCAGTGCTTGAAACACGGCCGCGAGCCGCAGCAGAGCTTGTCGAGCGTTCCTGGCAAGGCGATGTGGCGACGTCTCCTTGACTTGCTGCACTCGGAGTAGTTCTTGTACCCTGGTCGACGAAGTTCGTGAACTGCAGGTTGCTGCGTCATCTGCAGAGGAGCAATCCGAAGTCTGATATTGACGCGCAAGCCCTTTTAGACCTACATGGAAGAGAGCGGCTTAGAATAGAGAGGTCATGTCTGCACGGCGAGCTCTCAAATGTCTCATTCCCTTAGTATATTCTCAGCAGTCTTTGGTAGGCGTATGCTCGGCACGAGAGATCAGGGTGTTCAACTGGACACCCCAGCCTCATGTATTCGCTGATGAGTTTTTTCACGAGTTGGTCGGGTCCTGTTCAAACATTCCTTGGTCCTCGTCACTTTCTACTTGCAGTGAAATGCTGGTAAGCTTCATGTGATCCTTAATAGCTATGGCTTCGAGTCTGATATGATGTCTAGAGCACTCTCTGGCAAGCGAGTGGTGCATTGGTCTATGTGATCCACCATAGTGCTGCGCTCGTGTATGAACTGGATCGTCGAGTGTCACAGTTCCACTTCATTGTGCATATCGACCGGCTCGAGGGATGGACTCGGATGATGATGCCTTGATACCTAGCACGTGACTTGATGCCAAGAGCCGCTAGTCGCTAGCGTGCCTCGGCGCGCCTCATCTACGACCTCACTTTCCTGCCGCTCACCACCTCTTCACCCGACACGACGCCACAACACCGGCGACTCCTCTACAGCAGAAACCTGCCAACATGGCGCGCACGGTGAAAGACTGCCAGGCAGATATCGCCGAGCACGAGAAGTCACTCGTGGAGCTTCGAGCAATGGTAAGTGCACAGCAATTATCACCAGCCCCGGACGGTCTGGAAGAGTCTTCCTGAACTATTCTGCTAACATTTTCAAAAACAGATGAATACCATGCGGGAGTCCATCAAAGTTAACCCGGATAACATCGCCGAATTCCAACCTCTTATCGATCTAACGGAAATACGATACAAGGAAGATGAGGCAAAGCTTGCTGACTTGACCAAAGAGCTAGCTGTGCTACAAGCTCAGGAGAAGAAGGCTACTCAGCCAGAGAAATGGTCTATCGAAAATCACCCAATTCTTGGCAAGAAGCCCGAAATCACGGAAACCCCACCTGCCGACGTGCAAGTCATCAACACATTCAAGGTCAACGACATGGTGATGGCACGCTGGATCCACGGAGACCGTGCTTTCTACAAGGCGAAGATAACCATGGTCATGGGCTCCGCAGCAGCCCCCAAGTTCCGCGTCAAGTTTCCTGACTTCAACAATGACACGGACGAAGGTCTAGAGTTGACCGATATCAAAGCATTGGACCCGTCAAAGAAGAGGAAGGCTGAAGAGACAGCAGCACCGGCGGCAGCCCCTGTCAAGACACCTGTCACCACCAATGTCATCTCTGCGCCGGCCAGCATCGATGTCAATCTCGCCTCTCAGGCCCGACAGGAGCCCAGCAAGGTCAGCGATGGCCCTCCGAAGCCCGCCAAGATGGCTCGCAAGGCCCGTGGAAACAGAGTTCTCGAGAAGAGCAAGAGCAACTGGCAAGCCTTCCAGGCCAAGGGAACCAAGAAGGTCAAGAAAGAGTCTATGTTCCGGACTCCGGATCTTCCCAATGCTAGGGGTAAATGCCCCTATCCTGTTTGGAATTAATCGCTAATTTTGGACTTAGTTGGCTTCACTGGTTCTGGTCGTCCTATGGCCAAGGATCCTACCCGCACCAGACACACCTACACTGTTGAAGACGACGGCGACTACGAAAACTGAGTACGAAGGCACCATGACTGAACGGCGAACAACGGTACTGTGGACAAGGAAGCATATCGCGACATCTTTTTCACTTTTCTCCTAACTATTTACCATGAGTACAGAGGCTAATGGATGATTTGCAAGGCAGAGCAATGTCCAGACATGACTGGAATCAATCTTGCTTCGAGGCGTTCGGTAGGTGCTGAGTGCTTTCTTTTCTAGTTCTGCCCAATCCCCTTTTCCCATATTATCTCCCCAGCGGTTGGTTGATGGCTTGGCTTTTGATTGCTTGGCTTGGCGGTCGATGGCTTGGGCAATGCTGCATCCGAGGATGATGGGAACGGAAGGGCGAATGAATGGTGCGGAATGAGAAGATATACCAATGCTTGCTTGCTGTGGGTACAGTACAAGACAAGGACTGTAGTCTGAATACATCGGTTCACTACTTCATCCCGGCTTCACCATGCTTTGGAAAATTGACACGGGTGCAAAGCTACTGTTGCGGACGATGGGTACGATTGCTGTCCAGGTGGGCTACCTCAGACGTTGCTATCCAACACTGTCGAGGACGACATCAATGTACCAGGTAGACTGGAACGGTAGAGTCTGGAGTGTACTAATAAGGTTGAGCCTTTCATCGATCATGTGTTCGAGTGTTCGAGCTATGGCTCCGTTCTCACAAATAGACAATCTCTGTTTGTAGACTTCCATCTGCTTATGTCTGAAGAAACTCGATGCTCTTTTAGCACACAAGACACATTTCTGATCTGTGTGTACCTGTTTGACGCTGCCCCGAATCGCCTAAATGCATTCTCAAGAATGGTTCCAGTTCCAGTACATGTACACGGGGCCCTGCTGTCTGGGATGGCTTAATGATTTTACGGCTTGTTCAGATTGATGAGCTGCTATAACTATAGAGAGTCTAAGTCCGAGTCGGACCCTTCAGGAGAGTGTGTCCAAGTAGGAGCTACAGGCTGAGGAGCATGCAAGTGGGTTGATGCTCCAGATCCTGTAGCTACATTCTTAGATTCCTCACCCGTCTTCCCCCCGCTCTTCGGCTGAGTCGACGCTCTGGTTTTCTTCCGATCCTCTTTCGGCGAGACCTCCTCATCACTCGACGTTTTCAGCGCCTCGTCTAGCGAATCTAGCGACTTCAGCGAATCCAGCGAATCCAGCGAGTCCAACGAGTCTAGCGAATCTTCGCTCTCCGTCCCGGCCACCCTCTTCTTCACTCCACCACTCGCCTTGGCTTTCCCCAGCTCCTTCAGCCCATTCCCTCCCCCACCATCGCTCGAAGAATCCGAATCTAACGAGTCTAACGAATCGACACTACCCAAAGCCTTAACCACACTCACCTTCCTTCCCCTCTCCCGCCGCCTCGCCGCCTTCTTTTTCCGCCCTTCCTCGTCACTGCTCTCCAGCATCTCCTCCAGCTTCTCGTCATCCCACTCGCTGCTATCGCTCAACGTAACATCAGCACTTGTGTCACGATCGGGCAGGCGGGTTGGCCGCCCCATTCTAGGTTTTCGCATAGCCGCGAGCACGCCTTTGCGGCCGCTCGGTCTCCCTTTCTGCCCGAGATCCGTGAAGGGGGAGACGCGGACGATGGTCATGCTTCCCGGCGGCGTGACGTTGAGCTCGTAGAAGCGGGTGCGCCGAGCCGTGATCAATATCTTGACTAAACCACCGTCAGCAGCCTCCCACGAAGGGACAGATTAGAGCGTCACGCACCGACTCGGTTCTCGATCTGCGTGAGGGCGTGCAGCCCCTGCAACAGCTCGTCCAGCTCGTCCGCGCTCGCGGACTCGTCGAACGCGGCGTCCATGTTGTCGATGACTATATACACGAAGCCGAAGTTCGTCGCGCGGATGCTGCTGAGCAGGACCTGCCATGCGCCCTTGAAATCCGCCTGCGCGGTTAACAGGCCCGTCACGAGCGCGCACTGCGCTTCGAAGGTGAAGTAGTCGGGCCGCTGGTGCGCGAGCTGCTCGATGAAGCGCCAGGTCCAGGCGACTGGGCGGCTGGGTCCGCTCCCACTCCCACTCCCGGCGCTGCCGTCAGAGTTGGGGGCTGTGGCTTGCTCGCCAGTCATGAGGCTCAGGACGACGTTCCCAGCTTCGCGCGCGGCTTTGGCGACGTCGAGGGATAGCTGTGTTGTCCAGTCCGGGCGGGAGAGGAAGCCGTCGATGTAAAGGAAGGAGGAGGCGCGCGACTCGACCCACGTGTTTATTTGCGGGTTCTCGAGGAGGCCGAGACGTTCGTAGGTGCGGCTTGTGCTGCCTTTTGTCTCGGCGGCGAGGGAGAGGCGGGCGAGTTCGGCGTGAGGCGATGAATCTAACAAAGCGGGGGCGAGGGTCGGGGGACGGATGAGGAGGAGGACTACAGGGAGGGCGCGGGTGCTGAGGAGAGTCTTAGATGCTTCAAAGGGGTCGATCTCTTCGCGTTTGCGTGCTTCTTCTGCTTGTTGGCGCTGCCAGTCGAACTGTTTTTGGGCCTCTTCCATCATGGCGGTCAGACCCTGGCTGAGGCCTTTCACGGTTTGGTTCGTTTCGTCGATTTTCCAGTTGCCCATGGTCATCAGGGCGTGGGTTTGCTTGGTGATGGTCGTGTTTTCGGCGATGGCGATGCCTTGGCCCAATGATGCCACTTCCTTCACTTTAATGACGTGGCCGTTGATGGCTTGACAGAGTGGCTCGAAGCGGATTTTGTACGGCAGGGCTATATTTTTGAAGAAGTTCTCTGTATATATTATTAGCGTCGTTCAAACCAATATGACCGCTGTGGGTCTAACTTATTGAGTTCTCCTGGTAATACTTGACTGCTTCCGCGAGAAAATTCGTGAAAGCCTCGTACGCTCCACACACGTGCTTCGCCATGGCTTCCGACGGGTACAATCCTAGAAAGCATCTGACGACTTCGAACTGATCGCCGATATCCGCCAACTTTTGCAGCACCGTCTCTTTCAGCTCTACGGAGTTGATGTTCATGATCAGTAGGAAGCGGATGCATCCCCACGCTAGGGTTGCATACTCGGGCGCTGCCTGGGACACGACGTCTACGATCGGGGCGTAAAAGTAGATTGTAGAGCAAAATTTGTCGAGGCCGGACTTTATTTTCCGCACGATCTTGTTCGAACTCGCGGCCTCTTTTGCTCGTCTGTCCCGCGCGGCGAAGGCGGCGTTCCGGACGTCAACGAAGCACGCTGAGCGCTCTTGGATTTGGGCGAGCTTTTCTGTGTTGGCCAAGCTGTTGTATGTATGGACGGCTGATTTGAGTGCTTGGTATGATTGCTGGGTTCCATGGCTATTGCCTGGTTAGAATGCTCTAGCAAAGATATGAAGCGTGATATGAAGGAAATCTACAAACCTTTTCCAGATCTCTAAAGCCCACTGCTTCCCTTGACTAGGAGCTGGACTCGGGATCAATGCTCCATCTCCCTCTGCGAGTGGGAGTCGTCTTTGTAGCTGATCTAGAGTGGGTTTTGCGCCTATAGTGGACGCCCGTTTGGGGGGCTTGATGAAGCTTATGCCTTCAGAGAGCTCCATGCTCGTAAACGCGTCTCTCTGTTGATAGTTCGCCTACTTTTACGAATAGTCGCCTTTGGTCCGTTGTAGTGATTCTTCATTCATACCGTCGTTTTCTTGGAGGTGGAAAGGCGGATACTGCACTACCAGGCTGCCTGCACCTAGGTAGCAAATCCGGTCCTCTCCCTGATTGGACAAAATTGGCCCCCAACCCTAACGCGTGGGCTGAATTCTTGTGCCATCTAACCCCCAGCAAGTGCAGAGGATCGATAAGAAAAACGCCGGAAATAGCCAGCAATGCTTAGAAGGCGTCTCAGCCATTCTTACTGGGCGCGGGCGGCCATTCATCACGCCAATCGCGCCGGCCCGTCCATGTGGGGTGGTCCGGCGCATCCTGCTTTCGAAATCTGGAGACAGTGGTGGCGTTCTCCACGCCCTCTTCGCCCCCCCTGCCCCCGTACAAGCACTAAAAGCTTAGGCAAGCGTTGTGCGCCAGGGGGCTGACTGCCGCAGAACCTTAGAACCTTTGCGACCTTTCAAACCCAGTATATCCATAAGCGTGGACTCCAGACGACTACTGGGCAGAAGGATCGCGGCAACTAGCTTATAACACCCCTACCGCAGCAATCTTCTCTGGTACTTCGTATGGCTGCGACAGCCCCACCTGTTCAGCCTCAACCTCTCCCTCAACCTGGACTCTTGCAGGACTCGAAGAAGCCTTCGATTGCGCGGTACGATACGTTCGCTTCAACTGCAACTACCGCAACCCTCGAGACGGAAAATGAGAGTTGTGGCGAGTTGACTGGAAGTGAAGTAACTGCCCTAAGCCCTACCGCCATGGAGTCAACGGAGAAGCCAGCCGTCAATGGCAACGATCCGACGGCTCTCAAGGAGCTTGTGAGAGAGATTCTGAAGCAGGAACGACTTGAGATCCAGACCCAGGACCGCAATTCTGGACGACCTGAAGGACTTGATGGCCTCACGTCGCGGTTCCTGGCGTCGTACATTACAGAGCTAGAAAAGAAAGTTGCCGCACTCGAGAAGGATAAGAAAGAAGAACCAAAGGACGAGAGCAAGAAAGACGAAACCAAATCCGAGAAGAAAGAAGAGGAAGAGAACAAGGACGAGAATGGACGACCTAAGCTTGTAGTCAAAAGGCTTCGCAAGGAGACCACAGCTGCCGCAGCGGTCGCCGACGAAGACGAGAATGCAAAAGGGAAGAATGGGGCTGATCAGAAGCATATCTTGACCGTGACTCGTAACATCGAGAAAAACAACCAGAAGACCCTTGAGATTAGATCCAGACTGGTCATCCAGTTCCTTCGCAGGGCTGTCAAATATTACCCCGGGCAGGCCCTAGGAGGGAGTATGGTTGCTTTCATGGATCCATTCATGCTGCTTTTCCATTACAGAAAAAGCATTTCTGAGGAGCTAGCCAATCCTGAGCTGGATGTAGAGACGAGGACGCATCTCGAGCATGTTCTGGAATTTATGAAGACGGAGTGTCCGGAAGTTTCGCAGGAGCTAGACGCCTTGGAGGAAGATGAAGATCGGAAGGTCATCTCCTTCGCCAACTCTTGGCTTATCTTCCGTCCTGGAACGATCGTGTACTCGACACAAGAATCTGAAGATAAAGACGAGGGCGAGAAGGCAAAGGTGGTTGTTTCATCACCTGAAGGCGAAAAGCGTGCATACATGGTCGAAGAGTTGGCTGGCTGTGAAATCGAAAAATTGCCAAGTGGTCGGGAAATCCGAACCTCTCTGAAGCTCCGATGCTGGTCCATTGATTTCGATGGATATCGGTTTGGCCGGACATACACAGAGCTTTATGTTCGACCTTTCAATGGTTCCCGGGAGATCGAGCAGCTGGAGGTTGTGCCGGAGAAGTACAGTGATCCAGAAATCAGGGACAAATTGATTGAGAGAGGCCGTTCGTTCTGGAATTTGAAAGAGAAGGATAAAATATTCCGGTTGTACACTGGAAAGGCTTGGTCTAAGACTTCTTTAGCGGTGAGATTGCTACACATCCTCTATCCGGGCGCTTTTTGCAATACTGAACCATGCTTTAGGACACCCTCCGAGTGGTAGTAGACCACGCAGCGTACTCCAAGACCGGTAGCGAAGGTATCAAAATCGAGGGGGTCAGTAACCAATCGCAAGAAATGCACTGTCCATGCAGCGATTGCAAAGAGAAACGCGAGACGGCTCGACAAAACTTTGAGCGTTTGGATAGAGTGTCGCCATACGCAAAGTACAACTCGGTCGAGCCCGATTCTGAGCCGGACGACCTGACGCTACTACTCTGTCCAGATCGCGCGTACGCATTTTCTCTCCGCGATAAATCCTGGATGCCGGTCAAACTTCGTGATCTGAAAACTGTGGAGTTCAGGAAGAAGGCGTTCGACAAATTGGTCATGAAGGCTGATTACAAGCGGACTGTTCAAGCCCTCGTCTCCACATACACATCTGATGATCGTAAATTCCGCGACATCGTAGAAGGCAAGGGACGCGGTCTCGTGCTACTTCTCCATGGCCCACCTGGTACCGGTAAAACGTTGACAGCGGGTAAGCATGCTATACTCCCTTGGCAGACTAGTAGGGTTACTTTACTTACCACGAACAGAATGCGTTGCTGACGAATACCAACGCCCCCTCTACATGGTCACCTGTGGCGACCTGGGTACCGAGCCCTGGGAGCTCGAAATGAACTTGCGACGCATCTTCAAAGACGCCACAACATGGAACGCCGTCCTCCTCCTTGACGAAGCCGATATTTTCCTCCAAATGCGCGACTACAAAGATGTCAACCGCAACGCCCTCGTCTCCGTCTTCCTGCGAGAGCTCGAGTACTTTGACGGAATCCTGTTTCTCACAACGAACCGCGTTGGAGCGATCGACGAAGCGTTCCAATCCCGAATCCATGTGACGCTGGGTCTGCCGCTGCTAGACGAGGACTCGAGGAGGGATATTTGGAAAATCTTTATCAAGGATTTGAATGGCATACATAAAGATTCAAGGAAAGACTTGCTGAAACATGTGAATGCGAAGTTGGGAAAGTGTAACTTGAATGGGAGGCAGATTCGGAACTGTGTGAGGACGGCTATTGCGCTGGCGGATCAGGCGCACGTACCAATTAGTGCGAGGCATCTTGACGATGTGGTGAAGATGGGTGAGGAGTTTGCGGAGTATATGAAGACGTTGCATAAGATGGATGCTGGTAAGTTTACTGAGTTTGACACTGAATTGTGGGAGTAAAGGCTAACTTTGAGTAGAAGAGGTTCAGGCGTCAGTGGGGAACAGGTTGGCGAGTTGGAAGCCTAGGGATTAGAAGGAGAGGAAATTCTAAGTAACAATCCTTTCGCCGTAGTATTACAATTCTTCAACTCTGTTCACGGTATCAGTTTGTTGTAAAGCTAGCACGGAGTTTTGTGCCGAAAACGCCGAAAACATCGCTAAACCAGGGCGCTTCACCATATACTGCTCAAATCTGGAGGAAATTAGTGGAGATCGAAGACTGGACCGTGTGTCGTCTTAGGTGCGTCTACGCTGATTCACCTCTGCTTGGCCCGATGAAGATTCAGCAACTTACGGGCATATACAGTGCGTGGTCATAAATATCCTCACACTTTCCTGCCGCCGCTTATAGTGCATCATGGTAACTTCAGAAATCGATGGCGATGGATCACACTTCCAATCTGTGTACACTCCTCTGCCGCTGCTTGGGGCAGCCTGACGAGTTCACCAGTTGTTCAAAAGGCGGTACTTCCGTCTAAATTGGAGTTCTGAAAATAGCATGAGGCACCACAAGTGATGGTAGAGAAGTGTGCGGATATCTGTGACGAGACACAGTACGACGTCGTCTGACCGTGCTCAACGGGGCATCCTACTAGTCACAAGTAGACGCGGATCGAACCGAATCGTTCAAGAATGTATTGGAGTGCATCAAGCAGTGTCCAATATTTGTACACATCTTTGTGAAGTCGCGATGTAAGTCCAGGTCGACTCGATAATAATCCGCTTGCAGGTCACGTGGCATCTATTTTAGGCATATTCTACCTATGTGCCAGCTTACTTGGCAGATGTAAACGTAACCTCTGACATATTAGTAGAGATTGCGAAGCCACAGTAATGGGAAGCGTGGTAGCTTTCTGGGGTACCCCATACAGTGTCGGCCTGGCTTTCCAAGGTTCCAGGGTTCAGAGTGCGCTCTGATGCCACGTGATGCAACCCGCACAATAAATGGCCACGGCCACACCTACCTATTCACTTACACACACTCACGGAAACTACAGCCCGCTCAACTACTTCTCACGAATACCAAACAACAAACCAACAATACTCACTCGACTACCAACTCTTTCCAAATGGACTGGCTCAGTGTGCTGGAAGACGTGGCCCTCGAGGCAGAACTGGAAGATATGGCCCTCGAGGCAGGTACCCAAGCTCACGAGGAGGCCTTTTACACCCCGGCAAAGCTCAAAGATCCTCAACTTCTACGCGATGATACTCTCCAGCACATCCACGACATCCAAAATGGAGTCAACTCGCGCCAGAAGCGTTCCCAAATTGGCGCCTCACAGTGCCGGAAGCGAGAGACCACGGGCGGAAATGTCTTCTACTTGGTCAAGTTGGAGCCTCCATTCAGCACCCCAGAAGAGCTCGCCGTAGCCGCAAACCTTGGCCCGAACAATACACCCAGCGTGGAAAAAGCAACTGGAGACGAAGGCACAGCTCGTTTCTGTCGTCTGAGCCCCCATTCAAAGGACGTTCTAGTCGACTGGTTGAATCTAAAGCACCCCTCATACCGGCCAACTTTCATCAGAATCGGGAAGGCATCCAAGGAGCTGTCAAGCACGTCTACCTACCCCAGTCTAGGTGTCGATACTACACTTCCCCAACATCGACCCAATGCCTGGGACGCCTCGCGTCCATATCCTCTGCAGGACGAGTACCCCGTCTGGTACTTTTTCTACGGCACCCTTGCAGACCAAGACCTCTTGGCCAATCTGTTCGGGTGGAGTGACGTCGCTCATAAGTTGCCTATCTTATACCGCGCTTCTCTCAAAGGTGGCATCTTGAAGACGTGGGGTGGCCGATATAGGGCGATGATTGACTCACCTGGAAACCTCGTGGAGGGTTTTGCATACCAAGTCCAATCCAGGGACGAAGAAGACGCTTTACTGGTATATGAGACGGAGAAGTACGAGGTCGTGCGGTGCAATATAGTGCTGGAAGTTATTGCCTCCGTGGGTCTGAAGCAACTGGTAAAGGGCTGCACATTCAGGTATGCTGGATCTGAGGAAGACTTGGCTTGATGCGGGTAGGCGGTGCAAGAGAATTTACGGATATCCTTGTTGTTGTATGATGTCCTTTTCAGGCAGGTTGAATCGAGCTATCAGCCGGTAGTCCACTTTGTTAAAGGTTATATTTGGAAAGCTCTATGAGCTCACCCGGCGTCGTTATCACCTTCTCGACTTACGTATGTAAATTGTAAACAAATGCGAGGTATTTGTTCTTCCCCAATGCTCTCACTCTCCTCACTCTCCATACTCGCAGCACCACTTTCAGCCCACAACTCTCAAGCTTCGCAGCTCACACGACATCCGACACAATGTCTTCCCTTTTTTGTGCAGAAAACTTCTTCTCCCTCACACGGAGCCCGCCCGTCCGTCATACTTCTGCAGGTATACTCTCTTGGTCAATCGCGTCCCCCGCAAACGCAACCCCTCGTCCTTCGACAAGCACGCCACATGCCCGTGCCCATTTACCTTTCAACTTCGGTGTGGAACTCGAACTCATCATCCGACCGAAGCACATCGACTCGCTTCCTTTCGATCTCCGTCTTCCAGACTCCGATGCAACTCCACGACAGACGCGCGACTTCAACTTCACTCTGTTGAAAATGATTGCCCAGCTGCTATCGGCGTCCGAAATGCCTTGCAACGTGTTCGATCACAACTGCGATGAAGAACCCGATTACACCAAATGGAACGCCACGCTTGATGCCTCCATTTCCAAGGCCCATATTGCCAACGGTTTCTGTAAGCCTGCTTTGAAGCAAGGCACAAAACTGTCTCCATTCTTAGAACCTATTCACATGAATAAGTTTTCTCAAGAATGCTGACACGCTTTGCTGCATAGATCCTGTAGAAATCGTCACTCCGATCATCAAGGCAGACGCTGATTGGGTCTACACCATCGACAAGTTCTGGTCGGTTATGGACGATGCATTCCTCTATCGTCGGGACATCTCCTGTGGTACCCATGTCCATATTTCGCCAGCCTCCGGGTCATATAGTCTCGTCCAACTTCGTCAAGTGGCAAAGGCCGTCGCCTTTTATGAGCCAGAAACCGCACGATGGGGTCCCATGTCAAGACAAGATCGTATCTCCGCGTTTTGCAAGAGCAACATCAAGGGATGCACACCTATCGCCAGGCTTATCAAGCAGCGTGGCTTCTTGCGTGGCATTAAAGATGCCTTTGAAGTCATAGAAACGTCGGAGAGAGATCAAATTGTCGATTTTGTGTCTCCCGACAAATACGTCTCGTGGAACTTTCGCTCGGCGAAGACAACTGGTTTTGGTAGCATCGAGTTCCGAAGACCTCCAGGCGTTACAACTACTTGGCAAACAAAACACTGGGTTGCATTTACCATGGCTTTTACTGAAATGGCAATTCAAGCAAGTCCGGAGCAGTTCGACCCGCCGTCTTCCCAGAACATCGACCGCTTCCCGCAGCCCACGTTCGACACGTTACTGATGAACGCGGCCTATGGAATTCGAGTCAATATGGAAATAGATCAAGCACTCGGCCTATACGACGATGCGAGATCCCTCCATATAGCCAACATCACTGACGAGAACTTGGAATGGCTGTGGAGGGCTGACTGGGAGTACATGCCTAATATTGACGATACTGACGAGTGATTCTAGTTTTCTTTTTCCACTGACAGTTACTTTCTTCTATATCTACTGACCGCCGAACGGCAACACTCCGCGTTTACATGCTCTTACCGCCAAAAAACAAAAACAATCGCAAAAAAACTTCAAAATAGATAGGAGGGAGCCTCTGAGGGTTGGCATGAGATCGGGGCCTCTAGCTTTCAACCGAAGAAGACGAACTCCGAAAAACGCGGTGGCAAAAATGATATCTTGGGCCTTATGGACTTACTGCGAACATCGTATACGACGACTGCTTCACGTTCAACATCAACTTACTGCTACGTCTTACGCTTCACATTTTTATACTCCATCCTACACTTCTCCTTTTCCTTAGGCCGCGATGATCACCGTCACCGTGGGCCAAAACTAAGTCTATGATCTACCAACTACTCCCTTTTCCGTAGAAAAGAACCAAGCTAACCGTTATGGACTAAGAGCCAACAGACGCAGAATCCGACCCGAAGCCCCCCAGTCCTACGCCCGAGACGCGCCTTGTAGTGACATGCACGGAGGGATAGGCTGTTGGCGGGTTCGACTTTCGGTTTCGGTTTGATTAAACACTCCCGCATTTTCCGCACTTTGCTAAGTGAATCAGACACGGCATACGGCTGCAGCGCATGTGCGGAGGAACGAGGGTGGTGGTGGGTTCGAGTTTCGGTTTCGGTTCGACAAAATGATTCCGCACTGTCTTCATTCTGCTAAGTGAGTTAGACGTGGCGTGCAGCTGCAGCGCATGTGCGGAGGAAAGAGGCTGTTGGCGGGGTTGAACTCAGGTTTTGGTTTGCTTAAGTATTGCCTCTGCGTCCTCGCTTTGCTAAATGATGTAGACGCGAAGTGGGACTGGTAGGAAGGGTTGGCGTGCTGTATGGGGCTTCAATTGCCGCGAAGCGTGTGCGTGGTGGATGAGTGATCTGCGTGTTTGGGACTAGACTGGAGCGTTGAGAAGTGTACATATGAGATAACGCCGAAATTCAAATCTGTTTGCATCTATTTTGCTACTGGCTGAGGTGCTTCAGACCGTCTTTGAAAATCAAATATCACGCCAAGTCCGTCGAGGCAAATTTCAAGGTAACTTCCAAATGGCTGTCGTGACGAAACCGTTGGGCCACTGAGTGCAATTTAGACTCCGTTCAAACTCTCTTGTGTACATTCATACCACTGTCGGAAGGGCTTTAATGTAGCTCTGACAGTGAGTAGGTGATGTAAAGTTTCTCGCACCGGTAATCAGATATACGTTGATTGATACCAATCTACGGCCAGATGACATCGTCTGAGGTGACCTGGCAAGCTTACCAACTGTCCAAAACGTTTGTGAATCTTGACGTCTAGAGTCTCGAGGATGTATTGAAGGACTTCAAACGGCGACAGACAAGTCTACAACGGACTTTTCTCACGGCACTGTATTGAGATATCGAATGTGTACTATTCAGGGTCGTTACATGAAGTGTCATCCACACGTTGGCTGACCACAATCCAACCATCTGGGTACCGTAGCCTGAGCGCACAATCCATGCGCCCGATCGATGGTATTCAACCCCGAATGACCCTCGGAAGCCCACTCGCTGAAAATATCGTATGCATCGTTAAGTGCTCTACGCCCTCAACCCTGCCGTTGTTCGGACACCTGGCGGATATATTCCAGCACGGTCCGCCGCTCCATACACCCTCCCCACTCGTCATCCGTATGCTTCTTTATGACTCTCCGGACTCGTCTCGCATCGGTTGACTCCAGATCTTCATCATCCTCGGCAGTCCATACGCCCCTCCTCTCAGGCCACGGCTCCCCATGGGCTACCTTAGCCAATACCTCTTCCGACAGCTTGGCTCTAGTCATGCAAGCACGCATGACGTCTCTGATGAGCTCATCGTCGTAGCCGCGGTCTAGCATCTCATGGTAGAACTCCATAGTAGCCTCGCCGTCGAGAGGTGGGTCCGGGTCCTCTTGGCTGTCCCATTCGACGTCTGAGTCCATGTCAGGTTCGGGCATGTTCAGGTCCAGCGGTGGAGTAGACTGGCGCTGGCGTTCAAGATGCTCTAAGCTGCGAAATTCCTGGATCGAGTGCGATGTTCCATCGGAAGCAGCATGGTCCGGAAGCGGAGAGGATGACCGGTCGCTCGAATGGTCCAAGTGCGTGTCGGGGAGTTCGACTGGGCCGGTATCAGGGTTCTCTCCCTGCGTATAAGAAAGATCGGGGACATCAACATTAGGAATATGTTCCTGCGAGTTGGGGAGGTCGGCTAGGCCTACATCAAGCACCTGTGTTGGGTCCGCGAGAATTGCCTGCGTGTCAAGCGCTGTGGGGGGTTTATAGCGGCTTTGGTGAGGAGATGGAGACGCAGAAGCATCGTCAAATACGGTCTGCTCCTTGTGATCAACTTCCTCCACTTCGTCTTGCCCCTCGTCTTCCTGCTCCTCCTCACTTTCATCTTCATCGTCGCTCAGGTCGATTACTCGATGCTTCGGAGTTCTGGCCTCTTGTGCTTCTTCTGGGGCTTCATCTTCCTCCTCGGGTTCAGAATCGTCCGAAACATCAACATATATCCTCTGGGCGTTTTGCTCCATGGACGGGTCCTCATGACTGCTTTCCGCCGCCTGGTCGTCCTCCATTGCGTCTTGGCTTTGATCCACTACGTCTTGATCTTGGCCCTCCATCTCGTTCTGGACATCGCCCTGATTAGCTACGCTTTCCTGCTGGCGTTGCTTCTTACTTCTCCGTGAGTCTGAGAACTCCTTCTGTGTTTCCTCACTTTCGTCGTCCTCTTCACGGCCTCGTTTGCTAGAATTGCCTTTGCTAGAGTTTATATATTGGAGGCGCCATTCCCGGTACTCAGTTGGATTACTTTCTAGGCGATGGCGTTCCCTGTCGGCAGCTTCTAGTTGGTAGTAAGGGGCTTGCTCCTTTCCTGATAAAGCTTTCCAACGTGGGTTAAGTTTTCGATGAGGAGCTGCTGTTCACAAAGTTTTAGCGCATGGCAAGTAGCTCAGCATAAATCTACTTACAATAGTCAGTAGGATCGCAGTCCTCGAGTTCGTGTCGATGAGCTTCGAAATAAAATCGGTAAGCAACCATTTGTTGCCGGCCTTTTCGATGCCCCATCAGCTCGTATATCAGATCGTCGCGTGATTTTACAGAGTCCCCTACAGCTAGAGACTGCATCGTCGCAGTGGAAGCTTGCACAGGTGACTTTCTTGGTTTCTGTGCAGACGATGAGTTCCGATTCTTGGTGTTTTTCTTTGGTGTGTAGATAATCACGCTCGGAGATGGTGGTCTTTGACGTTGCTCCTTAGCTGGCTTCACCTCAATTGTGTCCTTTACGTCTTGGTCCTTCTCCCAACGCGGGAGCACCGTTTTCTCGTAGAAGTCTCGCCATTGTTGAGCAGTGTGGTCGGTACCTTGGGCCCATGGCTCCCAGCCCGCTATATAATCTCTAGCCGGAGCGTTTTGGATAATGGGAACATTGTTGTATAATTCGTCCCAGTCTTCCGAGTTCCAAACTGGGGAGCCGGCTTCTCGGGGCTGTTCTGCTTCTTCCGGTTCCTCAACTTCACTCCGAACTTGTTTTATTCTATCCGCGTTTCTCGAAACTGTGCTGTCCTTCCGTCGTTCGGAAACGGGCTGGCGAGCGGCTGAGTCAACATCGGACGGAGGTACATCGGAAGGAGGTGAGAGTGGGCCATTAGTAGGCGCGCAACCAGGAGGCGGTTTGTATTGCAAATGTTTGACGTAGCGATCTCGCCATGATTGCCATGGGTGGCGTGGATTCTGCACTTGTCAATCAATGAAGTTAGGAAAATCTGGAAGACCATACCTTTTCCTCCAACTGCTTGTAAATCACGTTGCCCATGATTGCGCTCCCGTCGCGTTCATACGACTTGATCCAGTTGTACAGCTGTCTATCGTCTTCAGCGGTGAATGGAATGCGGCCACTCTTCGTCGGTCTGAATGAACCAATTTCTCGCACCGTACCCGCTGGTTCGCCTGCGACGTGGTCGTCTGGGTCTTGCAGCTCGCCTTTCCGGATGGATTGCTCAATAAACGTGTATGAGATGCTGCCTGCTGGAATGTCTTTGCGCATGTGATCCACAATGATATAGTCCGCCAGCTTCTCGAGTGGCACGACCTTGCCGCCGTTGCTTTTGACTTGTTCGACGAATGACGAGCGCATAGGACAGCGCTGAGCTATAAAGAACTTCTTGCCAGCGAACAGCTGCCCTTGGAGATCTGCTCCTTCGGCAACATCGCTATAAACCACTTGCGGCCGAACTTCTGCCATATCGCTGTCCTGTACTGTAGCTCCGGGAGGCCGTCGTTGGCTCGCCGACGATGGTGAACGGCTGTGTTTATCCCTAGAAGTTTCCAGGTAGCACTGTTGCGCCCCAAAAAGGGCGTTCAGAAGACTGCAGTCGGAGTCGCGGTGGAAAAGAGTCGGGTCTTGGATAGAATTGAGGTCGTAAAGTGTACAGAGGGTGGAGGGAGTGAGTTGGAGTCCAGAAATCGTGGGATGTTGGTCTTTTGACGCGACGCGATCTGCGATCTACAATAAATAGTGCCAAGACATTAAACTAATGTCAACCCTTCAACATCTCCATGTTCACCAACAAACAACAATCACAAGAAAACCGAACCGAGTACTTCGGATTCAAATGCAGCGCATTTGTATCCAGCTTTGATGGCAGCCAGCCGGGCGCGTCACACTTCAATTACTTCTGCCCCAACATGAGCTCAGGACGATCTCGCCCTCTATTCCCGCCGACATGTCTTTGCTCCAGAAACTTGCGATATTTACAATCTCTGTCTCCTTCATAACATTTGTCGCCTTCTTTGGCAGACTTCCGGCTCTAAGGTACGATGCGTGGGCTCCATAATAGATGACGTCGATTCTAAGCGCCATTACAGAAACACCCCCATCGGCTTCCTCCACCGTTTACTGATAATACACCTCCCGAATGGTATGCGGAATGTCGATTTATACCTCACCAATGGCCGTATTACAAATGGAAGCTCGCGACTGGGCCACTATCTTATGCATGAGAAGCACCCCGTTGTTGTGGTATGAATCTTGGTTGTTCTCAGCTTTATCTTGGGCTAACACCACCAGATTTTCTTTCTAGGCCTTATAACAGGCAGCGCATCCCTCTTCGTCCCTGCTGTTTGGTCAAAGCTCCTCGCCAAACACAAGGCTATCTTACTTCTCGTTCTTCCTCTTCCATACCTCTTTACGTATCTCAGCGCTCGCCGCAACCTCCAAACGCATGTCACGGCCTCTAATCACACGGCTCAAATGCGACACTACCCATATGACCGAATACTATACTACCCAGGGAACGAATGCCGGACCTGCCACCTCCTCAAACCTGCTCGAAGTAAACACTGCAGTATCTGTAAAACCTGTGTTGCGCGAGCGGATCACCACTGTGTCTGGGTCAATAATTGTCTGGGACGCGGCAACTACAAATGGTTCCTGGCGCTTCTCCTTTCTACCGGCCTACTGCTGGCATATGGAGCATACCTGGCCTATCTCGTGCTTGCGCCACAAGTAAAAGCACGGTATGCGCGATACGAGTACTATTACAGATATCCGGCCCAGCCGGCCGAGACGACGCGCTTAGCGGTTTTGGTCGGCTCCATTTTGGAACGCACGCATTACCTAATCACCTACCTATCCATAGCCTTGGACATCGGCTCTGTATCCATTGCCGGAGTCGGGCTTCTAGCTCTTCTGACTTGGCCCATGCCCCTCGGCTTACTAGGCTACCACATGTACCTTATATGGGCGGGTATGACGACCAATGAGAGCAGCAAGTGGGCTGACTGGCGAGATGACATGTACGACGGGGTCGTCTTCTTGGGACTGCAGAAGAGCAAAGAGGAAGATAATCATCTAGATCCGGAACGTGAACTGGAGGAACCACCCACGTCATGGCCAGTTTCGGGCAGACATCTTCTAGTGCGCACCAGGGACGGCCAACCGCCTCAGCAGTTGTCCCGGCGTCTTCGAGAGGCCGCTCAGGAGGGGAGTTGGGAGCGGTGTTGGCGGCTAGCGGAGGTGGAGAATGTGTATGATCTAGGGTTTTGGGACAACCTGATGGAAGCTCTAACGTAATGCTGTGGAAGGAATACTTATATAGTGAGGTCCCATCCAAATGTCACCTAGTATACTGCTCGATGTATCCTGCGATCGCCAAGCTTCTATTCATATCAAATACAGAGTGAAAGGCAGTAAGCTGATATATCCAGCTTGCTTTAGGGCTTTCAATGCCCCTGGGCTTCTAATCAAGAGCCTGCTCTCATGCGTCTATTCCATACTTTACCTGCTGTCGATCTGTGAAGAAGGCCTTTGTTCATCCTTGAATGGTGGACTTTGAGGGCCGTGCACCCGGACCCTCCTTCGTAGATCTTGGGTGCTTGGGTAGCTCCGCCTCAGCTCCACCTCGAACCGTGGGACGTACCTCATTGTGCCGCCTTCGCCAGCCGGATTGTGAAGCGCGTTGTGTTGGCGCGGCGCGCTCACTCTACCAGGACCTTTCGCGCTGCTGCGAAGGCTCGTATCTCCTCGTAGGCACCGTCACTCGAAGCCTCGAAGCTCCACGCCCCGCTATCCTTCACCCAACGCGCGAAGCTCTCGCCATGACCCGCGCCTGCTAGGAATTGCTACAGACCTCCATGGAAGCACGCACTCGGTGAGAGTATTTTCGGAATGGAGGCAGACTGGGACGAGGTACGGAGAAGAGTCCAGACCCCGCAACCGCGAATTCATTTAACCAGCATTGTTCACACAGGTCGGCCTCATACAGCTCCCCCCACCTGGGCCGCAACATGCACCATCACCGGTGACGACATTCACTTTCGATACCACTCAAGAGCTCCTATGGACCGGGAATGACTATGTGCGTCCATTTCACGCCTTCTAGGCCGGCAGATTTGAATGAAAGCTGACCGTTCTAGGGGCGCATTACCTCCTTCTATGGCTCTAGTCTCGACAGGTACACGTCATATCGAGGACACGCTCCATCCGAAGGTGCTGTTAAACAGATATTGCTCACCGAGAACGGCGTATTGTCTATTTCGAAGGGAAGCATACACTTTGCCATCCGCCGCGGATTGACACAATGGCATCTTGCGTACGTCGTGGTCAATACTTGGGACTGAAGGCTGGATACTGATATTGTGGCGTAGCGACGACGTCTTCGCGGATTTACGATGCATGAATTTCACTTCCAAGGGGACTAGAGAAGTGCTTGTAGCAGGATGCCAGGATCATATGTTCAAAGTGAACGTTGATAAAGGGATTATCGTGGAAACGGTTAGTGATGTATCTCGGACTTGTATAGTGGCAATAACTGATATAAGCCAGATTCCTACCGCGTCATATTATACTATTATGAAGAGGACAGGACAGTATGTTTGCGCGGCAACAGACGGCGGAGAGGTGCATATCCTCGACTCAGGAAACTTGAACTTGGTTCACACATTTAAGGCGCACGCCGGATCAATCAATGATATGGACGCGAAAGCCGACTTCCTTGTAACTTGCGGCTGGTCTCCTCGACAGCAGTATGGCTTCATGTTAGATCCGTTCACTAATGTCTTCTCTTTAAAGACACTGTCCGCACTACCGCCCATACCTTTCCACACCGGCGCAGCCTTTGTCAGAATGCATCCTCGAATGTCCACGACAAGTATCATTGCGTCTCAGAACGGTCAGATGCAAGTAATCGATCTCATGAACCCTGATACAGCCAACCTCCGTCAAGTAAATCTCTATGACGCGTTTTTGACGGGATTCGAGATCGCGCCCTCTGGGGAAGCATTTGCAATGGCAAGCAACACCTGTAACGTCCATCTTTGGGGGTCTCCTTCCAAGATACATTTCCCAGAATACACCAATCCCACGGAATTTGCGGATCAACCTGTCCCACCACCTTCCATGGACTGGTCTATTGATACGTAAGTTGATCGCATCGACCTACTGGCTCGGCAATACGCTGACCGCTCTTTTAGACCACTGAGCACAGTTGGAATGCCCCCCTACAAAGAGCCGCTGCTGTCTGCTTGGCCGAGTCACATGGTCTTCGAGGTTGGCGCCCCACCTCCGAAGCCTGACCCCGTGGTACAGAACAACATGGTGAAATCAGAGATGGGCTTCTGGGCGCGTAATCCCAATACTAAACGTAGAAACCAGATTGAGGATACCCGTCTTCCTGATCGGATCAACGAATCTCTCAACGCCCCCAAATTTCTCAGCGAGAAGGCACGATCAGCTCAATCGGCCAGCGACGTGAATTTAAAAGCTCGAGAAACTATGGAGACCTTAACGGACATGCACCTGGACGACGTGACGCGGAAAGATGTCCCTGCCATGTATGGTAACGTGGAAATCAAATACAGCAAGTATGGAGTCGATGATTTTGATTTCGCGTAAGCCTTCTCTCCCGCCCTAAATTCGACATGCTTACAATTAGCAGTTTCTATAACCAAACCACGTTCTCGGGACTAGAAACTCACATAGCAAACTCATACGCCAATCCACTACTTCAGCTGTGCCGGTTCACCCCTTGGATACGAAATCTCGCTCTTTACCATACTGCTTCATCATGTCTTTATGAGACATGTCTTCTCTGCGAACTCGGGTTCCTGGTCGACATGCTCGAAAAAGCTAACGGGGTGAATTGTCAAGCGTCTAACTTCTTAAAGACTTTCAGCAGCCTCTCGAATGCAGCGTCACTGAATGTGCTTGAGGAATTGTCTCCAAACGTTGCCCTAACCACCATGATTCAGAACTTCAACCGGTTCTTGTTTCACAAGATTTCAGAGGAGTTTCGTAGGATGGGTCCGTATCCCTCTGATCGATCCCCACTGGATGAGGCCCTTGAAACACAGGCCTGGGCCAGCATGCGATGCGGAGTCTGCCGAAATGAGATCCTGACAGACGGGAAAACATTCGTAAACGAATTGATATATCCACCGAAGCATACGGCCAAACTAAGGCCTCCACCAACATTCTCACAAATCCTAAAAGCGAGTGTCGAGAGGCAGGACCAACCACGAGGGTGGTGTCCCAAGTGCAGACGGTATACGCAAATGAACCAGAAGAAGACCATACAGTCGGTTCCGGATGTCTTGATGCTTAACGCAGCGATCCAAAGCCACGAAGCTAAGCAACTGTGGGCGACTCCAAATTGGCTGCCTACGGAAATCGGCATTATCGTCGAGCAAGGCAATTTCTTTTGCTACGAAGGGATTGATATCAATCAACACCTCCAGCGAGGGGTTTACAAAATGGAGATATACGAGCTCATTGGTGTTGTAGCAGATATCAACAGCGGTGAACATCAGAAGCCCCATCTTGTTTCCATGATCAACACCAGCATATCTTCTCCGGAACCTTCGTCAGCGGAAAAATGGTACCTATTCAATGACTTCCTCGTCCGCCCAATTCCAAAAGACGAAGCATTACGGTTCGAGCCGACTTGGAAATTGCCTGCTGTGCTCACCTATCAGAAGAAAAGTGCCAGACACATGATCGACAACACGTGGAAAGAGAATTTGGATACACAGGTTCTGTTCCGCTGGTGGTCTACCCAACCAGAGCCTCCCGAAGACCGCTTCAAGCTCCTAGATCCGTACACCGAAATGCCATACTCGGGCTTTCCCGTCGCAATCGACGCCGAATTCATCCGCCTCCAATCGGAAGAGATCGAAATGAGCGCAGACGGCACGCGCGAAGTCATCCGCCCCGATCGCAAAGGCCTGGGCCGCGTGTCCGTGTGCCGGGGCTCGGGCGAGCTCGCGCGCCTCCCGTTCATCGACGACTACATCGCCGTGACAGAGCCCATCGTCGACTACCTGACGGTGTGGTCGGGCATCAACCCGGGCGACCTCGACCGCTCGACGTCGCCACACTCGCCCATCGGGCTGAAGCTCGCGTACAAGAAGCTCTGGCTGCTGCTGAACAAGGGCTGCGTCTTCGTCGGCCACAGCCTCGCCAACGACTTCCGCACCATCAACATGCACGTGCCGAAGCGGCAGGTCGTCGACACGGTCGACCTCTTCTTCAAGCCCTCGCTCCACCGCAAGCTCAACCTCAAGTTCCTGGCCTGGTGTGTGCTGAAGGAGAAGATCCAGCAGAGCAACCACGACAGCATTGAGGACGCGACGACGGCGCTGAAGCTGTGGCGCAAGCACCAGGAGTTTGTGGATGCCGGCGTGCTGGAGCAGATGCTCAATGATATATACTCGATTGGGCGCGATGTGGGCTTCAGGGCTCCCGGGAGTGAGGGCGTGAGGCCGAGCACCGCGGGGGGGCGCAGCGATACGCCGGAGCCGGGGCAGAGGAGCGACACGCCGAGTTCGGGGCCGACGCCGCGCAAGACGGGGTTTGGCAGGGGGTTGGCGATTGGGAGTCCGAGTCCGATGAAGTAGGGTGCGTTGGATGGGGTCATTACCAGCTTAGCTGTGGAGGGCGGGGAGGAATAAGGGGTTGTTGAAACGAGCGGAATGGACCGCTGTATGTATAGAGGTGGCGAGAGCAAGGCATCGAGGTGCTGGCGCTCGCTGCGGGGATGGCGGAGATGTATGAGCGAGATATGGGCTAGAGGACAGGTATTGGGGGGGAAGGAAGATTTCACGCCGTGTTGCATACTCTCTGGTACTCCCTTTCGCCTGTGCTCGATGGCGCAAAAGGAATGAGGAGTGGATTAGGGCAGCGTGAAGCACTCGCAGGAATGAATACTCTAGACTCCTTGCATACCAAGCAAAATGCTCTCCTTAACTAAGACACCCGTCCATATAAGCTCCCCTTCCTTCCTTCCTTCCTGCCTCCATCCTACCCCAAAACCACTCTCCCTCACGCTCCTCAACCATCCACGCCAAACCCCCCCCCCCCCCCCTTCCAAAAGCCCCAAGTATAGCACACACCACCACGTCACGTCCAAACACAGCAACTCTCTTGGCCGCTCAAATCTGGGGGGAAAAAAAAAATCAAAAAATCAAAAAATCGTTGAAAAGCCAGAGTGTCGGCCAGACCCACGGGCGAGAGACTCCAGCCAGACCGTGGCAAGAAGACCGTGGCTAGATTGCGCCGTGGTAGGAAGACTCAGGGGCAAGATCGTTTTTCGTGTTCTGCTTTGGTCTTTGTTGATGTGTGCCTCTTTTCTGTGGGTGAGTTGTGCTGGGGCCGCTGTGGTTTAGAAGGCTGGGCGGTGGGGGGTTCTGAAAAGGGGTTGGAGAGGAGGCGGGGGTGAGTGGGGGCGGTGCTGAGGAAGGGGAAGGGAGGGGAGGGGAGGAGGGGGTGGGTGGTGGCGGAGATGGGAGAGAGGGATGAGAATGAGGATGAGGAGTATCTTTTCTTATTCGAGGCATGAAGAGAGATTGTGGCGGGAGCATAGTGTGGCGTGAATCGTTTCTTTTCTTCAAGCTCGGAGCCCTAGCGTCGTCACAGCATTGACAGCACCAATTGTCGCCAACAAATCGGATCGCTTGCTGGAACTACGGTCATGTAATGGTTGTATTTTTGAACATCCCATCTGTATCCATCGACATCGCCGCTGTACCGCAGCTGGCATATATGATCCTCTCTGTACCTGCACCTTCCCTCAAACGCAACCAACCAACCACTAATCTTCTATGTACGCACAGCCCCATCTCTATGCATATATTCCTCTTGAAAACAACAAAGACATAAACACGAACAGAGCAAAAAAGCCCGTGGGCTGCAGCGACGCTAGAATCGCGCGCAAGAGAAAGTAGACACAGCAAAACATGGGAGAGTTTGCTAAATCCCCCCCGGGCTTTTTATACGAGGCAATGTTTTTGCACGTCGAAAAAACACAGAAACTCCAGTCCCCGTGGGCGCGGCAGGAATAAAGCGGCCTAAAATCGCAAAAACAGTTGAGAGAAATGCCCATGCCTCTCCTTCTATAGAATGGAAACAATGGGGCGATTGAAAAAAAAAAAGGGAAGATGAGGAGGGGGGGTGGGTAGGGATGAGATGGAAGCCTCTACCCAGGAGCCGAACGCCGTGGATTACACCGCGCATAACGCAGAAAAAACGTAACACGCTTGAGCTCGTGGATCTGCGTAAAAGGGAGCAGGAACGCAATGCGGAAAATTTGGACAAGTCGAAGCTGCTGACGGAAATCACACGAACTCGGGCCAGTAGTTGTAGGGCATGAGTGGAGGTCCGCGCCACTTCTCGCCGTACATGTTTGTGCGAGTGCCTGCGAAGAAGCCGTCATGGGCGTGCTCGAGGATGGAGATCCAAGACGAGGGTTCCGGGTGCTTGAGCCACTAAAAAAGTGATTTGTTAGCAGGGTTCGTGATTGGTTGGAGGTAGTAGCGAAGATAAGCAACAGGAATCACACAGTGCGAATATCGCAGAATTTCGGCTCCGCAGAACTCGATCTCGCAGCGAACGGCGGATATGGTGTGCAGGGAAATAACATGGCGTCGGGTCGAGTGCTGGGATTTAGAAATTTAAGCTTACTTGGTTGTGAATGTGGTAGGTCCAGGCGCCGCGGAAGAAGTTCTCGAGGGTGCGGTTGTTGGGCGCGAACTTATCCTCCTCGAGGATGTAGTCAGAGACGACGCCCGCCTTTCGCAGCTCGGCTTCCTCGTCGGTCGTGGCGCTGAATGATTCCAGCGGTTCGACGGCTGGTGTGGGCGCTGCGGCTGATACGGGGGTGTTGTCTTCTCGATCCCTCTTCATGACTGGTGCTGGTGCGGCGGTGTCGATTTCGTTGGTTGAATCGTCTCGTAACCGCAGTTCCTTGACCCCAGCTGTTGCAAGATCGATCTTTTCCAGCTGTGGCCCATCGTAACTCTCCCACTCATCCTTGAATGCGCCCTGCTTGCCCTTGAAGGCTGCGCCGTAGTCTCGCAAGCAAGGGACTGTGCATCGTCCTTCCCTATCCCAGTTGAATTCGGTCCAGATAGGGTCAAATGCTGCGGTCTCCAGCATGAGGAATTCTTGGTCTCGTCCATCCTTCCACGCCATCCTGCCAAGAACTCGGGGATGGAAGTTCATGCCCATGCGCACGCCACCGCGGAGTAAGTAGGACGACAGTGACGAATTGGCTGTTAGCGACATAATCGCGGTGTTGTAGTCGCCTGGGTGGGGGTGCGCGGCCCAGCGCTCGGCAAATGAGTGCTCCTTGGGTAACAGCAATGGGCGCATATCTCGCAACATCAGTACGTCCATGTCATAGTAAGATCCGCCATAGACGTGCAGGACGACGAACCGCACTGCGTCAGACACAGCGACAGGGAGGAACGTCATTTGCTTCGGGGTAAGCACGAGCCACTGCTGACCATCCTTGTCCTCGATGATCCCGTCAGCGACAACTTTTTCGCCATTGGTGTTGGGCTTTGAGGGGCTTTTGTAGTAGTCCACTCCGTCAATGGTGTCGTTGGCCTTGGGAATGGGAATCCGAGAGGGGAACTTCCAAGCCATTAGGACGATGTCTCCCCGCTCCACTAGGGGCAGGAATCGTGCAAAAAGCGCATCCTTATTGAGCATGTCGCGAACGGCGTTCGGGTTTCTATCGCTATCCAGCCAGATAAACAGGCGTGAACAGGCCAGATTTTGGGTGTGGAGATAGCTCTTAACGAATGCCTCAACCCGCCATGTGGCCGGTCCGGTCCAGTAGGTGTGATATGGAATGATAGGGCCAGAACATGTTCCAATATTGGTTCTGTTTGCCGGGAGGGCGTCCGAGGTAGACACGTACTTGGATAGCGTATTATCGTGGCCGTCTGCGTTGTTGTACTCGGCCTCGCGAGGGTCCTGGATGCTGGCTCGGCTTGTTTCTTCGGGGAGGTGATAGTACTCCGACTCGTCATTGGCGAAGAACTGCAGGCAGTCGAACACGTTGCGCATCTTTTCTATCCCCAAGTATGTGCCTCTGCACTTCTCTACCAGCAGGTGTAGGTCAGCCTCAGTGTCGACGTGGGGCCGAGGGCCTAGGTAGTCGTCCTTCGCCTTGACAGCACCGACTGGCCTATTGAAGACATTGGCGTGAGGGTTGATGGTGACTGTCTTGGAGGATGACGCGAACTTGACTTCCAGCCCGGCCTTGGTGGTTTTGATGAGCTCGGCTGGCCCCGTCTTGTCCAGGAAGGCTGGGATTCCAAGCTTTCCCTTCGCCGCAATCTTGGGGTCCCGGGCTAGCGATATGATTCCAAAAATGACAGTGTACAGCAGGGCTGCACAGAACAGGTTCCTGAGCAGGGTGAAGAAGCTCCTGCGGTTGCGTCCGTCGGCCATGTCGAAAGGTCGCTAGGGGTACTGGACCCTGCCGCCGGTGTGTACAGGTGCGATTGTAGGCCCTCCAGCTCTGCCAGTGTCTCTATGTTTCCTTATGTGTCTCGGGCGAGGGGCCACGACGGTCTCGTGCTCAGAAGGTCGCGACAGGTGCGGCTGAAGCCTGGTGCACGGCGTGTGGCAGCAGTAAACCCGCAGTGGGCTCCGATGTGTGCTAACGAGGGCGGATAATCAATTCTGCAGTAGTAATTAGGTCGCCAGAGGGTCACCGGACACACTGGGGCGGTGGGCGAGGTGAAGTGGTTGTAGGGAGCGTGTGCCAGGCTCGGGGCGAGGCCAAGGAGCGACTGAGTCGGCTGTGCAGAGCAGGTACACGGGCGGTCCACGTTCAGGACGGATAAAAGATTGGGTGGTAAGAGTTGGTATGCGCCGTGAGAGCGGTGGGAGATGTAAAGGATAGACAAAGAAGAAGAAGAGTCTTGGGGCGGTGCAGGAGGTGAATGAAGGGCTCCTCTTCCAAGCTGGGGGCGCCGACTTGGGTGAAATTGGCCACGGGCTGAGACCGACATCACCACGGCGCAGGGCTGGGCGCGAGCGAGCCAATTCGCTGCCACCCAGCCCCTGACAGTCAGCGCGCAAGCCTAGCAAGCATGGGGAAAGCCTCGCGACTGGGACGGCGACAGTCCGCGGTGAATTCAACACCACGCAACGGCTATCGACACCCCGCGAGCCTGCTGGACTGCGAGACACATGCCGTCGCACCTGCTGCCGCGACGCCCGCAACTCGCCTTCGACCAGCTGCGACCACGCCTCCCGCGCCCGCTTGCGACACGGCTGAGATGCAGTCCGCTCTCCACACGCCAGTTCTCTCCCGAACACGTCGTGGTTCCGTGTCGGTCCAACGGCGCCGTTACGCTGAGGTCAGTGGTGCATGCACGTCTCTTTGCTCCGCCTCGTTGCGTGCAGCTATTATCCTCTTGCGCAGTCCTGCCCTGCTGTGGACGGCCAGCAGTCGATCTCCTGTGCGATGAAGTCACAACCAACTCTCCGCAAGGCCTCGTATTTGCTCAGGCATGCCCTGGTCGACTTGGCCCGGCCGGTTGCTGCCCACCTGCCCTGGCTGCCTGGGCATCTTCTGCCGAGAGTTCCACCAGCTTCCCTCCACTTGCGGGATTCGGGATCGCTAGTTTTCCTCTCTTCCTCTCCCAGCCCGCACATCTCTATCTTGCCGAGTCAGATTGGCCCGCTTCGCAGTCACATGATATCGATTTCCCTGTCTGCATGTATGCTTTGTTGAAGCATCTTCTCGTGCTTGAACTGGCATCGGTATTCGGGAACTGCGCTAACAATCACCAGTATATACCGATCCCGACATCTCACTACTCAGCCGGCGCCGGTGCTGATCTACCTCCCCGCTGGGCTCTCACTCCCCGGGCAGCCAGACGACTATGAAGATCAGTCTCTATCTGCACTCCTGGCTTCGTCCAGCAGCACTGTAGTACGCATCAACTACCGACGCTCCGAGCGCCATCAGTTTCCAACCCCTGTCCACGATGTTCTGACAGCGTACGATTGGATCCTTCAGAACCTAGTCAGATCCTCCACGACAGGACCCACAAATGGCCGCACTACGAGTAAACTTGCGCGATTAGGCGTGTATGGCGAGCTCGTCGGAGGTGGGCTTGCGGCAATGCTTGCACTAACAGAATGCAAGCTTGGCTCCAGCCGAATTGGCGCCGCAGCTGTCAACAATCCCGTCGTTGACTGGGTCTTCCCCGATGAGCTTGCGGCAATTATCAAACCTGATAGCAGCCCTGTGTATGAGGCTCAAGACGAATCCTACGGGAGCGACAGCCTCATGGACTGGTGGGCACAGCAAGAGGCGGAAGAAGTAGCAACCCCAAAGCCCCCGAAACGGGCGCCAAAAGCTGCAAAGTCTTCATGGAAAGACTACGCGCATAACGCTGCTTTACCGACGTCTGCCCTCCTTGAATCACGTGAGGTCTTCTTCAAGAAGCAAGAAGACTATTTCGATCGATTCGCATCGCCTATCTGCTTCTTCCGGTCCCCAAAAGGCGAGCTGGTGTATCCAGAACATGAAGATATCTTGGCATCGTCTTCGCCTCCCACGTCCGAAGTTGACAGTCCTACTCTAGACCCCGATCTATCGTTTCAGGAGATATTATCTGAAGTCGAGTCCCACGAGCCTCGTCCTCCACCTGCTCTTCCTACTTTGTTAAGGTGCCGCGCGTACTACCGGCCCTACCCACCTTCGCATCTCGACCTCGATTTACCATTCATGCGTATCACGACTGGGTCTGAGAGCCCTCTTCTGGACCAAGCATCCGAATTCAGTGGCATGACGAAGCGGGCAGTAGCGCGACAGATCACCTCAAACCGACATACCCGAGACAGCCGAGATAGCCAAGAAGGGGATCAACTGAAAGCCAAAGCTCAAGAAATTGCAGATCGCAAAGTCTCTTTGAGCGTGCAAGCCGGACTGGGGCTATGGACTGGGGTTAACAGTATAGAGGGATGGAAAAACAGCGTCGAAGAAGTAGGGTCCTGGATGAAGACAAGAATAAAAGCGTGAGGACATACAATTGCGGCGCACTGCTCGAGGTTCTCTGAGACCGCATTAAGATTCTAGAGCGACATTATTAGCAATCTTGATAAGTCTCCAGACCACCCCACACGGTGTTGAACTGCCACTCATGATGAAGGGTAATCGACTGGTCCATACGTCCTAGAAAATAGCAAAAATACACTTATTCGCGGCCTGCAGCGCCGATCGCTTAAAATATCATCCTTGGCACTTGGGGCGGAGTAAGGCTGACTTCATGCGGGCATGCGGGGCTTCCAGCCCTCGGAATTTTACGCGCGTATCGCTCGTCCTTCGTACGGAACAGACCACTACTCCGTACGTATGTTCAGCAGCTCACGATGCTGTCTCCCAATTTTCAGCGGCATAGCTACAACACATCTGAGCCGAGTCAGACATCAAGCAATTATGTTGAGTCACTCCACCACAGCAAACCTTGGAAGCTGCCACCTACCTAAAGTAGTTCCACCTGGCCCGCACAGCACCACGCTAGTCTCGATGGTGGCGAAACATCACAATGAGTCGAAATGCATCAAGATTTTCAATTTCCCCTTCTGTTGGAGACTGCTTTTTCCTTCAGCAGCTATGACTAGACCTTATGTCTTAAGTGTTCCCGTGATAATCTTCTGTAGAAAAGTCTGATCCTCTGTCTATGTCACTCCTCTCAGTCCTCATACATATTCTCTAGTCTCGCAACTGCATTTCAACTCAAGCTTCAGTAAATACCCCTTTTCTCAACCCAAGTCGAGGATCATCTCATCATCATGCCTGCGAAAACTCTCAACCTGAAAACAATATCTCAAGCCCGTCTCCAACCCTCTCAACCATCCTCTCAATCATCTACCCAACCCCTATCAACTATCGATTCATCAGTCCTCCATTTCGCCCCCACAGGCGCAATCTGGATCTACGACCCACCTACGCAAACCCCCTACTCTCCGTCACATCTCCTTGACAGCCTTCGTAAAACACTCTCATACTATCCCCAATGGTGCGGCCAGCTCTCCTGGACCCCCTTCAACCCCTCCCTCGGACACGCCAACCGCTGCCAGCGCGTCCAGCTAACATGGGGCTCTGCAAACGACCCTGGCGTTGAAGTTATAGTCGCGCACTCTCCTTTGAAAATCTCTGAAATATTACTAAATGCCGAGGAGAGGGCTAAGAAGTCATGGGAGCCCGCGAGCTTCCCCTCCCACGAGCTGTTCCCAGACATCAAGCTTGCGTTCGCAGATGCTGCAACCTACGAAGGACTTCCAGGGATGATTGTCCAGTTGACAGCCTTTGAGTGTGGAGCTCTAGCCGTCGCGGTGAAGATGGCACATGTTCTGGGTGACGCGCAGACGTTGATCACTTTCATGAAGGATTGGGCAAACATATATAGGGACCCGTAAGTAAAGCCCCTGATATAGCACCTCCACTACCCCTAAAGTCACTGATACTAACACGACCGCAGCCTCTTCACCCCTGAACCCCTCTTTTCCCCGTCCACCCTCTCCCACCGCGCCTCCGGCAACATCGACGCTCCCACCCCCGACCCCTCCCTCCTCTCTCTCGCCAACACCGTCTCCAGAACCCGCTACGACTACTACGCCCCCACCCCCTCCGCGCCCTCCTGGGCTGCAAGCGCCATGTCCCCTCCCCCCGACCTCTCCAGCACCCCCCTCGCACCCCCCGGCCGCCCACCGCCGTGGGAACTCTGGAACCAGCGCGCCGCCTCCAAAAAAGTAATCCTACACTTCACCGTCCCCGAAATCCTCGCCATCCACGCCGCCGTTACTCCAACCCGCGAGACGAAAGTGAGCCAGCACACAGCACTAGTCTCGCACGTCTGGCTCTCCCTCCTCCACGCGCGCGCCGCCACCTCCCCGCCTCCCGCCACGGCATCAGGCGCGGCGGTGCAGGGAAGGGAGCGGAAAGCGGATGTGGCACACCTAACCCTCTCCCTCTCCCTCCGCACGCGCGTGGCCCCGCCCCTGCCCGCGCAATTCCTAGGGTCGCCGATCGTGCATGCGGCGGCAGCGGTGCCGCTCCCCGGGACATCCGGCGCTCCGGCGCTGTCGCTGAGCGAGACTGCTACTGAGGTCACGGCGGCGCTGGCGTCGTTTGATAAGGAGAGGGTGGGAGCGCTGTTGCATGAGGCGGCATTTGTGGATGCGCCGGGGAGGTACTGGGATGCGTTTTTGGGGGAGCGGAATGGGATTGTGACGAGTTGGGTCAGGGCAGGGGTGTGGGAGGTAAGGTTTGGGGAGGGGGGAGCGAGGTATGTGGAGCCGGTTATGCCGGAGCTGGATGGGGTGGTTGTTGTGGTGGAGGCGGGAGGGAACGAGAATGGGGGGCATTGGACGGAGAATGGGGTTGATGTTATGGTGAGTGCGAGGGCGGAGGTGGTGGATGAGTTGGTTAGAGATGGGTACGTGAGGAAATTTAGGTAGGCGGAGGGAGTAAAGAGGTAAGGTAGAAGATACTATATGCATTTACTACAAGTCTTCGTAAACTTGCGCGCATTCTCTCACCTCTGCGCTGCTCTGCGCACATCTCCAGAAAAGAAAAGAAAAGAAAAAAAGACCATCCACGGAGCAAAACACCACCCTCTCTCGAGGGTGTAGCCACCCCGGACGGGGTTTCTCTAAGTCCGCCCGCCCGCGGTATCTTTCAATCCGTCATCTTCACCGACCACTCCCAGCCTCACGCACCAACTACATACCGTCTCTTAACCAGGCGTCCAAGCCTCTCTACGAACCAGGCCGCCCGAAGTCAACTCGACTTTTTAACACCGGAAAGGTCGAGTCGAGAATCGAACTCAAGACCCAGGTGAGGTTTGTCGACGGTAGTGAAACGCTACCTCGCGAGGTATGATGCCTGGGATCCGGCCGACGGGCTTACACACGATGTGGCCGACCAACTGAGCTAGAGGGGCGGGTTAGTGGATGGGTTTTGCATTTTACTTGAACTATATAGGCTGAGTGAGGACGCGGCAGGGAAATTACGTTGGGCGAGGCACGGGTTGGGATCACAACAAACGCGCCGCGCGCTCTCTCTCTCCCCAACACAACCGTAGATCTCGTCTTGTTCTATACCCGTGAAACGCTACCTCGAGACGCAGACATACACTCCACGTGGCCGATTCACCAATCCAGCTGCCGGACAACTCAGTTGATGGGGGATTCGCGTTTTATGGGGATGCATAGACGGAGTACGAATGACATCTGCCAGCGTTTTCAAGATATCTTACCTGAGACTCCGATGACAACCCCTGGCCCACGAAAATTCCATCCCCGGTGGCCAGTTTATGCGTCACCGCCACGGCTCCAGACACCAATTCCATTGCCCAACCTCGATTACCTCAAATCCCGTCTAAGACGTCGACGCGGGTTCTACGTACCACATCACAATGGGCGACGAGCACAGCAGATGCGAGGAAGATGAGGTCGAACAGGGCGATGAGGATGGCTGTGTGGAGGGCGATTAGATTAACGGGCTCATGGAGACTATGCGGCTCGTGGGCGAAGGGGGGAAGGGCCACCATCTTCCGCATCTACAACCGCCTTCATAGTCTAGAAAGCGGAGACATCGCCAGCCACCAGCACGAGGACCGAAAACGGCGATATTGGGTCATTTGGTGGAAGCTTCCCTCGGCACCTCTCTGCGCGCTTCCAATAAAATCCTACGATGGTCAGGGTATTGGGGGATTCCGCAATGATATCAAGGCCTTGCACATGAGCATCAAGCGTCAAGGGGACAATACGCATCACGAAGATGCTCCAGGGCCAGCCCTTGAAATGACCCTCAACAGCCAGTTCACTCCGCGAGCCTCGTCTTACGTTGTCCTAGAACCTACATCGATTATCCCCACTGCAGAGACGAGGTTTGCCCATAGACTGACCGATCAGAGCTTTAGGAATCTGCACGAAACTATGACGCAGCGCGTCAACAATAGTTTGTATGTGAAGTTGAACGGCGAACCCTTGAATGAATCTGGAGTGTGAAATCAAGCACTGAGAGTCGATAAAATGGATATAGGGTGGGCTTTAGCTGTCCCCACTGCATCGTAGGTCGTAGAATGGTTAGGTTAGGGTTTTGCTCTATACTAGTCCAGATCTATTTTAGCTTGGTGGTTCCAGATGGCGTATACATTGATTTGGCCATCACCTGGCAGGTCCCCATCGGGTTGTACAACATGCAAATGGCCCAGAAAGCAACAGGACGAAGGCTCCCCACTCCAACGCTCACCATCGTACACATCACCAGTCTCGCCGCACGACATATGTTTCGACTCAATTCACGAGTGGGCGAAGTTGGCGGCGAGGAGAGGAAGAATCTGCGACATCCCCAAGCCTCGGATTCCGCCTAGGATTTCAACCTGCTGCTCCTGCTGTCCGAACTCCCATTCCGACAGGCGCTATCCACCCTGGGCACATTGTCATCCACGAGTTGCCAATTGCGGGCGAGAAATCACGGCCATACGTGATCTACCAAAAATGGCCCGGGGGGAAGCTCCAAGCATGCCTCATTACAAGACGCAACGGTACCGGCCTATTGAGCGTCCCTGACTGGGCAAAGGTACAGTACATGGGAATCAAGCTCCAGAGTGATACAGATTACCTGAATCGTGCTCCGTGACAGGAGCTGGAGGTGGTGAAGACAGAGGGGTGGCCTCAATTCACACCCAGACCGAATTCGTACGTGCGCTTGGATACATGTACTATCAAGCCAAGGGCAACTATGGAGATCGTCGGCTTACTGACACCGGCAAGCTGCCGATTGGTACACGCCGAGTTCATTGCGCGGCTACAGAACCACAGCATCGTGATCCTAGACATCAGCAAGGAGATCTAATGAGGGTTTCGCACGAGTCGATCTTTCATCACCAGATTTAAGGAGCGCTGAAACAGAATGAAAGTCTTCATGTTTGTCTCAGCTGCTCACAAACAGTTACGGGAGGGGGGTTGGAAGTTGCTTGATAGGGCTATGTCGGGCTTCCTTTGAATGTCTAGTCTAGGTAACATTTAGCAGTTTCCCTGCACTTATGCATGCATGGAACTATTACTTCTGTGGTTTTGTCAAAATTTGCATGCAATACCTAGATATGGCAAGAAAGAGGCTCTTTTAAAAAGAAATTGGTCTATCTGATAGTGATACTACTGATCATAAAGGGCGGAATTGAAGAGCCTAAACACACGACGTTTTCCATGATCTGAGTTAACATGGATAGTTAATAATGTCCCAAATTGCGAGCTTGGCGGTCGATACGCTTCCGCTCAACTCCCTCTGCTACCATACTGAGGCTGTCAAACGGCCTCTTCGAATCAATCGGCCATTCATCTATGGTAGGAGTAGAGGTCGAAGTACTATCTTCATATGGACCTGTATGATCAAGTATCCATTTCTCGATGCGATCTCGATCTCGATCCATATCTGCAGCCATTTCTCTCTCTTCGCTTTCCCGGTACCCGTCATCCGGATGGTCCGCACATTGCGAGTAGCCATCGTAATCATGCCAATAGCACCCATTTGCTCTTGCTTCTTGTTTCGCAGCCTCAAATTCTTCCTCGGCTTCAATGAGTTCTCTGGTTAGCTTCGACCGCTTTACAAGGTAGATGTGATCGAACTCCATTCTCAAGTCGACATCGGGGCGATTGGTCTGGCTTTTGGCATAAGCTTCAAATTCGACATCATACCTATACGCGTGTTGGTCGTAGTGTGCTTCGAAGTCTCGATACGCATGCTGGTAAAGGGATCTCTTGTCTGCCACTTTCCGCTCCGCTTGCTCCATAGATCCAGATATTTGTTGGTCTTGCGGATACAGGAATCCTCCAATTCCAGAACCCATCAATGTTCCTTGCCTCGAATCGCCATTTTCGTGTTGTAGCTCCTCACGATTTGTTAGCTGCCCCAGGGGCAAAAGGATCCCACAGCCGACGAAGACTTCGTCTAGAGTTTGATCGACTGCTTCCTGAAGGTATTCCCAACGATCTTGGACTGCTTTCAGCCCTTCATTCAGCTCCTCGGTCTGATCTACGAAGTCATCCCGCTTATTGTTTAGCGTGTGAACTTCCTGTTGCAGCTCTTTCAGAGTTTGGTGTTCGTTTTCAGGAAGATCATTGCCTTGGGCCGCTTTCTTTTCCAATCTCCTCAACTGCTTTTCTTGTCTTATGAGATGGACGAAGGTGTGCTGATCTTTCTGGTGTATATTCTGTCGCTGCTGCTCTATTGCAACTGTTGTAGTACGGAGCTCTCGCTTTGCCAGTAAAGCATCCTGTAAGCCTTGGGAGAGCTCACGCGACAGAAGAAGGGCAATGAGACCTGGTGATTCATCGCCCACGATAGCCATCTTTGCAGGTCCCGGGAAGTAATTGGCGTCCGCTTCATGTGATGTATGAAAGTCCCTTATAGCTAGTTTTCGTGGGATGGGATCTGTTTCCGCGTGCATCTTCGGCAACTGCGAAGCCCTATCGTTTTCGTTCCCATTGCCGGAAGCAGATTTGGGCTTCTTTGATAGCTGAGACTCTCCGCATGAGGCTTTTTGACCATTTAAGGTGTGGTATGTATCTGTCATCGTCGGTTTTTGAGGTTGGGTGCTCTGAGACTTCCAGAACAACAGACGACTGTACATAACGCGAAGCAGGCTCCAGAAATCTATACGTGGTTGGGGGAAGATAGAAGCCATACGCTGCCTCCAGAGGCAGCGTTCGATGAGGTTCGTCATTCCCATCATTTGTGTCTAATGGAGCACGTCTGCAGCTCGCAAGTCAAGCCGGGGGATTCAACGTGAGGGAGGCTGGTAATTGGAAGATATTCTGATCGTGAAATGGTGAGACGGGTATTTTATTGAGTTGTAAAAGACCGTGACAACGCTGGTCTTGCTAGTCAAGTGAAGGTGGCTTTCACTCGTTTGCCAACACGTAGGCAGGTTATCAATCACGTGACAGCCCCTGAACAACACCCTGCGCATCCCACGATTTCCCATTGTGACGCACCATCGCATACCACAAAGATGGCACAGCGCATTAACACAGTTGTCAAAGGTTGCACTCAGATGTTATAAACCTTGGCCTTGAAGTTGAACAGCTATGCACAACTTTTCAACAATAACCTTTCTCAGCGTACTCGACCGTGCAAAGAAATACCGTATATCGGTCAAAGACACAAAGAAGGAAAATACCGATGTTAATTTGGCGAAATATGGCCCATCTCGCTCAATCTTGATATTATTTTCACACGGGATCGCCTGTTTTCCACCACTGTTTCGATAATATGGTATACCCAAGGAAAGACCACACCCCTGGAGGGTTCCAAAAGTCTACTACGCAGAATAGGAGTCCATCTACTAATCTTCAGGTAAGCGACCTTCACGGACCGCATGATCACGCGCACTGTATACTTGTCGTAAATGAAGGATAGCTGATGTCAACTCCACCCGACTAGCGCCGGTTCGCTCAAACTTCTGGGTCAGATTTTGCCCCATCGCAGATACTCTTACCACGTCACAATGCCTCTCGGAATCATAATTCCAACTATAGAAATCGTCCACAAAGTAGCTTCACGGGAAGGGGACTGAGTCTAGCTCAGATGCACTCATGGCGTCCACCAGCGGCAACGACTACTTTGCTTACAGGGCAAACAATCCCCGAAACTCCTGTGAGCACGTTGACTATATCTCCAAATCAACAAGTCTCTACAGCACCGTCGGGTCCGGCTCAACCTGTCAACCCAACCCACAATGCTCGGTCCGAGAAAGAAATACTTGACTCTGGTTCAATCATTTGCCATGCGAGTCCAGTTCGTTTACGGGATCGGAGTATATTATCAGGAGACTCCCAACGAAGCGAAGGCCAATTCGGTCCCATTCTTGACAAAAAGCGCTATTTCGTGGTCCTGTTTAGCAACCCTTTTAGGGGTACACTAGAAGTCTTCCCAATCTACTCCCACAATGACCGCGGGATCGCGCATTCTCTCTCTGAAGTTCGAGAGCAATACATGGGAATCATATCGGAGGGCGATACATATCAAGGGGATGCACCGGAACCTGCACTAGAAGTTATTCGCAGAAGGACACCGAACTTCGCTCCGCGAAAGAACGCCTACGTGTCTCTCGATCGTGTTACGATTGAACAGGATAGCAGTACTGTTCTATGTGGTACTTTGACTGATGATAGTCATGAGCTTCTAGTCAAGCGGGCTATGCAGCTAGACCGTGAAAAGTGGAATGTTCTTAGGAGGGTGGAGGTCGATGAATCATGAAAAAGAAAAGCTGCATTTGGTAAAGAGTCTGTGACAGTTCTGCAAGAGTCACTAGGAACCGAGAATTGGATGTGGAGTAATACTTGTAGTCTTCACTCACTTCTGAGATAGGGACTCGGAAGTCAGGATTTCGTTACACAAATGTGCCACCGCTTGGGGTGCCTCAATGCAATTTAATGAATATCGATGAAGCGTACGGTAACTGTTTTGATTCATTCTTGAGCTCACCGGGCTACCCCAGACAGCACTCTTTCATGAGATTGGTATAGCTGTACCCAGGATTATCTATAAGTATAACATTAGTTACGCGAATAGCTTTCGTATCACGCGATTTATATGCGATGCCGAAATCCATCCATCCTTCTCTTCGGAGGTCCAGAAAATAGATCATTCTCAGCTTTCCTCTTCGTCGACTTCGGACTCAAAGGTTCTTCTTCTCTCACGCCTCCTATCCGAGTAGCATCCCGCCAATTCCACTTCCTTAGCTTGTTCCACTGTTCCCGTGCGTGGTCCGTATGTCTAAGCTGCACCTGCTTTCCCCCCATATTTTCGTGAGGAGCAAAGAGTCTGTTTCCCACAACCGATTCCAATTCTCGAATCGGGTTGCTGAACAGTGCCGCCTTCTCCGCAGCTGTCATCTCTTTCCCTTCCTTGACCCCATTCGAAACTTTTGCCGCATTAGCAGCCTTCTCGGCTTTTGCTCTCGCTTCGTCATTCCTCGCACGATCTCCCGATCTCTCATCCAAAACCACGCCGTAGGTCTGTTTCACCCAGTCTTTCGCTACCTGGTCTGGAGTACCGATATTTGTACTTGGCAGTATGACTCCATATTGCACGAACAGGTTCTCGACCTCCATTAACACTTCGCTACGAAGGCGATTATGTTCTCGATAGTAGAACCTGAAGCGATTTCGCGTGTACTCTTCCGCGAAAGGATTAGATCCGTGCAGGGCGAGTGCGTTGATCCATTCGAGGTCTCGGCGGACTTTGATCGGCGACTGGATCTTGAATGTGAGACTAGGTGGGGTGGCGATGCTTGGGACGTAGAGTGGATTCGGAAAAGGGACGTGGTTGGTCGGTGTCTGGTATGATGGTTGAAATGAAGGGTTGGGAGGAAGTGGGATCTGAATTTGATATTCGGACGGGACGTATTGATGTGGACAGGTGGTTTGCGGTTGTGGGTATCGGCCATTTTCTGAATTTATCGCGCTTCTTGCATGATTGGGAGCTGATGTACTCGATCCAGCGGTTGCTGGGTTCGTCCCTGTTTTAGTCGGGAAATTATTCCTATCTACGAAATTGCCTTGATTGTTTGCCATGCTTCGTGTTTACTCTCTGAGCTCATCAGAAGAGTACTTAGTGGTTATGTCCATGTAAGATATTCTTTACCAAGGTCGTAATGAGGAGGAATTAGGCAAACGATTCTGAAGACAATGCCATGGTGAAAATCGGAAGGAAAATCTATCCCGGAATAAAGAAACCTGCTAAAGATAGAGATCGAACCTGGATACATGGCTTGAGCCTGGTGACGGCTCACTCTCACTACATGATCGGCTTTGTTCCTTTGATGTTCGAATCGCTCGTGCTTTGTGCTATTGTTCACTAAACTTCTGGCTTTGTTCAATTGTCCTACGAACTTCGGGCTTTGTGCTGTTGTTCGGAATTCTTTGAAAGACAAAGATTCTAGAAACAATTGAATTGTGACAGCAACTCACAGGCGTGAGCCTGCAGTGGTTATAAAGCGTCACAACTTCCTGAAAATTCAGAAGTCAGTCTTTCCGCTCTCACTGCGGCTGACTAAAGACTGGCTTCCTAGCAGAAGTTTCTTGACATTTGCATCGCAAGATTCTCTGACATAGAAGAGTCGTAGCTAAGTCCTCCCCTCCCGATAAAGCATCTCACTAACAATGCCGGCCAGAATGATCGTTCGTTCGTGCCCATCTGCTCCCCTGGAAATAGGGAATGAGTCTTGCTGCTTTGAACTGAAGGCAGAGAACGTCGTTCATTTAAGCATGCAAAAGGTTGAGGCTGCAAGTATCGAGTAGCCTCTACCCATCTTAAACCTCGGGACGAGGCGAGCATATAATAGCTTGCGATACTCCCTTCAGGATGATGAAAGTAGGTGAGTCCTCTACCCCTCGTCTCTGCTAACGAACCACAGGACAGACACACTACCAACTGCCAGACACACCAACATGACACCGGTAAGTAAACCCTTCCCCTTACTACTAACAAAGGTACAGGACACACCAAACCGATTGCGAAGTATATATATCCGCTGTCATGCGCGATAATTGATCATACTTTACAAACGTCCGTCCCAGGGTCGTGGGACGCACCCCGAAATGGGAAAAATCTATCTCCGGGCATCTTAAGTCTTCCTTTCGCAAGCACATGCAGATACACTTAATATACTAAGGTTCTTTACCTATTTCTACTCGGGAAACTAACGTGCGTCCCTGCGTAGCGAGAAACCCTGCGTGGCGAGAAAATTAATAGGTACATTGACTTCAAGCAACTCAAACTCTATGCACACACCAACATTTCCCACAGTTCTGTATAAGTCGTGCATTGTGGCCACTGCTGAATCACTCAGGACCCCTCCTACTAGAAAGATTACGGTTGCATCGTCGCCTTCGCGCCTGATTTGCGGAGAGCATCCTTTCACGATGTAATAGAATTTCTTCACCACAGCACTACTATTAAGCTCTTATTACTTCTAATGCTCATAAAAGGGCCTTATCTGAGCCTTAGAGCCTCACTATCCTACTAGGAAGTTGTTATTAGCCTTGTGGCTGCTATCGCACGCAAATTTATTCAAAGTCGCCACACTAATTAGTACCTCCAACCGAAGCGATCACCAATCCCACCTAATGCGACGGCCTATGCTGCACTTGACTGTGCACGGGGTGATGCGGGATTGGAAATGATATCAGGGGAGGGCTAATCGTACACCCCCTAACGACTAATCGTACACCCTATACTCCCCTGTCACTTCACCGCCTTCTGATGGGCTTAGAGGGTTGCTCCAGAGCTTCCGATTGGCTTGCTTCACCTGCTTACTAATTCCGAATACTGTCTCCAAATGCGGCCACGTAGCCTCCAGCGCAGCCTATCTGATTTGTGCAGCTGTATATACGGCCGTACGTGAGCTCGTACGTGAGCTCGTACGCGAGGCTATACAAATCAGCATAGCTATACAGCCTCTCCATTTTACAGTGCATCCTGCCGATTTGTGCAGCTGTATATACAGCTCGCACGTAAGGCTGTACATGAGGCTGTACGTGAGGCTATACAATTTGGAAAGGCTATATAGCCGTACATAAGGCCGGACGTGAGGCTATACAAATCGGAAAGGATGCGCCGTAAAACGGAGAGGCTGTATAGCCATGTCGATTCGTATGGCCTCACGTATAGTCTCACGTACGAGCTTACATACGGCAGAGATGCACGTGCAGATAGACGTAAAGGTGAATGTTCGGAGGCCTCCTGCCGGACCTCCGAGCCAATCAGAAGCGGTAAAGTAGGGGGTGTATAATTATTCGAAAGGGGGTGTACGATTATTCGTTAGGGGGTGTACGATTAGCCCTCCCCTAAAAATTACTATAGTCTTGATTATGCTGTTGATCATTCTATCCATGCCGTTGAGAGCCGCCCCAGCTCCTCTCCCCTGCTCTATAATAATAAACAGCCCCCTTATAAAATCTAAGGTTATAATAAGAAAGCACCGTTAGGGAAGAACAATACTATAAATTCTAAAGATAATATTCTGTTAAGATAAGTATTCCGAGCTTGACCGAGTGGAAGAGTGGGTTTATCGGCGACGCATGTCTTGAGCCACACTTCGTTAATTCTTGCCACATCCTGAAGATTCAGCTGAGTCGCTTTTACATACTGCTTAAGCCGGGCTTTTTCAGACTTCCCTCAATCATTCCGAAAACGTCGAACTCATGAACCCGGATATTTACTGGAAAGATTGCAGCACTGCAATACCGACTACTTACGTTTTACTGGTTTAGAAAATTGATGGAAAATCTGTAAGTCGTGGGAAACAAGGACTGTCATACGCAGGCTCTGGGGAAGTAATTCAGAGGCCGACGGTGCTATTTATAAGGCTGCTCGTGTGCAAGAAAAGAGACAGACGTGGCGAGCTCGAAACCGGCGTTCGCAAGGCTGCAAGCAGATCTCCATCTGTCGCTTTGGACCGGGCGACTACTCCACCACGAACATCTCCAGCGAGAGGCTCTTGTAGAACATCTCCTGCAAAGGAGTCGCGTTCGCCGAGAAGTGCTTCGGAGCTATCGAAACGAAAACCGACGAAGGATCTCTCAGAGATCCTGAAAGGGTTGAGGACCGAGTTTTTAGACTTCTTTGGGGTTGACAGCGTGGCAGAGCTACCACCCGAAGACCAGAAGCTCCTAAGAGAAGAGTTTACATACTCGTAGAGCTGCAGTCTCAGCTTGACCAACTTCCTTTGTATAGCCACTTTGCGTAATGGCGGTATCTTTAAGAAGCAAAAATCAAATTGTGTTTCGGTCTGCAAATGAAGATTGTATTGTTGTTTTCTAGGTCTACAAGCATAGGTGGTGAGGATGAAGATAGGCGTGCAACCATTACAGTTCACTTGGGTTTTACTTAGGTTAAAATTGATGTGAACTCTCCTTGTATTGTAGTGGCCGTACGGGCCGAATATATACTAATAGGAAATGGCTCACTCTCTAGGTCTTATCAGCTCAGCTGAATAGAGGCTATTTGAAAGGAATGGACACAGCTGAGAGGACCCTGGTGTAGCTGAACAGAGGGCCTCGCCACGCTGAGTGCGCGCTAGTAGCAACCACTCAAAGAACGAGAATCAAGGAGAGAGAAAAGGGGGGGAGTGCCTGTACGTAGGTGACCGTGAACCGTATGAGTTGTTGATCCTAGGTTGTAGCTGTTACAACCCGAGTGTTTTGTATTTAGTTCCCAAGTCAAATCGGCGTCTTTTTCATCTTTAATTTATTGATTAAGTTAATTAACATCCGTCCCAAGCAAACGAAAAACCCTAGCAAACGAAAACCTCCCCACCCTTTTATATGTATTTGCCATTCTTCTAGTCGCATATGCTACGACTAATCCTCATTAACAACTTGGCTACTTTTAACAGACCTCCATTCCACAAACCACGACGCTACGAATGCAGAAGATGATACACCCAACGCACAATAGAAGACGTTATTGATACCCTTATTGTATGCAGCCTGTAAGATCGGAAGTTGGCTCGACGGTACAAGCTTCGACAGTTCAGTTGCTCCAGCTGTCGAGATCGAGGACAGATCCAAGTCTGGAATTTGCTGTCCAAGTTGGGTTCGAAGTGTACTAGATAAGATGCCCTGGCAGATACTAACAAAGACAGTACCACCGATGAAGTTGCCAAAGTTGATGATGGTAATGCCCATGGGTATATCTTCGCGAGAAAGTACCGTTTGCGCTGCGTTGTTGCATTGTGCCAAACTCATGCCCATGCCAGCACCAGTGATGATCTGCTGAAAATCAGTCTTCATGCTGTATAAATTATTCGGTTCATATGGAACTGCTTGCCTGAAACCCCGTGGATGTTGTTGTGCTCGTGCTGACTCTGAATGTAGTGAGAAGACCACAGCCAACAACCAACAGCGCTGTCCCAAGAATAAGCCAGGGAGTATAATACCCGGTCTTCGAGACAATGATACCGGAACCGATCACGGAAACAGCCGTGATAAGGAAATAGCCGATCATTCGTATTCCAGCGTCAATGGCAGAAAGCCCCTTAATAGCTTGGTACTAGAGAGGCAGAAAGAACGTCACGATAATGAGCGTCGAGCCAAACCCCAATGATACTGCCGCGCCCGCTGCAATGCTTCTCTTGCAGATGATCCTTGGCGGCAATGTCCCATTCTCCCCGATCCACGCTTGGGAAATGAGAAAGGCTAGTATGAGCACAATTCCAATGACGAGCGTCACAATAACCCGAGTAGAGCTCCAGCCTGACTCATTGCTACCCCACTGGAGAGCAAGTAGTAGTAAAACCAAACCCGTTACCAGGAGTACAGTTCCAATAGGATCATAGGCTTTCAACCGTTCCTGAAGAGACTTTCCTGACTGCTCTCGTGCCGGCGGTTTGCTAGGTACGAGCAAGATCAGTACAACAAGTGCAACTCCACCAATTGGTGCATTGATCCAGAAGCACCATCGCCACGACACTTCAGATGCGAACACACCACCAAGGAGAGGCCCAGCGATGGATGCAAGGCCGAACGTTGCACCAATGAAGCCTTGGTATTTAGGTCTCTTCTCGAGCGGTAAGAGATCTGCAAGGATAACATTTGCACCAGTGACATTTCCTGCGCTGCCTATTCCTGCGATGGCTCGGCCAATTATGAATGTTGTGGAGTTTGGAGCAGTTGCGCAGATGATAGAACCGATCTCGAACACCGCTACAAGTAGGATAAAGGTCCATTTGGCAGGAAAGAAAGTCTATGCTTGCTGTCAGCCTCGTGGGAGTATATTTGGAGAAGACATACAAATAATTTGCCTATTGGTAGTTGCAATGCAGCAAATGTAAGTAGATATCCACTTTCGTACCACGCAATGTCGTCGAAAGATTGGAAATCGTTGGAAATCGCTGGTATTGCGACACCGATAATCGTTCGATCCTAAATGCATTGTTCATTAGAAGTTGAACGGTGAAGCTGCGGCACGAACGACATACAAGGGCAGTGAGAAAGACTGCCAAGCATAACGAGAGAACCACAGGCAAGATTACTTTCAAACTTGAGTAATGGTCATGCTCGGTTTCGACTTTGCTTTCAAGCTGCTCATTTCGTGGCCTGAGGTCGCTCGAACCTGGAGCTCTTTCGCCTGCAGGCCGTAATTGTTCAGTCTTCGGCCAACGCATTGAGAATATTTGAAGGTGCTTACTTACATCAAGTTGGGAGCGCACGGTATATATATTTGACCTTGACATATGTTGACTTTGGAAAATAGTGGTGACGGCCGCAACGCTAGCCATTTCGGTTCGGGTCCGAACGCGAAGCTCGGCTTTTGACCGAAGCTGTGCTAAAACGCAACCACTTCCATCACCTTTCGACAGCTTTTCGTTGCCCAATTGCTTAAATATTGATCCCGTTTTCTGATCGATCTGAAGCAATCTTGAGAATTATGCATAAGTGATGCATACGGTGATAATCCAAGATTGTTCTTGAGTCGAAATGCCGTTGGGCAAAAAGCCTGTAAGCTGTATACCATGCGCAAAACGGAAAGTACGCTGCGATAGACTTCAACCCTGCTGTCATTGCAAGCGACGGAAGCAAGACACATGTGTATATCCCGAGTTCGCTGGGGTTAGCGATCAACTCTTTCGAGACCAAGCGGTGCGGATCGAGAGGCTCGAAGAGTATGTGCGAGTCCTCGGGGGCAACCCGAACGAATCAAATGTACGAGTTCGGCTGGAGAGTACACAAGTTGACAAACCTCATGAGCAAGTGTCAGCTGTCATTTCCAGGCATACCAAAGGTGGACCCGCCCTTGTGAGCAGGACGCAGAGACCTACCCAAACAGCATCAAGGCTTGTCGAGAACGACGGCGACGTCACCTATATTGAAACGTGAGTACGAGACCAATCACCCTACGCATTTTGTACACAGCTAAGCGCACTATGCAGGCCAATGTGGTATAGTTGGAGAGGACATGATGACGAGTTGAGCTCTGAACAACGCAATGCTCAGACGTCGAAGCCTCATTACCAGGGGACAATACTGGATCTAATCCAACAAACAGATCTCAACAATTCTTTCACGCCCTTACCACCACAGCCACACTTACACGTATTATGGCTAAACTTCTTGAAGAACGTGCATCCCCTAGTTAAAATATTTTTTGACTGGGAAGTAGAGCCTATTATTCAAAAAGCACAAAGCCGGGGTATTTCACTGCCAGTTGGAGAGCAAGCACTAGTGAACGGAATTAGTTTCATTGCTATCTCGACATTATCGCGCGAGGACTGTCGAATTCTGTTGTCTGAGGAGAAGCCTCAGCTGCAAACCCAATATCAACGACGCTTGGAGCGTGTCTTATTGCTTAGCAGATATGCAGAGACAACAGACCGTCATGTTTTGCAAGCCTTCATGTTGTATCTCGTAGGTGCCGGTGTATAATCTGCTTACGCGAGCCTAGCTAACAGTGCTGATGCAGCTTGCCATGCGCAATCGAGCTCGACCTGCAGCTATCTACTCACTTATGGGTATCGCATGTCGGATCGCTGAACGGATGGGATTGCATCGTGATGGCTCGGTATTTGGTTTATGTGCTGTACGGTGCGAAGAACGACGACGCATGTGGTGGCAACTGCAGTACATGGAGATTACCGTCGCGCGACTAGTTGGCAATCTTTCCTTGACCGTCTTTGCTAGCTGGGATACCAAGATACCTTCGAACCTAGAAGACAGCGATTTGAGTCCGGATCTGGAAGCCATGCCCGCTGAGCGCAAAGGTTTAACAAACATGTCGCCCTGCCTATGGAGATATAGCATCATCCAAATGAATTGCGAAACGCCGGGAAAAACTGGCTTCGAAAAGATGACCTGGCCGTTATCTCCACATGTGCCACTCGAAGAGAAGGAGGCCAAAATCGATAGCATCGAGAAGATGCTGGCAGAACGCTTTTTGCAATATTGTGAGCTCCTAAATCCTCTGCATGTTCACGTACAGATCGGTATTCGTCAATTCGTACTTGCAGCTCGCAGCAACGCGCGACAACCGTCACTTGCGAATGCAAAAATCTCTGAAATGACTCAGAAAACGCGTGACGAGATGCTTGAGATTTGTTCGAAGAGCTTGGAGTACTTTGTGATGAGCCAGACGACTCCGTCGCTCTTAGGCTTCCAGTGGGGCAACGACACCCATTTTCAAGTGGCGTCTTGTGAGTATTCTCATGTCGTTCCTATTCACTTTTGATTCGTTGTGAATCGTTTTGACCAATCGTTTTAGTTGTTTATCTGGTCCTTGAAGCTCATCAGCGCTATAGCGCCGACACGGTTGCGGATCTGTGGAGCTTAATTGGGCGTGTGTACGATGTAACTCAGGTTGAAATTGATGTGAACTCTCATTTCTATGGGTGTCTAGCTCGTTGTTTATATACTAGGGGAAGGAGGGGGGCCAGCCCCGGGGGCATAACGTGGTATCTCTTCCTGACGCGTTACTTGATTCATCCTGTTTCCTGATACAGTACTGATACCGTGCTGCAGCACTGCTGTTGCACTACCTGTTACTTCCTCCTGTATCAGCATGCTATCCTGATACGTTACTGCATATGAGTTGCTGACCCTAGGTTGTAGTGCTGCAACCCGAGTATGTACACCCGGATCTGCTAACCGCTACCGATCGTCCTGAGGTGATTTTCATCGCGCGTATCACGATCGCAGCCTGGCAGAAATACGATTCTCACGTTCGCCAAACGCAAACGAGTGTGAATAATCCCGTGACAGATGAAACGCCTGGGTGGGTTCGGTTGTTGTGCCGCAACTTCGATGTGCCGTTAGTTGACGAAGTCGCGCAATCACTCCCTGTCGACACGGCTCAGATACTGCCAATAGATTTCGACTTCGATATGATCGATTGGTCCACTTGGGAAAGTTTGCTGCAAAGCTCAACGCAAATCTCTGCTAGTTGATGGCTGAGCCATCCCTCGGCTCTGGTTCTTCTGTGAGATGGAAATCACATCTAAACTTGATGTCACGCCTATCAAACATGGATTACTTCTTCGCTGATTGTCCTTCTTGTCTCTGGCGTCGTAGGCTTGGTTCGAGGTGTTCCAAGTAATGAGAAAGATCGAGTCGACTGTTAGCGATTTTCGAATGTCGAAAGTGCAGTGATGCGCCTTCATGATGTTCATGGACTTCTTCTAGAACTTAAAGCGGTGCCCCACAGTCCGAGCCACATGGCGCAAGCCTCGAATCCCGTGTGCTCTTCCTCTCTGTCTGTCTGTCTTGATGCTAGTGTGCGATTGCGACTATAATAGGAAAATTTCTATGATGATATCAGCGTACACACCCGCCAAAGGTTAATTGGGGTTTTAATTGTTTTGCATCGTCGACCAGCGTACAACGTAACTGAGTGCTCATTTCATCATCGCTTTCCTGCAAACCCCACCTGGCGCCACCATCCCATAATCGTCCAATAAGACAACACTCGATCTGGTGGCTCTCGATCGGGGCTTCAAAGCATAAAGAATCTCGAGATTCTGATCTCGCATCTCGCTGAACGGATTAAAATTCCTACAGTTGCGTGCCTTTGATGGCCGCCCAGCGTGGCCACGGATGTTCGAGCTGTGGGCGGCTAAAAATGGACATGTCCAAAAATAGGCCATTCCCCAGACCGCGCCTGGAGCCCTTTCCCGCTCGCTCATGCCTCGCTCGTTCTTTTCCATCACCACAGTAAGCTAACATGGACCGAGCCAGTCGGGTACTAGCACAAGGTGTTCCTCACGGTGTACCTAGATCATACCGTGCTCTAGCAGATCATGGCAAGGTTTCTCGCACTACCCTTCTTCACTAGGCGCTGGCTTCAAGTCACATGCGTCGGAAATCGAGGTTTCGCGGCAAGATGTAGGGGCAAATCCCAGCGACAAACGCTGTTGGACGCCATGGCGATAATGCTGTGTTGCATTATCAGCCTTCAACAGCTAGTGAATGCGTGACACGTAGGTGTTTGCTGTACTACCCCGCATCTTCTCGTCTGTCTTCTTCAGCCTCCCACATTGCGAATTGATTTAAGTCAAGTCGAGAGTTGACTTTCCCATTCCTTACTCTGCAGAAGTCATCCGAAACCTGTTATGCAAAAAATGGCGCCAACCTTCGAGGAGTAAGTTCCATTTCTAATGTCGACCTGGCTGAGCTAAAGCCCGGCAGCTTCATCCAATCACATCAATTTACCTTCTTCGTCGGCCAGGAGGGAAAGTCCATCGTGGTGCATGCAGCTGCGATTGCTGCTACCAGTCAGCAACTAGATGCACTTATTAATGGTGGAATGGGGGAATCTGAAACGCGATGTGCGAGGATCGAAGATGTTAAGGTCGACGATTTCATCCGCTTCTGCGAATACGCTTACCGCGGAGACTATACAGTACCTCGGTGGGAAGAACTCCCGCTGGAACCGAGCTCTACGTCCGGCAAGAACCAGCAGAACGAGGACGATGATGATTGGGGTTGGGCTCCATTGTCCAAGGGCAAGAAGGCCAAGAAGGCCAAGAAGGGGCGGGTGGCTGTTACCGAACTAGAACGTGTTCTAGAACCAGAACCTCCTCCCATGGCGATGGATTACCCCCAACAAAGTCGGGTATACGATGTACCTGAGCTTAGGGAGGCTCCTGAGCCTCAATATGAAATAAGGCGCATCTCGAGGACCCAGTTACGGACTCAATTCGACAGCCGAAACTACCTAAACGACGGCGGCCCCAAAGCTCTGATCCTGCAGCATTTCGAACCCAAATCTAACAGTGCCGTGGACTAAAACTTCACGCCAGTCCTCCTCGCCCATGCACGGCTCTACTGTTTTGCGCATCTACGTCTAATAGCGCCACTCAAAGCGCTAACCCTCCACAAGCTGCACAAGACACTTATGGGCTTCAAGTTGTACACAAAGCGTGTTGGAGACATCATTGAGCTCGCAAGATATGCGTACTCGAACCCAGATCTGCCAGATAGAAGCGACGACGGAACTCTTAACGACCTGAGGACACTAGTGGTTGAGTATATCCTGTGCGAGATTGACACGATCGGAAAATGTGATGGATTTGTCAAGTATATAGAAGAGGGCGGTGAATTTGTGGGGGATTTCTGGAGAATGGCAAGGGACTGTATTGCTTGATGTAGGCGTACGGTAATCGCACCGAAATTAAGATTCTAACACTGGCATGACGTTGTCGTTGTATTCTGGACTCGAGAAGAAGTCAAAGTACCCCACATATTTTCCCGTACGGTGGGTTTTCCGCGATCTAGGGACGGATATTACATGGAAATATGAGACCTTTGAGAATGATATTCAACCTGAATCTCCAGTGAATGAAATAACGCTTCTCCTTCTTGTTATATTACAGTCTGTGGAACTAGCATCCAACGATCGGGAGTAAAAATGTGGAAACCTTCCAAAAGCAAAGTCAAAGCGGTATTGCTTTCTTTCGTCCTCTCCTCTTCTCCCGGCGCAGAAGAATAGACCTCCAAGAGTTCAGTCCCCCGCCCTTCTCCAAAAGTCACTGTCATTGTCAATGTCGTAATCATCACCACCGTCGTAACTAGAGTGATCATCATCACCGTGCATGTCGCTAAAACTCCTGTCGGAGTACCACTCTTCCAGTTCCTCATTTTCTTTTACACTAATCGTCCATCCGTGACTCTCCATCTCCCTTCTTACATAAGCACTAGCATCCTTCTCATACACCTCGACAATGATTTCCTGTAAGGATGGAATGGCTCTGAGTCGAGAATCAACCAGCGCAAATGTCTCGACAACGATGCTGGGGCTGCCAGTTTCATCGAGCCCACCCTCCGTCACATATATGCTGTCCAGGGACGTAGTAAGGGTGCGCAAGTTGATGCAATCCGTTTGGATCTTTGCAAGGATATGATCGCTGTCGTCCGCGAGGGTGACATCGTGTAGGTCTAGATAGCGGACTTCGGGAAAGCTGATACATATATGCCGTATATGACTTGCGTTGTTGCGCCCAATCTTATCGAGGAAAGAATCTACAAGCTCAGGACTGTGCACCGTGAGGTCGAAGCGATTCTGAGCGTAAAGCAGTGAGCTGGCTTCGCGGTGGATTGTCTTATTCACACGGAGGAGCTCCATAGTGAGCGGTTGAAATGGGTAGGGAAGGGCCCAGGGATCGATAGGTTCTTGATCCATTAAGACTTCCTCATAGATCTTGTTGCGGAGTTCACTGGGGAGGCTGAGGAAGTTGACTGACATGTCCGCTGTCGTGGGACTGTTGATGCTTCGTAGTATTTAGTCAACGCTTCTTCGCAAAGTGTGTACTGCAGAAATTAAGAATAGTACGATGTTATATGTCTCTTATTTCGTCGAGAAACAGGCAGCAGCCTTCTGCGAAGACGTGGCACCAGTCGGGCGGCCATGGCTGTAGCCAAGGCCTGTGCCCCTCCTTGTACTACCTAGGTACTTAAATCGCCGATATCGACACGATGACTGCTTCCACCTTCCTACCTGCCGTTATTGTCGACCATTCCTTTGCCTTTGTCATAGCTTTGCTCCAGTACGAGGGATCTCCTGAGGAGTCTCTTTGGTCGCCTTAATGTGCTTTTCTTTCTCTACAGGCTCCAAGTACCATCTGTTCACATGGTTAGCCACAAGATGCTTCTTTCGCAGGCCGTCATTAAACTCACGTGAGATCCGCCGATATCTCACTTTGACTCTCATCGAAAATGAAGCCATTGCCCAGCCAAGCGAACGTCAAATCCGGATCATCGCACAGACTCTTCCAGTCGAAATCTTCGAAGCGAGGGTTGTCTAGTAGGTAGAAGTAGTGGAGTCGGGAACCAGGGTGAAGGGAAATCAGATCCCCGTCCTGCTTGCCATTTTTGTACGTGCTAACGCAATGACTGCTCCACGAGGTCTTCTCCAGCCATGCCAACGCATGCTTCTGGTATGCCCTTGGTATATGTGGTTTCGGTACCACCGAGCTGTAGTTCTGCACCTGTAACTTGGTGATGAACTTCACAATGTACTGGGTCACCCTCTGGAGCGCTGTCACGACGCTTCCATGGCCAATCGGGCTCCCTGGTCCGAGATAAATGAAGTAATTCGGCATATCAGCCGCCGTGACAGAGAGGTAGCACTCTGGGCTGATGTCCCACTTCTTCTGGAGATCGACTCCGTTTTGCCCAATCGTTGGAAATCTGGGAGAAAAGCTCATATTGAACCCGGTCGCGCAGATAATCGTGTCAACAGCATATAAGGCTCCAGATTTCGACGTGAGTCCGGTCTCCTCAAATGAACCAATCTCTCCCCAGACGATTTCAACCTTATCTGAACACAGCGCTTCCAGATAGCCATTACCCGGGGTCGCTCGGCGGCATCTGCGCATATTAGTATCTTCCAATATTTCCTAGTTGGGTGTCGCGGAGAAGAATGGGGGGTTGAAAATGGTGGCACGAACCCTACTGCAAAGTCTGGTACAAGCTTCTCTATTATCTCTGGCTTCACCGCGAGTTTCTCCGCCATTTGGTTGATCGAGAAGTCTAGAGCTTCTTTTTGCTCAGGCGAGTCCTTAAGATATAATCTGAACCGCGAGTTAAGTTCCAATTCTATCGCCTTTCGGTATTCGAGGTACTCGTCCGGATTTTCTTCCCATCTCTTCTTTTGTTCCTCTGAGAACACGACGTTGGTGCCATTCGGACCGGCATACTTTTGAGCGAAGCCTGCAGTTATCCATGTTCTACTTCGGATGAAGACGTAGACTTTCTCTACCTGGTCTAGAATTGCGGGTAGGATTTGGACTCCGGTGCTTCCGTTTCCGATTAATGCTACAGTCTTTCCAGCCAGGTTTGTGCTCTTTGGCCAGGACGCCGAGTGAAGCAGCTCGCCTCGGTATTTTTCGCGACCGGCGATATTGGGCCATTTCCAGTCGTTCTGGATTCTCGTCAGCTCTTGTAAAGATCATTTACAGACTCTGAGACCACTTACAAAGCAACCCGTTGCGTTCAAGAAAACATCACATTCTTCTATAAAGGGGGCACCTTTCTCCCCTTCTTTTGTCTCGCGGTTGCTGACCATTAGATCTCTGCCATCAGTTTCCACCACCTGTACTTGCCATTTCTGGCGTTCTTCAATCCACTTAGCCCCGATGACTTTGTGTGATGTCTTTATATACTTTCGGAGATTGTGCTGATCCGCAACGTCTTCCATGTACTGATGGATAGCTTCGCCTGCCGCGTAGTAGCTAGGAAAGTGTGGATAAGGAGCCCATGAGAACTGTAGATACTTGTCAACGTCGGCGTCAAGATCTCTGCGGCATATTATGCATACCTGGTAGTTATGAATAGGAATGTCGCAACTGGACAAGACTAGTGAGTCATATGATCTCAGCGCAAATATCGAGGAAAACTTACGCGCATCTAATAGGCGTCAGTTCGAAATCATCTAGTCTCTAGATCAACTGATGCAATCGCACTTACCCTGGATATCTGTTCTCGTACCAAGTTCCACCCACCGAAGCATTCTTCTCGAACACGGTCAAGGACACGTTCTGCAGGCTGCCTACCTCCACCTCTCGAGCTATGGAAAGTCCGCTGAACCCTGCTCCGACAGCAACGACTTTCAGCGGCCTTCGAGTGCCTAACGGAAGTTGCGAGAGTGCATAAGCCACGTGATCCCTATCCTTGTAGGCTTCTGTTGATTCGCCAGGCTTTAGGTTCTTAGGAAGTTGTTGCTGGAGTTCTTGGAGTGCTTCTGCCGCCGCGATTGAAGGCATGGCCGTAAGATTTCAAAAGCCGATAAAGAGGTATGCTGAAATGATTTCTCATGAGCCTTTGGTATGGAAGGCTCTGATGCAACGATATTATGTCTCGATTACATCCGTTCTCCAAAGCTCATTGTGTTAACGATGCGGAGACACAGTGCATCAGCCCATACGCCACCGAAAAAGGCATGGAGAATGATTAATTCGGATCCGGAATAGCCTTTAATGATTGAACCGCCGAGACCAATATCAAGGGTCATGCGCTATCCTCCTGCATTCGGGTTACGAGCCGCGTCCGACCCCTCCTTGCCGCTCCCCGAGCTTAGACATTCCGAAGATTATATTCCGAAAATTGCTTCACCGAAGAATGATTTGGGTTCCTCAGATCTAAGAAGCTTCATCAAAGCGGGCCAATTGTACAATACTAACCTGTTAGCTTATGCGCAATTGCTCGCCATTATGTAGACTACCTCTACGCAATCCAAAATCGGGGCAGTTTGGTCAACATCAAGACGCCACCTACAGGGGTACTCTAGCCGTACAACCACACAACGAGCCGACTAGGAGGACTTCAAAGCTATCATTATTCACACCAGCTGGGAACATACTCCTTTTTCTAATCTTTGAAAGACAAACTAAAGTATCCCAAGTAGGGCCACGAATTATGTACAGAATCATGTGCTAGAAACTAAATCTGATCACTCATTCCTCGCTTCTCTCTTTTAATGAATAAGAAATAATGGTCCCATCCTTAGAGATGCTTCTTGCCAAACTGGAGATGCTTCTTTCCAAACCGGACAAGTTCCTCCAGCCCTTCGTCCGTGACCTCCCCTGCCGGTATGAGGGTAAAGGCGTGCCATGCCCCAGGTATAAGACATACCTCGGTTTCATTTCCAGCTTCGTTCCACTTAGCCGCCATAAACACGCTATCGTCTACCAAGGCGTCTTCCGTCCCAGAAAGAAACAGAGCCGGTGGCAAGTTCCTCAGATCCGCGTAGAGGGAAGAGACCTTCGGGTCTTTTCTTTGATCGAGCGGTATATGAGAAAATGCTGCTTCCACAAACCCTTTCATGCCGTTTTGGCTTAACACAGCTTCCCTCGTGTGACTCAAAAGAGACGGTGTGTACGTGAGGTCAAAGATAGCATAGCTTGGCAGCAATGCCGAAATTCTAGACCGTACGTCTACACCATGCTCGTCACGCAGCGCAAGAGCCACGGCCACGGCCAGACTCCCTCCCGCAGATTCGCCTGCCAGGATTCGCAGCGGCCCACCTAGCTTACTCTCTCCCGCTGGGGATAGGGCGTACAGTGCCGCATCTATGCAATCTCGATGGCTTGCAGGGTATGGATTTTCTGGCGCTAGCCGATATTCCACTGAAACTGCTGTAAGACCAAGCGATTTTGCGAGATGCAAGAGGTAGTTATCATAGGACTTTGCTGAGCCGATCACAAACCCTCCTGGTAGTCCATTAACAAGAAGTCCATAGAGTCAAATGCGGACATACTTGCCAGCGTGGAAATGAAGCAGGACGCCGTTTGCTGCATTCTCGGGTCTGATTATTCGAAGGTTGATCAAATGGCCATCGCGAGCCGGAGCTGAAACCTCCCTTGCGCCGTCGAAAAAAAGAGGCTTCACAAAGCCATCGAGCCCTTCTAGCCTCGCTTTACGATACTCGGCAGGGGTGTCGTACTCATGCCATCCTTTCTGCGAGCGGCACATATCCTCGACTTTCTTCATGGTTTGCGCTCTTGCCGCCAGAATTTCTGGCGACGCGGGATTCGTTTTGATTGTTAGGCTAGACATCGCGAGAGACTGAAGCAACGAGCAGATCGATTGAAGAAATATGGGTAAGGGCTGTCAAGGGACACTCGTTGAGTTCGTTTACAGATGGAAGAATACTCAACGACTGGATCTTAAGCCACGGTCGGGTCTAAGGAACTCTAAGATAATGGTTGAACAGCTCAGAACCAGCATTATAAGGTCTAGATTGCAACGGCGAGACTCAAATGCTGAGCAGCTTGTGCCCCAGTGCACTCGGAAACACTTAGGACGCTATTGATACGGACAGCCAAGATGAGGCACGTGACTTTCGGGAGGCATTAGCTTTCCGAAGACTCGGGAAGAAGAGAAAATGACGCCGCGACTCATTGGCTCCACTATTGTTTCGAATTCTATTCGGCTGTTGACTTCCGGTCCTCGCATCTTGGTCATGACTCTCGCTTGCAGGCCTGCTAGCTCTACCCCGCAAGATTTATGCCCATCCCCATGGGGTACCCAGTACACTAGCGCCTTGTCGCTTACTGTCGTCGGTGACTCGGTGTGTGGGTGAATGGGCAATTCAGGGGGCTATATATCCTTCACTACTGATCTGAATGCAGTAATCATCGTCCACTTGTCTCTGACCTTCAGCATTATTGTGCAGTACTAAAACACAACTCCGCGTACCCGGTACTCGGAATATCTTTCGACCTCTACTAGACAGCCCCTATCGTGATTGCTCTACATCAATCCCTAGGGTGTATCTAAATTAGAAAAACAGACCGGCCACGAACACTTGACAGCGAGCCTCATTCTTGCTGTGACAAAAGTCATATCTCGCCCGTTCGGAATATGTATGGAAACGCCTGAAGCAGTGACAGATGAATGTACGGAGACTGACTTCTCGGCAGCACATTGAGAACAACATCTGCGTTGCAGATTGCTCTCCAATATGTCTGAAATCGTCCGCACCCAGACGACCCAGACGACCTCGTCTCAGATATTCCTTCGCCAGCAGCATGTCAATGCATACAGCGTCGGCGTCATTCTTTTCATAGCTCTCAGCTCTGTTGCGTATGGGTACGCCGGCTCTGTCATTGCCACGACCCTAACCCAGCCCTCGTTCAACAAGAAAATGGGTTTAGACACGGCTCCAAATGCCGCAGCCCTGATTGGGGCCATGAACGCTCTGTACTACACAGGAGGCATCTTCGGGTCCTTTCTGGCCGGTTGGACCAGCAACAAATATGGTCGCAAGTTCTCTGTCGGACTGGGTAACGCTTTGGTCCTCTTGTCTGGTGCTTTGATGACAGCGTCTATCAATCCTGCCATGTTTATTGTGTTCCGCTTCTGCAGCGGATTAGGGTCAGTACTCTCCAATTTTATAACTACAGTACGGATTTTAGCAGTCTGCTCACTGTTATCAAGATCGTTCGTAATCTTGGCAAGTGCGCCTCTATGGATCGCTGAACTTGCACCGCCCAAGCTGCGAGGTATTGCGGTCGACGTCCACGCCGTTGGCATGATGGTAGGTTATACGACCGCCTGTTATGTCGGGCTGGGCTTCTACTTCGTTTCCGGGGGCAATCAGTGGCGTGGCCCTCTCGGTATCCAGATGGCCATGCCTGCAATCATCCTTTGTGGGTTATATTGGATGCCCGAATCACCGCGATATCTCCTTGCCAAAGACCGAACTGAGGAAGCATGGGCGGTTGTCTCTCGAATGCATTCCTCGAAAAGCCACACCAACGACGAGTTTGCCAAGGTTAGTAATGTGCTTTACTTTGCATGCTTTCTCCTGCTAATATAACACTCATCCAGAGGGAATTCTACCAAATGCGGAAACAAATCGAGCTCGACACGACGCTCGCAACGTCCTACTGGGGCATCTTCAAGAAGCCATCCCTGCGCAAGCGAGCATTCATGACCATCTTCTTGGAGTTCGTGTTGATGAGCTCAGGCGTCCTTGTCATCCTCAGTGAGCAAACCAATCCCCAAGCCCCAAACCCACAACTAACACATCCCAGACTACGGCTCCATCATCTGGCGCAGCCTCGGCTTCAACACGGTCCAGATCCTCAACTTCCAAGGCGGCTTCCAGCTGACCGGCTTCGTCTTCAACATCGTCGCCATGGCCTTCGTCGACCGCGTGAAGCGCCCCGTGCTCATCACCACCGGCATGATCGGCTGCGCCGTCATCATGGCTGGCGAAGCCGCGCTGCAGAAATTCTACCTCGGCACCACCGACCGCAACGGCCTGATCGCGTGCGCCTTCATGATCATCCTCTTCCAGACGTGGTTCTCGCTGTTCCTGGACGGGCCCACCTACTTCTACGTCGCCGAGATCTGGCCCAGCCACGTCCGCTCGCAGGGCTTCGCCATCGCCATGGCGACGTTGAGCTTGACGAATCTGATGTGGCTGCAGAGCGCGCCGCATGCGTTTGAGTCGGCTGGGTGGAAGTTCTATCTTTGCTTCATTATCATTCCCGCGCTTGGCGGGACTGTGATTTTCTTTTTGTTTCCGGACACTTTGCGCGTGCCGCTGGAGGAGATTGCGGCCATGTTCGGCGATGAGGACGAGGTCGTCGTCTACCAGCAGCAGCTGGACATGGCGAAGATTCCGCTGGATATCCTGGAGCAGGATCTCACGGGGCGAGCGGGGAGTATGTCGAGCAAGAATGCTGCCGCGCAGGAAATCGAGGACGTGGCGTGAGGTTTTGGGAGCATTTCTGAGGGAAAGGTGCTGTGTGTAGTATTACGAAGGGAAGTAGTGTCTGCTCGTCCTAGATAGAAACAAGGCGCCAATTGAAATTTTACGATGTTTAACAAAAGCCAGCCTCTCTTAGATGCTTTCTATACTCCTAATCACCCTCGATTCATCATATTTCATTCCAGCGTACTATGCATGAATAGAGCAAAGGCTCTGATTGTAGCGCTAAGTCACGAATCTAGAAACCCACCATCTCATCCTCGTAACAAATTCTCATTCATCACGTCCTCTCAACCTCCGTAAAGAAGATCTCTTACAAGAACTCCTTCCCATCCCTCACCTTCAGCGTCACATCCAACCCATTCTGCAACACCAACCACCCTGGAAACAGCCTATACCGCCCCGGATCCACCAACGCAATCTCAAACCTCCTAAAAAACTCCGGCACAAACTTCGAAATCTCCAACATCGCAATGTTCTTCCCCAGACACACCCGACTGCCCCCTCCAAACGCAAAGCTCAAACTCTCCAAATACCTCACCCTCTCCACATCCGCATCCAGCCACCGCTCCGGCACAAACTCGTGCGCGTCCTCCCCATACACGGCCTTGTCCCGGTGAACGCTCCACGCGTTGCACCCGACTACCGTGCCTTCGGGCAGGTACTTACCGCACAGCGTGACGCCGCCCGCGGGCACGTCGCGGGGGATCACCTGCCCCAACGCCGGATGCACACGGAGACACTCCTTAACAACCGCCTGGAAGTACGGCATCCTCTGGCTCTCCGCCCACGTGATCGGTTTGCTATACTCGACGTCCTCAGCGCGCGCCTGCAGCGTCCGCTTGAGCTCCGCCATGAACTTCCCGTAGCAGCCCGGGTGGGTCAGGATGCGGAAGATGGCCTCGCGGAGCGCGATGGCTGTCGTGTCCGAGCCCGCGCTGATGTTGGTGTTGGTGTACGTCGCGAGGCGGCGGTCGGTCATCAGGTCCGGGTACTTCTCGCGCGCTTTGATGAAGCGCGAGAGGAAGTCCGGGCGGGTTTGGTCCGGCGAGGCGGCGTGCTCGCGGATCTGGCGCGCGGTGAATTTCATGAGGGGCCCTGTTGGGCGGAATTTGCGCAGGATGTAGCCGAAGCCTTTGATGCGCAGCCATTCGTCGAGGGTGGGTACTTGGCCGACCTGGCGATGTCAGCGGGGTGGCTTTGGGGGAGTGAGGCGAGCTTTGGCACGCACGAAACCGATGTAGTCCATGGCTTTGCCGGTGTGGTACATCATGTTGCCGAGGTCTTTGCCGGATTCTAGGAATCCGAAGCGTTTGCTGAAGGTGAGCTCTGGTAGGTTATGTTAGATATACTGTCAAGCCAACATTCGAAGAGCAAAGCAAGCACGCCGACATACCGCCACTATATCCGTTAGTCAAGGTACGGTTCTCAAGGACGCGGCTACTCACATTATGTCGAAGGCATACATCTGCACCCATTTTGATAGTTCGCATTCTTTCCCAGTCCGCGCAAAACGCTCCTCGACCTCTTTAAAAAATACCAAAGAGGTAGAATCAACTAGAGGCTCAAATTCTACCAGAGTCCCCAACGAATAAGCATGTGCGACCGGTCGGCGAAGAATACTGTGTCGGGCCTCATCTCTAGTAGAAGATACGTTCTCCAGGACGGTGCCATCCTCGGTGGTGACATACTGCGAGATGTATAGGCGACTCTGTGGGATCTAAGTTAGTCGTAGTGTGGTACAAATGTGGAATAAGAAGGAAACTAACTTTGCTAAAGATTGGTTTCCACCCATATATGGTCTTGACTGCCTCCGCATCGGCGACTGCGATAGTATTGGGAGCAATGCGCAGTAATGGCGAATTGTACTTCTCATGCAACTTCCATTCTTGGTGCCCCTTTCTTCGAAGGTAATGGGAAAACATCCATAAATCAGTCAAAGAGGCCAAGAATGGCCCAGGTATGTCAGAAAGCCCATTTTTGTAACGGTTATAGACCAGTCGGGCGAGAAGGATGCCAGCGCATACTGGGACCCAATAAGTTTTTGTAAAGAGGATGGCGTCTAGAAGAATGGTCATCTTGTATCAGAAGACAAACAATGTAAGGTAATCTCAGTGTTTTCCTAAACACAGAATTCAAGAATGCATTGCAGAGGTGTACTCTCCACTAGGCCGAGGTGTGTGTTTGACATGTTCGGTGAGTCAGCAGGACTGGAATACGTATTGCCCGGTAGACTTTGACCGAAAGCACAAATGCCGTAAATGTTGCCGCTTCCATGGAACGTTTCGTGGCTTTGTTGCTGTAATGCATGGAGTTCCAGCATGACTCGATGCGGAGTGCAGATCATCGTGGGGTCTCGGAACACTCGGTCAGCTCTCCAACCACCGAACTTCCGTTATACTAGCTCGCCTTGATTGGGTAATTCGGACCATGCTTCGTGTTGCATCGCAGCTATCGACAGAAATAACTTCAGTCCAATATGTTTTGGAGATTGAAGAAGTTCTGCATAGTATCGATTCTCAATGACCATCCTCCGCTCCAAATCATGGGTCGACATCCCCAACGACACATCAATTTCCGAATTGATGCTCCAGAATGTGTCCAACACACCTCTCAATAAGATCATTTACGAAGACGCGTTGACCGGAAAAACCACGACCTACGGCGCATTCCAGGAACACGTCCAACGAGCTGCCTACTGGCTCCGTCACACCATAGGCTTCAAGCCAGGCCAGACACTTTCAATAAGCTCCCCAAGCTCAACGGAGTATATCGTGGTCGTGCATGCGGTCTGGTGGCTTGGTGGAGTCGCAAGTCTCGTGAACAACTCCCTCCATCAATCAGAAATCGCTCATGCGCTTGATTTGATAAATCCCAATTTCCTCGTGGTACATGACTCAGTATTCGAAAAAGCCTCCGAGAGCCTAAAGCTTTGCGAAAAACACCACGACATCCGCGTCTTGACTCTTGGGAAGCGAAGCGCCCAATGGACCGCGTTTCCTGCGGTATCACTCCCCGCCGCGCACCCGAAAATCGGCAAGCCGTACTCGCTGAAGGGAAAAGATGCCCGCAAACACCTCGCCGGTATTCTTCTTTCAAGCGGCACAACCGGGCGGCCTAAGGCTGTGATGCTATCGCATTACAATCTGGTGGCTGCTATCCATCAACTTCGAGGCGATAATCCGGATAATTGGAGAGGCAGCCAAAGAGAGATCTTCTTTCCGCCACTGTCCCACGTCTACGCACTTTATGTGTGCATTACTGGTTGTTTTTGGCTCGGCGCATACGTCTGTCTGATGCCACGATTTGACCTGGAGCTGTATTGCCGCCTCATGCAAGATCGAAACGCTACTCTAGCAAGACTCGTGCCGCCTATTGCTAAAATGCTGGCGGAAAACCCGGTTGTGCGGAAGTACTCGTACCCATCTTTAGAATACTTCTCTTGCTCCGCGGCGCCGTTGACGGTAAGAATCATCTAAGAACGGGTGTTTAAAAAATTTCAAAGTCGAGGTCTAACCACCATCAGGCAGAGACCGCTGAGAAGCTTTCAAAGGCATTTCCACATGTGGCCCTATGTCAAAGTCAGTCCATCTCTAGCGTCTTGCGTTCTAGCTACTGACAGAAGATTCGTCTACAGCATACGGGTGCACCGAACTCTCCGGTCCCTGTGTCCAGAGTGGCGTTCGCGACAAAACAATGGCTCTCGGAGCAAGTGGAAAATTGATTGCAAATACAGAGATGAGATTTCTGGATCTTGATTGCAAGGATGTGGGCGCAAGTGGGCCCGGCGAGATTACCGTCCGAGGTCCAAACGTTTTTATGTGGGTGCCTATATGCAACCCGTTCTGTGTAAAGAGAAGGTGTTGACTGATATAGGGGCTACAAAGATGACGAATTGACGACGCAAGAATCGATGATTGACGGAGATTGGTTACGGACTGGCGATCTAGGGTATATCGACAAAGACGGGTTCCTTGTCCTTTACGATCGGCTCAAAGATATCATCAAGTACAAAGGGTGAGTCGCTCCTATCTATTGCCCGATGTTGCTCGAAAGGTTGCTGAGACTCCAAGCAGGTTTCAAGTCTCGCCGTTGGAGTTAGAGGATATAGCCCATCGGCACCCACTCGTTGACGAAGTTGCTATATGCGGAGTTTGGAGTGAATCTGAAGCTACCGAGCTACCTCGAGCATATGTTGTACTCAAGAAGGAGGTCGAAAAGTCACCAACGCATCTGTCGCGGCATGCAGAATCGATTTCGAACTTTGTCTCCGAGAAAGTGTCCACGTACAAGCAGCTGCGCGGTATCGTGTTCGTAGATGACTTACCAAAGAACCCGACCGGCAAGATATTGAGGCGAGTGCTTCGAATGGAGAGAGAAAAGTATGAAAATGGGCCGATCCGGGCGAAGCTTTAGTATTGTAGCGGTATTGGGAATGATAGTCGTACTTGGGCGTGCAGCGTTTCCGTGATTATTTTACAACGTGACAGGGATATTATCATCAATCACCCGTGTTAGAAAGAATCTCATGACCACGAAGTCAAGTATTATTTAAATACGATGTTCGTGTGCTTACGTGTCCCAATCGCCGTAGGTATTTGCTAATCCTTGCATGAAGTCCAAGTTCTGACTCAAAGTCTCCTGCGGGAAGTGTCGAAAGTTGGTATGAATGTCAGGTGCCATCGTTTGCGGTACGTCCAAGACTGGACGTGACTCAGGCTGGTCCATCATGAGATCCGGAGTATGCATCGAAAAATTACTCAAGTTGAAGTCCACGACCTGCTGATCCTCATGCTGCGGGAGTTCTTCAATCACTGGACCGCGGTCTTGTCGCTGAATAGACTCATCTACGACACGATCTCCCTCTTGGCTTACGGATTCTGTGCCCAAAGCACCAAATATCTCGTAATCGCTTGAGGAAATGGCAATTTTGAGGGCCTCGAGAGCATGATTTGCAGGTTCTATCGTTCCCGCGAGCTCAACTAACAATTGGTATGCGCTGTGGAAAGATTCCAGAGCTGCAGATCCATCTGTCTGCAACCCGGGATCTTTGAGAAGGTACACGAGATGATATATGCACTCGACCAGCGCAGTGCTGATGAAGTAGCCGCTAGGTCGAATACCGGGACACGCATTAGCGAATGCAGCAATCGCTTCTACACTGTCTCGTGCGAGGACCGCGCAGAGTTTTCTAGCTTCCTGGCCGCTTTCGCCTGACAAAATAGGATTCTGGCGGATCGTCATGCGGAGTAGATTTATTCTCTACCTCGGTCATTAGAAAGTAATACCGAAAATGGAGGAGTTATTTTCATGACTCACGATGAAAATAAACAAGCGCCTTCGTAGTTGAGGCTCTGTTTCGCCGTCTGAGATATACGATTCCAGCAAGTCCGTATCCCAAGTCAGTTCGGAAGACAGTTGACGACGTACAAGGATTACACGAGTGTCTGCGATCTCGACTTCTCGCCAATCCATTCGCTTCGGAGCTGATGCCGCAAAGAATTTATCCCATATTTCACCCCAAAGCTTGGCGTAATTGATTAAAACCTGGAAATAGGGGTGGTGAAGTGTAAAGTGACTGGACTGTCTGCTCGGATCACCACCTGGCTCGTTCCGTAAACGCGGGCTTGCCAAATTTGGCTCAAAGTCTTCAACGGCAACCTCAATATCTCGAATGAGATATGGACTTCCATTGCGTTGCGCAATCCTTCGATCGAAGAAATATATCGTCCACCACAATTTCTTTCGGGCCGAAATCTCACTCTCGGGACAATCTTTCCATGCAGCCTGGTTGTTCAGGCGAGCTTTTATGGCCAGCTGTACTGTGGTGCCAATGGCCTGCAATGCTGGCTGAAGCAGTTCCGTGTGCATCATATAGAGTGCACTGAGGAGGTGATATCGTACTAGATCCAAGGAAACAGTTTTAGACGTGGGGAAATAGTGCATCAGCTTACGACCTCTCACGTAGATTGGCCAACCTGGCCTCACATCTTCTGCTTTGACACGTTGAGGATCCATACAATCACCCATTGCAAGAATGTTGCACAAAAGCGCTGCGATAGGATGCCGTGGGAAGTCTATGTCGACGATCAGATTGTAGTCGGAATACCCCAGGCTTTGTAGCGTCTGAAATATCCGAGCCTCCGTGTCCGTTTGATCCAGATAAGGGAAAAAGGAGTCCATGTCGCGAAAATAAATGTCGAGGAGATGTTTCAATCTTGACGGTCGCGGGAGCTCCAGGGGGAAAGTACGGTCAGGGATTGCCGGTGTAGCGGCTGGCCGGGCTTTGGCAGAACCCGTACTCAGCAGTTCATGCAGTGCGACGAGCTGCGAGGACAGTGATAGACTGCGGTAGTCATTTCCAGTGAGATCAAATGTGTCCGTTTCATCGCGCAGTGGCTGGGTAAGGTCCACAAGATACGGCGTCAGATTTGACGCATTGCTGGCACGCGAGGTGCGTTGCAGACTAGAAAAGCCATTAAGTAAGTATTTCTGACATGCTCGAAGATAATATCGAGACTAACCTTGGGTTAGTCTGCTTGGGGTTGGCCTCTGATACACGGCGAACCTCTTCTTGCAGGAGTGCAAGCCGATCCTCAAGAGATGCGCCGCGAGGGTCAGATTGCGGTCGCCGTCCGCTTCGATCACCGCTTTCGGCAGTAGTGCTTCTGTAGCAGGTTACCAAGCTGGTTGAACTGATGTATCATAGGGAAAGTACTTGGATGAGTTGATGGTACGTTGACGCTTCCGCCTCCCGTCGTGCTCTGGTTTTGGGGGGTAGACGCACACAACGTCTCGAGCACGGCAGTGGAGACAGACATCTTCGCCGGAGCACTGGGAAAAGGCCGTCAGGTCAGATTGTGCTGCGGGGTTGTGGTGGAGGATACCTTGACTTTCCGTCGCTGGCAGTCCTGGCTACAGTGAGCTGCTTAGATAGGAATGCTCAGATGTAGGACCACGGGGGCTTACCACGCGCGAGCGATATACTTATTGCGTCGTCGGCCACTGCCATTGCTGACCTGCTTCTCCGTCCGGTGTGGAGAGGTCGACGGGGAAAGTGACATGGCTAGATACTCTACGCGAACGTTCCAGGCACTTGTGGAAGAGGGTTGTCCGGGTAGTTCCAGCAGCTAGGACAATGAGGGACGGGAGACGTCAAGATGGGATGGCGATGGTGGAGCTGGCGTGGAGCTGGCGAGGAGGGTGGCAGCAGAAACAGTGGCATGGAGCAGCAACACAAGGTCGGCCCGATTGACCCCAGACCGGATCGGCCTCAACCCCACACCGCCATGGCCTATAAACGTGGGGCACACAGGGGGGCGGGAGGGCAAACCTCTCCCGGTTGTGACTGCCAGCCGGCTTCCCCGCATTTCCAGGCTTCGGCCGGATGCCAGCCTCTTCGAAGCTTCTCACATGCTGAAAGTTGGCCCAACATTGCATCCTCCACCGCGTCAACCCACGTCAACCCACCACGACTGTAACTTATGACTCCGTCTCTGGACCACGAAGCTGGGGCATCTGCTCCTCGACGCAAAATCAGCAAACAAAGTTCGCAGCCGCTCCGCAGAGCCTCTGTGGCGTGTGTGACGTGCCGCGACAGAAGGGTGAAGTGTGACGGCGACTCGGGCCCCCGTGGGAGTGCAAAGCCATGTTCGCAATGCAAGCAGGCAAACAGATCATGCACTTTTCGATTCGACGACCGCCGTAAAATGTACGCGGAACCTTCACAGAGCCACAAACCAGTGGACCAACTTGTTGACTGCATCGTAGATCGTCGTCCAAGGCATATGTTCAGCAGCTCCAAGAACGCATCGCGGCATTAGAACGAAGACAGCCCTCATCCATCGAAAGAACTTCAAGCGAGGCCAGTCCGAGTGCTTCCATTCGTACCGCTGAGGAAGATTCTGCGTGGACTTCCATTCCGGACACCTTTGTGGATAGCGACGCGCTGGGGGCGACCGACCAGCAATATGATCAAAACAACCTGTTTCAAATCATTTTGGATCAGCAGTCTATCGCCAGAGACTTTGGCCTGAAGTCGCCCACGCCTATCTCGTCGGCGATTTGTGGAACGATTCTGCCAATGGCGTCAAAAATGGGACTGATGAAAGGGACCTTGAGTTCTGATGAGAACGGCCAGTCGCACTACTTTGGCTATACGTCGAATTTGCAAGTCGTGTCGTTCTTGCCGCACTCACCAACTTCAAGTACGACACTACCGACCTACTCCAAAGATGATGATCTCGAGCATCTAGCCGATTCGGAGGCCATCAGGACACATTTGCTAGAGCTTTACTTCACCTATCACCACCCGGCTGTTCCGATCTTAGACGAGGAAACATTTAGAGGGTGCCATGCAATAGGCGTCAAGTCGCAGTTCTATTCGCTCTTCCTGCTCTACGCAATTCTGCTGAGATCAATACGACTCAGCACCAAGAGTGGCATACGAAGTCTTGCTGCGGTATATCTCCACCGAGCAAAAGCGGAGTTGCTGTCTGAGCTGGAGCAGCCTACTATCTCCACCATTCAAGCACTTTGCATATTTGGCCACTATCTTGGCAGCACTGGCAATGATAGAGCTTGCTGGCTTTATCCAGGAATTGCCTTCCGGCTTGTGCATGATTTCGGTCTTCATCAGGATCCCACTGACCTCATACGGGAAGGCCAGCTTACGGAGAAAGAAAACAAAGTCCGACACGTAACCTTGTGGGGATGTTACACCATAGACAAATTATACAGCTCTTTCCATGGCAGGCCAACCGCGTTGAGATTTCCTGACATCGCTGTCCCTCTCCCCACCTTGGCTACTGTTGGCCCTCAGCATCATCTGCTCTCTGCATGGGTCCAGCTATCCATAATTCTCGATGACATCATTAGCGTCATCAACGGTCCCATAGAGCTTTTGGATCACCCCAGTACATTATCCACTCTGTCCGAGGCGAGCCTGAGGCTTCTACAGTTCCTCAAATCACTGCCCAGTGAGCTAGAATGGAGCCCCAGCACCGAGTTCCCTAGCTCGGGAGTTTGCGCACTACACATACAATTCCTTGCCACGACAATACTCCTACACCGACCTTTTGCTGCCTGTATGCTTGGGTCCGAAGTGTCCAAGAGTGGCCCCAAGCGGCAGTTGGATGGTTATACTCCTCAAGTCTCTCAACACATATGCACTGTAAATGCTATGCGCATAGCCAGAATGTTGCAAGCCTTCCGCCGACACTACGGCATTGAGAAGATGTTCTCGACTGTAGTCTATGTAACTATGACGTCGGCGCTGAGCCTGATTACCGAAATCTCAATGGGAGATAGCCACGAAGATAAAAGCGCAGAAATTGCTTGCGTAAAGATATGTTTCGAAGTCCTTGACGACTTGGCGCCATCGACTCCGGTAGCGGGGCGTAATCATACGATCCTCAGATCGATCATGCAGTACTGCGGGTGTTCAGACCTAGTACCACCTCCTGCGAATGTCGTAGAGGAGGTCTCAAGCAAGCAACTACATCAAAGATCCCGACTGCCACGAGAGAGTTCGATAACATCTAACCAAGTATGTCCTCCAGACATCGAGCACGAGCAGACGAATACCTGGACAGCTTGGTCTGATATTCAACCGGAATTCGACACAGGCTTAGGGTATGCAGATTTCAACCTGCCAGACTTTCTTTTCCAGCCAATGGGGCCCATGGATCTTGGCCGTTATGGATCTGATGCGCTTTTTGGGTTAGAGCAAAGCGCTATATACCCTGATAGTTTTCATACCGTCCAAAGCCATTAGTCTTCGTACAGCCATTTGTCTTCATACACTTCTCTGTCACTATTTAACGTGATGTATTACTCTTTTCAGCATAGCCGGAATATAATCTCTATCATGGGAACAATTGGTTTTCTTCTCACATGCTCGTATTCTACATATCACCTAAAAAGGCCACCCCAGAAGGCAGTGTCTATTCACTAAGAAAGCCACCGAAACATTGTGAAATTGTGCACAGATACCAATGACCTAGTACTGCATATCTCAGCTCAAATATAGAAAGCACCACATCAATCAAGATCTCAGTCATGGAGAACGAATCATCACACAGAAAAATCACGATCAAAACTCCTAACCATCAAAGTAATACTCAAATTGACATACTCTAAAGATATCTACTGGAAGCCTCCGTCTACGTTGATTGTCTGCGGAATACCAGTTAGTAGGTTCACAGGCTGGGAAAGTGAGGGAGCTGCTCACGCTGCCAGTGATGTATCCTGCGGCGTCGCTTAGCAAGAAAAGAATCACTTTAGAGACTTCTTCAGGCTGCGCTATGCGCTTCAACGCTGTCCGGGATAGCAAGCGGTCATTAATCTGCTGTGTGCTGCCTAGGGCTTTCGCAAGAGGGGTATCAATAACCCCACTGGAACGGATTATCAGTAAGACATGCCCACAAAGAATCGGGGAATGAGAGGTCTATTCAGATTGAGTCAAACTTACGGCGCGACTGCATTAACTCGGACACCTCGATTCCCGTACTCTTGCGCCGCACACTTGCTCAGCGAGATGACTCCCCACTTCGCCGTCCCATACGGAGCATTCCACGGAGTGCCTCGTTGGCCTGCAATGCTAGCCGCGTTGACAATGGAGCCGTCGTCTTTGATGTGTCTTAATTCGGCCTTGATGCTGTTCTTAACGCCAGTCAGGTTTACGCTCATCATCCAGTCCCAGTCTTTGTCCTCAATGGTATCGAGAGCGTAGCCTTTGCCGTTGAAGCCCTGCGTCCCAATGACTCCGGCCATATTCGCCGCGCCGTCAATGCCTCCAAACTTATCCGACGTTGCTTTCACTGCAGCCTCGACGGCGGGGTAGTCTGTGACATTGGCTGCGAAGGCCAGGGCCTTTGCTCCGATTCTCTCCACTTCGGCGAGGACATCTTCAGGCTTTTGGAGATCTAGAAGTCCGAGGTTTGCGCCTTGCTTGGCTAGCATGAGCGCCGTGGTTCGACCCTGGCCGGAAGCGGCGCCGGTGATGATGTAGGTTTTGCCTTTGAGATCGCTGTAAGACATGTTTGCGGTGTAGGTTGGAAAAGATGAACTGGGTGATGAAGTTTTAGCAAGGGGCACAATATCAACACATTATAGTATCTCGTCTGGGGAAACAACCCCGCAATGAAGATGAATTGATGACCATGATTCCAGGGATGCTAAAACGGAGCTTAGTCTCGATAGTTTCCACCGAAGCATCAAAGCAGATTCGGAATGGTTTTTTTCGGGAACAGAAAAACGGCGGCTTGCGGGTATGTGCAGTTTCGGTCGGGACTTTATTCGGGGCAGCTGGTGTGGATGTCGATCATGTTCGTTTCGGAATTTGAACTCCGCCCAGCCCACAGCTTTCCCCAGGAAATCACAACACCATCACCCATGCAGGGGAGCTTGCATTGCGGGTCTAGGATGGAGTTCAGGTTTCCTATTAGTCGTGCTTCTGGCCTAGCACATCGACTTCTCCTTAATAGGGCTCCCGTTCGATACTTTCTCTGGAAGCCGTTATCACTCGCGTTCTATTTTACCTCGCAACTACTTTCACCATGACAGCCAACGACAAAACCATCCAGGGCCCGAAGAATGAAGCCCCCGTCGCCAATGGTGTCGTCAAAGGACACCCCGAGGAGCCTGCCTTGAAGCCGATACAGTCCACAGCTGCTTACAAGGACAAGTATCCAAAAGCGTACGAGCTATCCAAGCAGTACTTTGATACCCCTCGAAAGCTCAAGATCATCACTGCTGGGGCTGGATGCAGTGGATTGGATCTTGCTCATGCAGTTGAAACTGGCCGACTGAAGAACATTGACCTCAAGATATACGAGAAGAACGCCGGACTCGGAGGGACATGGTACGAGAATCGCTATCCTGGCTGCGCATGCGATATCCCATCACATAATTACTTGGTATGTCTCTTCATTCGTCGTCCTTGTGTTAAGCAAGAGCTCACACAATTACCTAGTTCACCTGGGCACCAAATCCCAATTGGTCTTCATTCTATGTCAGCGCGCCGGAGATCCTAGAGTATATGGAAGATGTCGCCGATAAATTTCACCTCCGAAGGTACATCACCACTCGACGAAAGGTGATTGGAGCCCGCTGGGTGCAGGAGAAGCAGAAGTGGGAGGTCGTAAGCAGACGCACCGACGGCCGACGAAACGTCGTCTCTGCCCAAGGCGTCACCGCTGGCGAAATAGGAGAGGATATCATCGAAGAATGTGACATTTTCATCAACGCTAGTGGGTTTTTCAATGCCTGGCGTTGGCCAAAGGTTGCGAAACGGGAGGAATACGAGGGCGTTCTCGTCCACAGCGCCGACTACAATCCCGCCGTCAACCTACGCGGAAAGCGGGTCGCTGTCATCGGAAACGGGAGCAGTGGGATCCAGGCCACCGCAGCAGCTCAGAAAGTGGCCTCCCACCTGTCGGTGTTTGTCAGGAATCCGACGTACATCACTTCCAACATGGGTTCACGGTTCATTCCTCCGGGGCAGAAGCAGCTTTACTTCGATGAAGAGCAAAAGAAGAAGTGGATCGAAGACCCACAATCGTATTTACACTACCGGAAAGAAGTCGAGAAAGAACTCAATATCAGATTCCCCATGTTCATCCGGGACACGCCTCAGCAAGCTTTGGCGAAAGACTTTACCATCAAGGATATGAAGGCAAAACTGGCCGCGAAACCTGAGCTTCAGAACCTTCTTGTACCTGATTTCTCGGTTGGTTGCCGTCGGCCAACGCCCGGCACCGGCTACCTCGAGGCGCTCTGCGCTGATAACTGCGAAGTGATCTGGGGTGAGCTTGACAGCTTTACCAAGACTGGAATAAAGTCCGCCGACGGCAAGGAGAGGGACTTTGATGTTATTATTGCCGCAACAGGCTTCGATATGTCATTCATCCCCCGATGGCCCATCATCGGCGCCAACGGGACAGACCTTCAAAAAGAATGGACCAAAAATCCCGCTTGCTACATGTCCACTATCGCAGAAGACATGCCCAATTACTTCGTCTACCTAGGGCCAGGAAGTCCCGTCGGTCACGGCAGTCTTATCACCTCCATCGAACGCATTACCCTCTACGTCAGCGACATCATCAGAAAGCTGCAGAGGGAGAACTACACGTCTTTCAAACTCAAGCCCGGAAAAGCGCTTTCCTACCAAGCCCAGATGCTGACGTGGCTGGACAAGACGGTCTGGGGCGACTCCTGCCAAAGTTCCTTCAAGAACGGCACCGTGGATGGTGCTCTTCACGCTTTCCATCCTGGATCCCGACTGCACTATTTCGAACTACTGAACCGGCACAGGTATGAAGACTTCGAGTGGACGAGTGGATGTCCGGAGCCAGAGCTGGACTTCGCGTGGTTCAATAATGGCTTTTTGGAACATGAGCTGGAGCCAGATGCGGAAGGCGATCCTACGTAAGTGTATTCTGTGATGCTTTCCCCTCGCGTGAACAATTGCTGACGATACTGGGACATAGGTGGTATTTGGACCAGGATGTAGACACTTTAACGAAATTTCTTGCGGATGCGAAGGTGTAGAGCGTAAGGGATGTCGTAGTGTTATGTCAGAAATCAATATAGACTGAAATGCCTCAATGCCTCAATAACGTAATCGGCGTGTATCCTCTACAAACAGTGAACAGTTTTGAAATGTGCAATTCTTTATATGCATACCGTTGACTCCTTCACGATCTTGTGGACTCTTGGTACACTACCTCGTCCAAGGCGTGTGTAAACTTCTACACTAGTTCGGGAATTTCCAAAAGTGAGACAGACACTGGGCCGAGACGTGAGATTTCTAGGGCTAAGATCAGGCCTACGATCGAATGTTCGTGATCAGTTCATCACTTTCCGGTCACGTGTAGGACTACGTCCACGGATACATGTGCTCTGCCGCCCCTTGAGTCGAATGCAACCAGGGATTCACTTCAACATCAAACATCCAATCAAGTCACCCAGAAGGATAAATTCAGCAACCCAAAGTGACCCTATAATCTTAACACGTCTACAACAATGCACCAAAGCACCCTAACCAATAGCAACACTAGTAAACAAAACCATCATTCTCCATCTCCTTCCCCTACAACTTCGCCAACCTCTTCTGACTCTTCGCAACCATATCCATCAAAATCTCCTCACTCCCCCCACTAACAACCAACACCCTCACATCCCTACTTATCTGCTCGACCCGTCCTCCCGCCCCACCCCTCGAATACCCCAGCCCGCCAAAAATCTGCTGCGCCTCGCGACTAATCTTCTCCAGATTATGTGCCGCCTGCACCTTCAGCAGCGCAGCGAGCGGCGCGAACTCGAGCGGCGAGGTGCGCACGGAGCGATAAACAAGATTCTCCATAAAGAAGTGCGTGGGCTCGAGCAAGCCGGTGATCTTCGCGATCTTCTGGCGGATGACCTGGTTGGCGAAGAGTGGCGCGCCGAAGGTCTCGCGGCGCAGGGCGTGCTTGTAGGCGTCCTCGAGGGCGATGCGGCCGAGGCGCAGCGCGGTGATGCCGACCCAGAGGCGCTCGTGGGTGAATGTTGACATGACGATCTCAAAGCCCTTGTTTTCGGGGCCGATGAGGTTCGCCGCGGGGACTTTTACCTCGTCGAGATCGATGAAGGCGGAGCCTGGGATGATTAGCTGGGGTTGGATGGAGGGGGAAGAGGCTGCGTACCGCTCGAACTGACCCCGGAGTTCTCCATCTTCTTTCTCGTGACGCCTGGAGAGTTCAGGGGGATTATGAAGACTGAGATTCCTTTCGCGCCCTTGTTCCCGGTTCGGGCTGCAACGAGGCCGTGGCTCGCCCATTGGCCTTGCGTTACCCATTTCTTCTGGCCGCTGATGAGGTAGTGCGTTCCATCTGCAGATTTGGTGGCCGTGGTAGTTAGGCCCGCGACATCAGAGCCAGCTGTGTTTTCAGTTAGCCCTAGGTCTTTCCAACTTCACGGCCTACTAGAAGCTCTATAGACCGTTTCTCATATATCAACGTCCAATATCATGATCTCAACAGGGTTAACCAGAGGTCTGTGGCAAAGAATATTTGAGGAAAAAGGACCATACCATCTGGTTCCGTAATCATAAGACAATGCCTCTGATTGCCTCTCAAAAGAGGCGCAAGATACTTCTCCTTCTGCTCGGGCGATGCATAGATTGCAAGAGGTGCGCCTCCAACGGTTGCTCCACCATTTATGCCCCAGACAGTACCGAGGCACCCACAGCGAGCCATTTCGTCAATGAGCTTTCGTATATAAGCATAGCACGATCTCAATCTTCTTGATGTTACTCACAATCGCATCATGGAACTCATCCCATTCCTCCGCGTCTACATTTCCAGGTAGTTGCACGCCCGTCAAATATTCCTTTGGCAGTGGAAATACCGCAGCGGCTAGGAAACCTAATGAAGCATGTCGCTTGAAATTCTAGAACGTCAAAAGCACGTGTTAGTGAATCTGTGCCTGGCTTGTAGATTTAAACAAAGTCAAGCGTGGCGTACCTTCTCAGGCACAAACCCCTGCCTTTCCCACTCTTCAACATTCGGCGCTACTTCTGCATCTATATACTCCCTAATAAACCGTTGAAGTCTGCGGTGGCTGTCCTTGTAATACGGGTGGTGTTTATCGGTATGCCAGGAAGGATCCGCGGAGGGGATGTTGGAGGTGATGCAGTCAGCCATCGTAGTGGGGAGGTAAAGAAAGTTTGCGTGGAGAACTATATGAGACTGTGCCTGAGCTCGTTCATTTTAGCTGGTTTACTTTTGAAAATATGAGACCAGGACGCGAGTAATGCGGCACGGGTGAGGCTCGGAGTATCCTGGCCTCTGCTTCGGTAGCAATGCACTTCCCGAAATCCGACTAGGGTAGCGTGCAGACTGATGGTTCTCCGAGCACCCCGCCGAAATTTGTGGTACGGAATATGAGTTTCTTAGAGGCTGGACTATCTTTTGTGAAAAGAAGGTCTAGATTTAACGAGAATAGTCGTGTATGATAGATGTTTTAGTTCGTTGTTGTCGATGCACTAAAATATGAGGACTGTAGAATATAGGCAAAAAGCAGAGATGCTTGTTCAAAGTAGACCTGCGGGCTATAGTATGGCGGATTAGCTATCTAATACTCTGCCATCTTGCCGCCATCCGCCATGACCATAGATCCATGCATATAACTCGCCATAGAACTGCTCAAGAAAACGCAAATATCTGCAATCTCATCCGCCACCGCCAATCTCCCTATCACAGGATCTTTAATGTCTTTCACTGCTCCAGTCCGTGCCTCTGACGCTTGTTCCATGGCTTTACGCTGCAAAAGCATCGGCGTCTCCACGATTCCCGGGCAAACGGCGTTGATGCGAATGCCATCTTTGCCGTGATCCACGGCGAACGCTCTCGTAACCCCAACCACTGCGTGTTTAGAAACAACGTCTAGAAAGCGTCAGATGAGTTTGGGGATACGTCTGATCAAGTAACGCACAGGGCATGATGTTTGCAATCGCCGAGAGACCGCAAGTGGATGCGATGTTTACGATGCTCCCCCTCTGCGCTCTCCGCTCTTGATAGCCCTCAATCGTTACTCTGAGAGCCTGCTCCCGCATCACTCGAGTCTCGGCTTGAACGCAGAACATGAGGCCCCGTGCATTGATGGAATTGACGCGGTCGAACTCAGACACTGGATAGTCGGCCGATAGCGAGCGAGCTTGACATGTTACCTGAGATTGTTATTCGATAGTCCCTTCTTAGAGGTAATAGAAAGAATGGACCGGTATTACCCCAGCGACATTTGCCGCTTAATCGAGAAACATATGATTAGCCTTTGGTAGAAAAGATGCAGCAAACCTGGGGAAATCTCACCATAGTCAAGAGTGCCAAAAACTTCCACAGTCTTCTTCACCATATTATCTACTGATGTCTGATCGGACACATCAGTGACAACCCCTAGGGTTTTGACACTCGGCCATTGCTTCCCAATCATCTGCGCCGTGTTGCCTATGCTTGATTCATCTCTGTCTGCTAGAACTATGTTTTGGCAACCTGCTCGCGCGTAGGCCAGCGCCGTCGCTTGGCCAATGCCAGATCCTTCATAGCTATAGTCAGCAAAACTCAAAGGCCTTGTTGTTATCATAACCTTGAGGAAGAGGTAGAACACACCTGCGCCGGTCACCAATGCTGTACCATTCAACAAAGCCATGTCTTTAGCCACCAGAGACATCCGCACAGACGATGTCTATAGCCCACCTGGACGATTGCCGACGATCACGTGCTATCTCTCGCTGTACTCAGAAGCACAACCGAGTAGCTCCAATTCGGCGAACGCCGACCTCCCTAGCGCACGCCCGAGTCCATGGGTAAAAGTTGGGGATGCGGAGAAAATCTGGGGCAAACAGGGATGCATGCCTGACCCGCAGCGCCACTGTGGGTGAGACCCTGTCGCTCTAAATGACCCGTGCCATCACCCGGATATCGTCGTCCCCTGGTTCCGAATCACGTTCCGAACTTTTGGACTAACTAGTCCGGTTCCGAGAAAGGCGAGGAATGCTACGATTGGTCGCTGAATTCAACCTCGCAGTGAAGCATATTGAAGAAACGATGCCTGGGAGCTTGCGTTGCGGTATGAAGCAACGTAGAGATCATGTCCGCAGCAAATCGACTACAGCAAGTGCAGAGCCACCTGGAGGCCGCTGATCCTTTCGCGCAAGACCGTACACGGATTGATGGCCAGGTCGTCTTGATAACGGGAGCCGCGCAAGGTGAGTTCATCCTGTGATATCAATCATTTGGATACCGCTGATAATCGAAGAGGCATTGGTAGAGCTGCGGCGGGTTTGCTAGCCCGACAGGGCGCAAAAATTGCCATCAACGATCTCGATGAAGCAAAAGCGAAAGCGGCTGTAGACGAGCTGACGGCTGCTGGACATGAAGCGTTCCATGTTGCTGGGGACATGCTAGATGAGAGCTTTCCGCCCAAGTTGGTTAATGCTGTCATCGGAAGATTTGGCAAGATCAACTGCCTCATAAACAATGCAGGTAGGGTAACTTGAGAAATCTGGGGTGTTGAATGCTAAGATCCCTCAGGCTTTTGCTTCGACAGTGCCCTTCACAAAATGTCGGAAGAAAAGTTCGACGTGATAATGAAGATCCACAACTATGTGCCTTATCGAATGATCAAGGCTTTGTCAACTCATTGGATGGATAAAGCAAACCTCGAAATGCCGAAATCAATAATCAACGTAGCTTCTACGTCCGGTCTACACGGAGCGATGGGTCAGATCAACTACTCCACAGCCAAGGCAGGAATTATCGGCATGACGAAGTCAGTCGCATTAGAATGGGCTCGGTAATTCCTCATAATCTGATTTTACCTTTTTATGAGACATACTGACGCGGTATAGCTACAATGTGCGTGTCAATGCGGTGGCATACGGGTGGATAGATACGCGTATAACTCGCCCTCCTTCAGAATCTGAGAAGATGGTCCTCGCTGGTCAGGAAATCGTTAGCGGAATTCCACTCAATGCGAAGAAATGGAGAGATACGAGCGATATTCCTCTTGGGCGACCTGGAACAACAACTGATGCCGCAGGCGTAATGCTGTTTCTAGCGAGTCCACTCTCTTCTTATGTGACGGGGACCTGTGTTGAGTGTACAGGAGGACGCTATATGTAGTACAGTACTAAGACATCATACTTATTTCATGCTGTTTGTGCTGTAGATGTTGAAGACATTTGTAATGGACTGTATATAGACCTTTTTCCCCTGAGCTTTGACAGAAAGTGGTCATAATGAGAAAGATAAGTAGTTCAGAGGAAGGAAGCTATATATGTACCTCACACATTCCTACCATATCTATCCCTTCGCCCGCTGGCGTCCTCGCTTGCCGCCAAGCCCGTGCTCAAACGTACGCGCCACTCGATTTGGGTGCTCTGTGTGTCGCATTCCTTTCTGTACGGTTGCCGGTGCGCATAGCTCTGTTTGCACCGGCTGGCAGGACCACCTGGCCAAGCTCAACTCCACGGACTAGCTTGTATATAGTAACTACAAGCAGTTGAATTGCTTTACCTGGGTGCAGTTCTCATCACGGAGCCGAATCTAGAGCCTCTGATTGGCCAAATCCTTATCGATAACTGAGGACGTAAACCAGCGGGCGAAGGGATACGGTTATCGCATTTTTTTTTTCCAAAGAAATCTAGACATAATGCAAGTTTTCTTACCATCAAATGGACTAGGTTTGGATGCTCTTAACCAATCTGCTACTCGACTGTACGGTTGTGCCGTCGAAGATGTAAGGCCGAGAAAGGCACAATACCATATCGATAAGTCTTTCAAGATTCCCCTAGTTCTTTACAATCAACTCTGCGTCATCTTCTTCAGCCTCTTTCGTATCCTAAAGATCCATAGTGGCTATAAAGCATTAGGTAGCAACCGTCGATGCGCTGGTCTAGCTTATGCCAGCGGCTACACCGATACGATCTGCTGTGTTATAAGATGCCAGCAAGTCTTCTCAAATCCAAACACAACCATGGCCTCTCTGAGCTGCGGAGGCGGAGTCCGACCTGAAGGATTTCGATTCCCAAGTCGGACAAAGGTCGTAAGAGCCTTGGAAACAAGGCTGCCACCAGCCACATCTGCATCCCCCTCCAGTCTTACACTTACCGGAACACAAGCAAAACATGAAAAAAGTGCTGACTCACGTGGGCGGAGCGTCCCCGAAACCAGAGAACGGGCATAGGTAGAAGCCCTGCTGGTGGTGAGACTGCGATAAGCCAATGGGGCAGGCTACGGTCAGTCAGGGCTTGCACCGCCACCGCAGCCACAGCACAGCATTACTAGGCCTTTTTCGGACGGCTAATTTCGCTCAGACGGCCGGTTTGGGTAGGAGGGGGGTGAACATTTTTTAAGACTGTGCTTAAGTGAGGTTGAAGCTGTGGGGTATATGATTGTTGGAGTCCTGGACGCTAAGAGTTGCGTCAATGTCACTATATCGTGGTTTCTTAACGCATACCAACCCTTAAGGCATCGCGCAGTAGTCGATTGAAACCTCTTGAGGTATATCAAAAGATCCTACCTTCAGCCCTGAATCCCACAGCCGGAATCTCGGCGCCTGTATCATCCTCTCGAAGGGCATAAAGATCCAAGGACCCCAGAGTCCTCAAATCTCTACTCCTCTTACCAACAAACCACTCTCAACCATGGATCCCTCCCTCCCTCAAAAGAAAAAGCAAGTCCAGCACAAATCCCACCCAGAATCCAGTAGCCACCAACCCTCAACAACACCCACGACGTACCAACAAGCCAACAGCAACCAAAACCGCAATTTCCTCGCCGTCTACCCAGAACCCAGCAACACCGAACCCTCACCCGCACCCATGACCTACCACGAAGCCAACCCCAGCCGCAGGCATAACCGCACCACGCTCCCCATCCCCCCCTCTCCCCTGCACCGCCTCCGCTCCTTCTCTCCCAGCCGTCTGCGCAACCTCTTCCGCTCCTCCGACCGCTCCCACTTCCCCCTCCTCGCCCTCCCCGCCGAGCTCCGCAACCAAATCTACGCCCACGCCCTCACCCCCTCCACCACCGCCTGCGCCATCTCCATCCACTCCCGCAAAACCGCCCCCTCACCCCTCTTCGCCGTCTCGCGCCAAGTCCGCCACGAAGCCCTCGACGTCTTCTACCGCACCTTCTACCACCTCCAGCGCTTCCACGCACCGCACCCCTACCGCACCTTCGCCGCCTTCGCCTCACACCTAGGGACAGACCGACTGAAAGCGCTACGGCAGATCAGCGTCTCGCTGCCCGCCGAGGGCTACCGCTTCGATGTAGACGAGGTGCTCGCGACGCTGCCGCAGCTGCGGACTGTGGAGGGGCGGATCGATGATATGTTTGTGACGGCGTGCGGGTGTACGCGGAGGATACGGTGTCGGTGCGGGGCGCCGTATTACCGGGATTGGAGAGCGGTTTTGGGGGAGGTGGAGGAGTTTAGGGTGCTAAGGGAGTTGGTGGGGAGGGGGGTAAGGGTGCGGGTGTTGTGGAAGACGCAAGAGAGGGATGAGGAGGGGGCGTGGTTGGTGCGGGATGATATGTACAGGACGTTGCAGCATAGGAGGTGGTTGGGGGAGGTGGAGGAGTGGGTTGGATGTTAGACGAGGGAGGTTGGGGATAGGGGATGAGGAGAGGGATGGGATGGGAGGCTCCTCCTACAAGTGTCTCGAAAACAAATTGTCTTTGATTCGGCATGGAATATCTATCGAATTCAACCTCAAGTCAACGTTATTTACCTCGAGCACGTAGCTATTAGCCAGAAGGCATCGACTAGCTGCAGTACCAACATGAGTCAATGCATTACCTACTTTTGGCGCACGTTTCAACGTTCTTGGAGATTCACTCTTTCTTGGCTCAGCCTTCCCGACACAGCAATTACATTTGGATTTTGGTTTCGCATTGTGTGCGATAAGCCTGCTTCACCAAGCTTGGGTTCAACAGTGAGTGGCCCTTTTCCCAAAATTGTGGCACACCGGTCGATCGAAGTTCATCTTTATCAAGGGAACCCGAAGGGGAACATTTTCTTATAGCCCGCTTGCACACAAAGACAGCATCCGAGTCCTCTTTATCGATCCCGGTAAATCCACCGGCCCATTGTCTGGCCGGCTGGTGGAGAAGACGCTCTACGAAGCAGGCTTCACCTACGAGGCTTTATCCTACGTGTAGGGAGCGTTCGATGGACGTGTTGGTTCCATAACTGTCTCCGGGCGTAATCATAGAATATCTCCAAACCTAGAAGAAGCCCTGCGATCACTCCGATCAGAAACAACGCCGCGAGCCATCTGGACCGACGCAATATGCATCGACCAATCAAACATACAAGAACGAGGCCACCAAATCGGATTGATGCAAAATATCCACTCCTTTGCGAGTAACGTTGTCATTTGGCTCGGTCCTGCAACTCCTGCAACTGCTACCGGAATTGATATTCTTTCCTTTCTTGCAGGATCTGATGGCTTCGATGGAAAGTGCTCATGGGAGCACCTTTCTCCCGCTTTGCTCTGTGATGGATTGAATGACGTGATGGGCCGACCATATTTCAGGAGAATGTGGGTGGTGCAAGAAGCAGCCCTCGCCGGGAAGATCGATATGAGAATAGGGGACTACAGCGTGCCCTGGCAACGTGGTCAGGCAGCGAGGAGATTCCTGTTCCGGTTGAAATTCGCCGAAATCTCGCCCAAATGGGAGCATGCAGGTCTCCACGAAGTCGACATGAGACCATTAATAGAGGTTCTAGAGATGAATGTGAGGCAGGACTACCGCGAGAGGGGACATGTATTGCGCCCAGGTCTGCTTGATATAGCACACCACATACGACACAGGGTAGCATCGGATCGACGGGATAAAATCTTCGCATTATTGGGCTTGTCACCAGACGGATTTGACATTCACGGCTTGGTCGATTACACCATGTCCACGGAGGAGGTATTTAGGGCATTTCACGGCCTGGTTGAGAAGGAATGTTTCCCGGAGATGGAAGACCTAGACATGGATGAGGAAGTCGGGTTGGATCCAGACAGAGCACTGCCTAGACTCGCCTGAACATGCAAGTCGCTCGCACCCCAATGCTGTCTAGGAACCTAATAAACCTTTCGGCATATCGTAGTTATGTTTGACAGTCGCTAAGGCGGATGGATCCATGGCGGCAGTCTCAGCTATAGCCACCGACTTCTCCCGGGAACGAGGCCCAGAAATCTTGCGTCGCACTGGCCATGATCGCTTCAACATCAGCATCAGTCATGTCGAAGTTGAAGTCCAGATCGAAGTTTGTGTCATTATACGCGTGGTAAGACTGCGCCGAGTCGAAGAAAGATCCATTGTTGGCTAATGGAGTAGTGGAAGGTGGTGATACGAGTTGTGGGCCAGGAACCATAGACTGTATCGCGGCTAGTATTAGAAATAGCGATATCAAAGGCAGGGAGTGATTTGAGCATACTTCACGAATTGGCTCTCGTTCTCGCTCTCGCTCTATCTGCTGCGGTGCTTCCTTATTTTGAGGCTGGACGGGAGACGGTTGTAGCGCGCCGTAGTCGATCATTGCGTTTCGCAGCACGCGTCGTTCGTCTGGAGAGGCCGGGCCCTCATCGCTGTGCAAAGTGCGATAGTAGGCTTGCATGCGCTTGATTGTCTCAAACTGCGTGGGAGAATTGTGTCAGCAAATCAGTCTCGTCGGAATGATATGGTCGGGGCTACACGGACCCAGGTGTCGGCCATCGGCCACTGGTTCTTCATTTCTTTGAGGAACAGACAACCTTGAATGACGCGCTCGCGTGCCTTCCGCGTGATGGCAGGATCGTCGTCATCGCTAGGGAAGTTGTAGCTGTATAGAACAACACCAACAGCCGTATAGATGGTGAAACCAATCCAAGGAACGAGACCTCGGAGAAAGAAGACTCCAAATGTACGCATCTCTTCGAGCATCTCGCACACCATTGTGGCTTCTTTGAAGAGCTCTTTCCGAGACATGCGCTGCCATTGCTTCCAAGATTCTGATTGCTCGTTATATGATTTGGGCGTCTCATCCAAATTCCCATTCTGAGGCCCTAGGACTGGCAGATAGGCGCGACGGAGAAACATGAATGACATGAAATGAATGCAATGCATGTAGCAAAAGGCTTGACCTTGGTCGACAGCGTTGTGTGAGTGTAAAGAAAACAGATCGTATTGCAGTCTTGCAGGAAGAGACCCTTGCCAGGCATTGAGATCTTGTATCAGTTTGTGAAACTCAGACGTTTTCACCCATGGTAGTTCATTGTTGACAGTCGAAGAGCATGCCCAGCGGGCTACCATGCCCCAGATGTTGGCTGCACGTAAGCTGTACGCGATGATGCCGAGCTCACCAACATCGAGAGAGATTGGTGGCATCACGATCTGACCGTCTATGTTTTCGCAACACACGGGCTCTCCGAAGACGAAGTCGTCCTTTTCGCATGGCAGCTGGATCATCATATCCGACGCGTCGAGCGATCGCTTTCGGCCTTTTCCACCGCTGAGGAGACTGTCCATCAGGAAGCAGGTCCACGCAGTCCTTCGCCTCTCTTCCATATTGATGAACTCTTCTCGGGTGGGAAGCCTGTCTTTGGGGTATTTTGGCTCTTGGCACAAGTCCAGCATCTGTACCATGCGGATTGCCATTCCCAGGTACATCCAAGCCCGCCGACCATTTCCTGCTCCCCAATCGTGTCCCGTAAGCATCAGGAGGGCTTGTACGCGACTGACGCTGGGTGTTTCGAGGTCGCCTTGGAGGATCTGTCTGGCATGGGCGGCAAACGCATTGCTAGCTTCTATCTGGCTTTTGAAGGGAGCCGGAGGTTCGCGTACGAATCTATTGGAGTTATTAGTCCCCTATCTCGCCATTAATTGGTACGCCGACTTGCCTGATAGCCAGCGCGAGGATTGCCCAAACCACCCAGATCTCCAGTGTTCGATCGCGCATTCGCCTCAACAACGTCGGCGTGTGATGGAAGCTCCATTTGTACGAGCATCGGAGATAGCTGTTCTTCACCTCGTCGGTAAGAAGATCGTACGGATCGAGGCCTGCGACATGCGCCGTCGGGCTCGAGGTTTGCGACGAGTCTTGAGGGGTGGAGCTGTTGGCATTGGATGGATCGCCGAGTCGACTAGGCGAGTCTAGAAGAGTCGGGGTATGTCCGGAGGTCCCTGGAGAGTGTTGACGCGGACGCTTAGGCTGGCGATGGATTGAGGATGTGCCTGGCGGAGGGAATTGGCACGAGCTGGCGCGGGATGTGGCCTTGCATCGATCGCAGGGCGGAGCGTCGTTGTGGATGCATTTCTGCTTGGCACTGCGACACGCAATGCATGCCACGGGATTCCTCATGGCGAAGACGGCCGTTGACAGCGCGGAGGCATTGGCGGTGCTAGCGGGTCCGCGATGGTGTTGACTTGGGCTGTCGGCTCGTAGCCTAGAAACTTTCTTTTCACCGAAGCTACCCCACCACCAGACTCCCCTTTACCTATAACAGAACACCACCATCCAAAGTCATCGATACGAGGGAATCTCCTTTTTTCGAGTCCTGTAGCACTCGACTTACCACCTCCTGTACTCTCGTGCTACATGTCTCTCGGATTAACAGGTGCTTGGCATCGATACAAGGGTATGCACATGTCTCTGTTCACGCGTATATCAGCATATAATTCATTAAGAAATTTTCAATCTTCAAGGGCTTGACATGCGTTGGTGTTACTCGGTACTTAATTGTTCAATCTGTCCGCACGCGTCTCAAACCTTGTCTTCTCCCGTTTTCCTTTGGTAGTAATTCAAGGCTCTGATTTCAGATGTCTCGTGTTTGGCATCATCATCAAGAGCCCAAATAAAGAGGTCGCTTCAGCCTATTTGAGGCATAGGATAGTATCTGGAAGCAGTCCCAACATTCATACCTGAAGTGTTTTCCAAGGCTCGGTTTTCCCTTGCCTAAGCTTCGATATCACTCTTAAACATGGATCCTACTCCGTTGAACGGTATCCAATCATCTACGTACAAGACAACCAAGGACGAAACGGTCGCCTCTGATCAAAACGTTGCCTCTCCAGGATCCAAATCTCCGGGTCAAGGGTTATGCCTCAAAACCGGGCGATGGCAACTCCACGTTCCGCAACCTCGATCTTCTGGCTGAGTTGCGCCTCCGCATTTACGAATACTACCTCGAAGGCAAAGAATACTTCGCAGTATTTTGCCCCTATAAAATGGGTCCCTACGACATGAACATCATGGATAGATTTTTCCTACCTCATTCTGCATCCATCGCCCTCCTTAGCGTCAACCTTCAAACGCGTTTGGAGATCGCGCCCTTAGTTTTCGCAAAAGTGTTCAAACCCGAAGCCAGAGACCATGTCGGCCTGCTAAGCCTCGTACGCAATGTTGGCCATCTCGGCCTAAAGCGCATCGAGGCGCTACGTTTCGTTTGCAGCAGGAACTTCTCCAGGATGACTTCAAAAAATCCGTACGATGAGGCGCTGAGCAAATTCTCCAGTCTGAAGAAACTGACATCGAGATCCACATGAGAGGATATGACGTTGTATCGCCCATTGATTTCGTCAAACTGCATGGGCTGAGGGAATTGCGCGCCGCTAAAGTCGACATCAATTTCACCGTCCCCTCGTGGCACGTTGCTCGAGCCCAAAAGTGGCGAGATGACCTCCAGACTGCCTTTCAGAGTGCGATTTGAGGCGGCAGGTCAATCATGCCGTCTCACAGTCACACAACGGCCAGCACCCTAACGTAAAGTTGCGATGTCATTTATTCTCTCGCTGAAGAGCAGAGCGCTGCATCCAGCCGCCCCCCGCACCCATCTTATGTCCCAACCCCATCCAACCTCGCCACAACCACCTCCCTTCCACTCGGATTATTTGGCTGCATTCCCTCTGCCTTTGACTTCAAACGCAATTCCCCGGAATTTTCACCGCGTCCCATACCACCGTCGTAGTCACCCGCGCTGGCACCAACGCGACACCCACACACGTCGCATTCACTGTCGCATAGTGAGTCAAGCTCCTGCACGCTTCAACACAACTAGACACTGTATCTGCGACGCTAGCGACGATGTCGAAGCCCACCCAATTAATCGCGCAGTGGAGGGTGTACGGCACGTGTGCGGTCGTGCTGGATAGGCTATGGTTGTTGAGGTCCGGGCAGCCGGTTGAAGGGGAGGCCGCTACCGGGGAGCAAACTCCAAAGGTGCTTTAGCACGCGGTGTTGCAGTAGGTGGATGTGGAACCGCTGTGCGAGAAGTTAGGAAGATATGAGAAGGGAAGAAAAGGGAAGAGACGGGGAAACGCACCGCCAGCCTTGCGCGGAGCAGCAGTCGCCGTATATCGAGTTCTTGCACGTATAACCATTCTTCCCGCCGCATGTGCCGTCTGGCGAGATCTTCCCAGTCGACGTTGGACGCACCGAGGATGATGTTAGTGTGCTTGTGAGGAGGGCTTGGTTGGCGCTCTGGTTCTGTTGCGCCTTAATGTGGGACGTGGATGCGGAGCAAGCGTCATGCTCCATCTTCTTGCACACCATCCTGCCGATTAGCGCAGCTACATCGGCGACAATTACGAACGCTGCAAGCGTCAGGCCGACGACGACACCATTCCGCCGCCAGGTGGACGGTGGTTTGGGGTCCTAAGTATTACCGGTATCCGTTCTATCCCACGGCGCACCATCAGGCACGACTTCTGGTAGGTCCGAGTACACGTTGTGGAACTCGAGGTCTGAGGACGGTACCACCTGAGCTGTGATCTCGGCAGACTTCACATCGTGGCGGTACATGCTTCCTGCGTCGCCTGGGGCGGAAGCTTAATGCATGACTTAAAGGATACAAAAAAAGGATCATATGGCGAGTAGGACGAAAGAAATGAGACGTACTCAAGAAAAGTAGAGTTCGAAGTACTGGAGGATTGGATTTCGGAACGGCTAGGTATATGCCGTCCTGCTAAATGCTATCTATGGCGGGAGTTGGCATCCTACGGCCAGCATGGTAGGAAATCCTGCATAGCCTGTCCTAGCCTCGGAGGCTCCGGCGGAGACCTACTACCATATATTTCTGCCAAACGTGGAAGTTTTCCCACGGAAGCTTTGAATGTAGGAATGGCATCCCAACGAGAGCCCTCGCGATTGGCACTGCCATCTTCATCTTATGACTTTACCCTCTCCAATATATACACTCGTACGCTGGAAAGCTACGAATTTTCCTTTTCATTGCGAACTTTCTTCATCCGCTGGAAGTTGAACTTTCTGGAATGGTTCGTTTGATGTGTTTTGAATTCATATTGTAGGCTGCAAACGCTAGCATGACTCGTGCGGGAGAATCCCTGCATTTCTGGAACTTGCTTTTAAGACAGTGAGCATAACTAGCTGGGGAAGCTTGGATCCTATCTAAGCACTAGGGAAACTTTCCAGTACTGTTTAGCAACAGTAGGAATTGGGCAGCCTGAGCTTGTGGGATCCCTTAGATTCTTGCGCGAAGGATGCGGAAGGATGGATGGAAGGATTGGGGCCCCTACAGAGAAGATAAACGGATTGTTTAGGATGTTGAAGGTCGATAAGCAAGACAGCTAATCACTACTATGTGGATGTCGCCCATTTAACCTCATGCATCATACATAGCTTTGCCGATGGAAGAAACTGCTCTAGGGGTTGTGGTAGAGCTGGCCTGGACACTTATCACCTCAAAATCTCTTCGATGAAGATTACGTTACAGAGCCTCGGAGTGCTGTTCAAGAGGCGGGCGCACCTTAAGGTACATACACTCAAGGGAATCACTTTCATGTCCTTCTAGTGGAACTTGGGGTATCAAAGACCTGACTTGGGCGCGTCCGCGGAAAACGCATGCTTCTCTGTCAGAATTGCGGTCGCTGGAAAGCCATTATGGTGATGGTGGGGAAGATGTTTCTCAGTCGTCTAAAAACCCTGCCGACGACTTTACGAAGCCGTCCCTTCCGCTTCGCGGTCTGCGCTTGGAGGAGCATCTAGCCAAGAGATGTGCACGCCTCGAACCCGCACAATTCAGGGAATGCGAGCAAGATCAAATATGGGCGAAGGAGGTATGGAAGGGACATATCGCACTTAATGAAGAGAGCATAAAGAAGTAGTGTGAGCTTGTTGGTGCAGAGGCCATGGATTGATAGATGGGAAACCACCGTCCGTTGAGTAAAATTAATAGGAAAATACTCCGCTTACACTAATCTTCTCCATGGTTGACCTAGGAGGTATGCTCCGGCATCACAACGCGACCCTTGAAGCATGTAGCAAGCTATTGGAATCCCACGGGATTTAAGGGTGCCGAGTCATAGTGGATTAGCTGCAGCACTTCCATGGTACCGTTTTCATGGACGAAAAAGAATTGACGTCCTAATGAACCCGCATTGCAAGTCGACCCCGCCTTCTCAGAGGCATGCGTAACGTTCTCGCGATTGTTGATAACACCTACTATGTTAGTCCAACCCACTTCTCCTTAACCCACTCATCATTGCAGAACAAGCGTTCGTTAACGGGTAAGAGAATCATTATGCGATTAGAAGACTGTGAGTGAAGTAGCAACGTCAGAGTTGAATAGTGCTGACGTTTACTAGATCTCGTTATGGCTGCATGGGCGGTTTTCAGCGTCTATCTCTACTACGTTTATGGCATCTGTATTTCACCTGGCATATTCATGCACCAATGGGACGTCCGCTACATCGATTTCGTTCACATCCTTTACAATATGGCCGTCGGTTCCGTGCTATACGGATCTGTCATCAGCCTCACCAAAACCGCCATTCTGCTAGACTGGCTGCATATCTTCGTTCCGCAACGCACGCGAAATGCGCTCGCCTGGACTATATACGTCTTGATCACAATCAACTGTCTCTATTACACGGCGGGAATACTCGCCGACATCTTCGAGTGCATGCCCAGAAAGAAGATTTGGGATAAGACAACGCCAGGAACTTGTATCAACACCAACGCTGGATTTGTAGTCGCGGCCGTCTTAAATTTGGCCAACGATTTAATCATTCTGGCTCTCCCGCAGAAGGTCATCTGGGGTCTCCATTTGACTCCCAGCAAGAAGGTCGGTATCTCGGGTATGTTTGCTATTGGCATCTTGTAAGTTTGCTCCTTGGGCGACGAAAGCGCTCATGCTGACTTCAACTCCCAGCGCATGCGTGTGCGCCGTAGCACGTCTCGTCTACAGCATTAAACTTATGCACAGCGAAGACGTGGCCTACAGCGTCTCGCCAGTCGGAGTCTGGTCAATCGGCGAAATGACATCCGCTTTCCTGATCGTCGGCGTGCCGTCGCTGCCGCGAATCTTCAAGGTGCCATGGGTGCAATCTGTTTTCACCTGGATCCAATCATTGACTGGAGGTTCAAGCAAAGGTACTCGCGAGAGCTCCCGAAAGGGTTTGCCGTCTTGGTACAAGAATGCCCCCACAGCAAGGAGGAGACAAGACGACGTATACAGTGAACTTGATGAGTATCGATTGGAGGCTGCAGAAATGGTTTACTCGCCTCATAATGGAATTACTCGACAGAATAAGGTGGAGATGCACTCGTCGCATATGTGAGTGATGTGGAATGAGGGTGCCAAAAGAACCGGCGTGATTGCTAAATTACGCCATTTCATCTAACAATCCAAATCGAAACTCTTTCATCAACATTTGTCAGCGCAAAGGAATAATTGCCTGCGGAGCGGAAAGCAGGCAACGGTGAAACATATCATGGCTACCCTCGCATCACATTTATCGAAGACGTAGCTGCCAGTTTCCAAGTTTTCAATGTCACACGATTGGGTATTATCAGAAATGGCTACCTTGCAGCCTCAGTGTTCTCGACCACTATATGCGGTCGCTACCATTGGTAAACTTACGCCCAGGTGGCACGCGCGATCAGTCTTGCCGCACCACCTTCCGGGATTACATTATCCGGATTCACCAGCTTCGTATCTCTGCAGATAATTGGACGGTTTCGGATGGTAAGACACTCCTTGGTGTATTGCCAAGTTCCAGTACATGCTTTCACATGTTCATTATTGATGATTGATGATTGATTGGATTGCATAAGTGACTTCGAAATCCAAGTGCTGCACTTCATTCGCTTCATTTCCCCATTGTTGGTCGCTCTCCGAGCTAGAATATGTCTCAGGTTGTGAAGAAGCAGTTCTGTGTTGATTTGAAGAGGCATAAGGCCCGTATATATAGCCTATGAAAGGGGGGGGGGGGGGGGGTACTCCCCTGTTCCCCCTTGTTACGGATATGGAAGGATGTAACGCCACTGACACGCTAGTAGTGGCAACCTGAGTATATGCACATGGAATCCTGCCTTGTAGATCCAGGCCCCCACACCCTACTGCTCCTTCTCAGCTTTGTTTACCATGTCCCCGCACCAGGAAATTTGCACTTTTACTATTTCTTGTCCGACTCGCTTCTCGGTCGCAGTACTAGATGCGGGCCGTTATGACTAGTACTGAAGTGATTGTAGAGTTGAAACTCATTCCACCGTGCGCGGACCCAGCCTTCTTTGCTGACCAGCCGCCAACGTCTCCTTGCTCGCCGGGCGCGAGCTCGAAGTCAAAGTACAGTAGAACTTTAGACATGACGAGACTAGATTCCATGTAGGCCATCGCTTTTGCCTGCGCAGCCTCGCGAACCGCCTGAGAATAGCGTGAAGGCATCGGAAATGGTCCTCATTACGAGCTTGGCCTCTTCGGAAGTGTTGGTTTGCTCGTCCAAAAGCCATCGTTCTGGTTTGAAGGTGAATGGGTCAGGGAAGTACTTGGCGTTGTGGTGGATACAGTAGATATTCACTCCGACAATGGTTCCTTGGGGAATTACGTGGCTGTCGATGACCAACGGCTCGTGATCTGTTGATGGGAGCTCTCACGACAGTGTGCCTGGCACTGGTGGCGACAAGTGCAGTGCCTCGTCGATACACGCGCGGAGATAGTGACAGCCCGAAAATCCTGGGCCGCTGTGGATGTCTGCATCATTCTTGAACCTCTTCAGCTACCCGTCTGTAGCAGTCCGGGTGGCGGGAAAGATAGTAAAAGAGCGCACAGAGAGCTGTAGTCGTAGTATCGCCGCCTGAGTCCACCTATCAGCATCCATGCGATGGGGAAATCACGGAAAGACTATGCGTACCTGCTGGGAAGATGAACAGCACATCTTCAGTAAATTCTTTGATCGTAGTGTCCTTGCATGTCTCAGGATTCTTCGAATCAAGCATCAATGAGAAGAAGTCCTCCCGCGAATGCCTCCCTCTCTCCATCCGCCTATTGATGAGACCATTGACCATGGAGAGGAACGTATCACCGCGGTTCATCAAGACTAAGAAGACAAGGAGTGGAATATCCAGACCGAGCCACTTCACCATTGGCGCTTAGATGTGAGTATTGTTCCGCACATAGGCAAACTCCGGCCAGCGGATAATCCATCGAAATCGGAAATCCGTTTGGAGGTTCAGCGACTCGCCAAAGCTCAAGTCGGCAACGACGTCGAAGCCAAAGCGCTTACAGTATGTTGTCATGTTGGTCGAATCTTCTTGCTTGCTCCATTCGGCAAGCTGCTTGATTAGAGTGTCGATGTGCTGGATCATGATAGGCTCGAACTCCCGCATTGATTTCTCCGAGATGCATCTCCCGATGATCTTGCGCTTATGCTTGTGCACATTCTTATCCAAGACGTTGAAGATGTTGTGGTGGTCGCTGATCTGTGTGACGAGGTAGTTGCGTGCTTTGCCAAGTCGCTCATTTTGGTAGATGTCCTGCAATGCCGTGATGGTGTTGAAGGCCAGTTTGTTCGGCCCTTATTGCATGACATCACCTGCCATGGTTGGTTAGTCATAGGCAAAGCAATGTCCTGGACGCTGACGCTTGACTCGCCATATTTTTGATGATCTTTGTATGTGATGAGGTGAAGGTGTAGACGCAGTGCATAGTAGACATCGTACCATTCCGTGAGTTTCGCAAGCAAAGTACCAGGATATTTGTGCAGCGGGTGCAGAATAAGTCGATAGCTCCAGAGCACGGTGGACTAAACGGGAAGTTAGCTGACGTCGCGCCGGGCAATCTGCGTAGAGGTTGACTTACTCGCAGTACGGCCGCGAAAGCCGCCCACTTCACGGTGAGGGCGATGAAGTCGCAGACGGCCATGCCGGCTGTTTTGCTCACAAAAAATGCAGTGTAGTGCTAGAGGATAGTTGTGCCGCGTTGGATATTTTGAGGTCGTGGAAAGAGTCAGTCAAAGAGGCGCGGTGATGTGAACGGCCCAACGGCCTATACTAGCACTATGGCAAAGCGAAATGGCAAAAACTGTGTAGTTCTTGAAGAAGGAGCCACAAACCAGGGTCCACAAACGGAAGCGGCGTCGGCTTGCCAGGTTGCAAGAGTAGCTACATCGCACCACGAGCACGCACGACGGCATCAAGTATAGTAATGCCATGGTGTCAAAACCATTCCGCCACAACGACTTGATTGATTTCCGGAACGTGATGGCGAGCTTGCAGGGCGAGCAGCCACTAATTAGTCAGGGGAAGAGGAGTATTTTGGTAGCGGTCGAGAGCATTTATAGTACGGATGAGGACTTCTGCCCGCTGAGGGAGCTAGTTGAGGTTGCGAAGGAGATTGCTATTAGGTTGTATACGTTTAAGAAGGCGTTGGCTTCGAATGGAGGTGAGTGCACTCCCTGGCTGTGCGACGAACTATTTTGGAGAAAGCTGGAGATTGAAGGCTAATGGTCCGGAACCGTTTGCAGAGCTGATACCATTCAATGCCGAGTCTCACTCAGTGTGGTCGACAGCGTTGGTTCACGTAGTTCCATTCAAAAGCGTCCAAGGCTCCATACAGATGCGTAAACACGCCAAGGACGATAAATGAATGGAATATCTGGCGAGAGGCGCCCCAGATATCGAACCTCTCGGGTTTCCATGACTCAGGAAAATGGGTCTACAGTGCATCAGTCAACGTCTCGCCTTGTACTAGTGGTATGGCCTACTGCATAAAGCATAACCCCGATGATTATAAGTAGGCCTTCTAGGTAATAGTACCTAAGACCTGCCTGCTTGTCGAGTTGCTCGTAAGGAAATATGCACGCAGCGTGGATAATTGGGGCAAATGCCGAGAATCCGGTGGCCACAAAGGCTGAAAGGCGTATATTTTTCGATTTTGTGCCCTGCAGACGAGGATTCAAGACGATGAAGCCAGCCAAGAAGCTCAAATGCCGATCTGGAAAAGCCCAAATCAGTAGCGATTCATCGAACGGGTACCAAGGCAGGGAACGGAGGGCTAAAAGCCGGGGACTATATGACACCATACGTACCATAGACCAATAGTTTTTCTGTAGATTAGGCTCACAATAGGAGCCGACGTAGATTCCCGATATGAAGGAGCCCAGTATTTGAAGGACGATGGTGACATAGTCCAAACAGCCCCAAAGATCGCTCCAACGAGCAGAGTGGCACAGCAGCGTGTGTAAGTCGACGAGATACCAAAGCAGACCACTGAAGTTGTCGAGTGGATGTGGAAAACAAGCTGGTCCTTCCAGAAAGCCTTAGGGAAGTGAGAGTTGAAATGCCGGGCTAGTACGTAGTTTCCTAGCAAAGCCGCCAACACGGCGGGAACAAGGTGTGAGTAAATGTTGACCGTCTCGTTATGGAGGTACGCCAAGCTCTCAACGCAAAGGACGAAAGACTTTGTGACGGGTCGATAGCCTGTATGGATATAATCATTATGGGCATACCAAGAGGGGACTTGATCGCTATTGAGCAGTCGCGGGACGAAGCTATTTTCGTTCAACGCTAGAGTATCATCTCGGGACGGCCCGCTATATGCCTTAGCGGATAGGGACAGTTTTGTGAGAGCCATGTCTCGTAAGCTGCGGAACTTGAAGACGAATTTTGGAGAGCTTGAATTGCGTTGGGCCGCAGGCGGAATAAAATAGAAGAAGAGAGCTGGAGAGGAAGTTTAGCAGAGAGAGGATCAGGCTTCAAAAGCCTGTTGGAGTCGGAGCTGATGACTTGTTCAGCCTGACCCTTTTTCGCTCGCTGTGTGCCGCCTGCCACGTCGGTCGTGGCACGCCTCTCCACGCCGTGGAGTCAAAGCAAGAAGATTTTATATGAAACTCCTTTCGAGCCTAGGGAGCTCCCGCTAGTATAGGAATTCTAGAGCATCTTTCCGATCGCCTTCATATATGCCATAGCCCGATTTTATATCCTCGTTGATTCCCTTCTTGGCTTAAGGTCTTTGCCTTTGTCGGCATATCTTATGGTGAACTGGTCATCATTCATTCCCCACATCTGAGATTCATGACTCGCTATTCGGCAATCTAGAGCTGGCACCTAAATCATTTCTCTTGACATTCCATTATATGATTTTTTCCTAGGCTGGTAACTTTTCTTTTTCGTCTAGATCTAGTGTAGTATCTGTAAAGCTCACGAGATGAGGGGTTATTTTCACGATGAACAAAGCCCCCAGAAATCGTTTTCTCGCTCCCTCGAAAAGCATCGAGCTCGAGCATACTGACGGGAAATGGAGTTCTTGGAAGCACAGCGCAAGGTCTCGTTGGTTATAGGACGTCTATGTTTTGGGACAATCTTTTCGGTTACGCAAAACAGATTTCAAGCAAGTTGAATAGTGTTGAATAGCCGATGATTTGAAAGAGAACCCACTGTTTTTGTGAAAATGAAACGCTATCGCAACAGTAACTTGAAGGTTCGTGGTTCGAGAGTGCTAGTGTCCTAAACATGAGGCGCTGTAGAATTGGAATCCAATTTTGGCAGACCAAGCTTGCAATTCCAATGCGATTCAATTTGCCCTCCGACACTCAACAAGTCTTAGCGCAGCCATCCAATATTCGTGCTTCGTCTTTCCAAAATCCACGCCCCATATGAATCGATCCGCCAAGGTCTCTTAGCCTAACGATTGCAGATATAACTCTGCAGTAGGTAGTCGAAGCCGTAATCAGCCAAGTTCGTCGAGCCGCTTCCGGAAAGATGAATCGACCGAGCGCCGCCAGTCTGGTAGCAGTAGGCATTACTGCGGACAAAAAATTATTAGCCCGAACGTCCCCTTGAAAACGGAACATGGAGATGCAGTACGTACTCGGTGAGGGTGCAAATGCATCCGTCCTCGATGACGAAGCTAGAGGCGTCGTTGGAGCTGCAGGTTGGACTTAGCTACTTTGCACTTTGGGCACAGTGAGGTCAGGCAAACGTACTATTGCTCCCCAATGTCAGAGGCGATGGAGATGCAGTCTGCACTTGGGCCTGTGACATCAACACATTGCCCACTGGAATTTGGGCCGGTGCAGATAAGGACTCTGCACGTGTCGGCGGAGGTGCCCGGGCGGATTGCAAGCGAAATGGGGGCATCGAAGATTGTTGGGAGGGCGGTGGTGAGGGAGAGAAGGCCGAAGAGGCTGATAGTCATGGCTGTGAGCGAGTGAAGCATTTTGGCCGGATTTCCAAGGATCGCCAGTGGTGTATCGTCTGGGCTGTAGGTGGGTGAAGGAGATATGGACGTCTTTGTAGGAGAAGAGGGCAGCAAAATCCGGGAGCTGAATAGAAACTGAAGTGGTGACAGGTGAGATGTTCCAGAGACGTAAGCGCGTCTGAGCGTGAGTGGCTGCTCTGCCTTTATAGAACGAGGCAGTCGGAATGGACGAGTTGCATCTGATTACCGCAAACGGCAAGGGTGGTGGTTGCGGTAGGTATCGCAGGTGTAAAATGTGCAACGACAGATTCGTTCGTATCGTAAACCACATGGCTGATGGCAATGCTGCTGTCGATTTAGAAGGTAGTGCGATTGGAAAGACTTCTATTGAATTTAAGCCATCTTAGCGATTCTTGCCTGCTGCTCGACCAATCCTTCATGCAGTCCTTTGTATAAATTTTCATCGACCTCTAGCAAGATGATCTATTTGCTCACGTCCCTAGTCACTATAATTAGTTGACTAGAAAGGCGAATACACGAAACGAAATTAGGGCGTGGCTGAACTGTGACACGAACGAGACCTCATCTACAGAGGACCTGAGGTCAGACTGACCGAGCTTAGGAAACTCCCATTGCATCAAAGGATGACATATCTCGACTATGTCTTTTGTGCTTACTCTGCGATGAGGCACCTGCTCGATTGCAGCATGTCGAGTAACGTTATTGCCGTGGTCATCTGTAGCAATTTTAGGTGTGACGCACCCCGCCATATTCACGACGGCTGATGACACCTCGCTTGGCAAGATGTGATGGCACGCGTCCGAATATAGGCAGCGCGTAAGAATAAAGACTGCGACCTTGAATGCGGGGAATTGATGAGAGAACTTGAATGAGGGCTGGTAGAGCGATGGTGACCTAAGAGACAAAATTGATGGGACAGGAGATCAAGCAAAAGCAACGGTAATGCGCTTTCTCTGTGTATTTGCTAGTAGCTAGCAGTTGACATGGCATCCACAGGCGTTTCGATGGGTCTGGCCTCGAGACTGATCCTATGACTTTACAATACGCAAACTAAGTAACACCAGTGAGACATCCGCAAGCGAGTCACAAGGTTATAAGTTGAGCCCAGGAACATGATCATCGGTTTGGTATTCCAATAGAAGTCATCTGTGAAAGTATTCATGTCTACCAAAACGCCGAAGATGGATTACGCGTGTTCACCAACTCAGCGAACACGGCCCGCTCGACTGGGGCGCTGCGGAAAAGTGTCATATGCCAGATTCGAATGGGATTCAGACGGAGGATATTCGAGATATGGGCAGAGAAAGCAACGATGGGGGTTAGCATGTTCGTGAGATGATCGAAGGTGAAAGTAAGTGAAAGCGGCAAGGTCCGCAAGCAATCAAGCACATGCCAATACCACGTGAATATCACGTGAGCATTTCTATCCCTGGGCTTCAGTAGAACAAGTCCTATCAGAGCCTTTTATGATTTAGTTCAGTCATGTAGCGGTAGAAAATTGACTAGACCCTTAGATTTTTCTGAAGCTCGCCTAGGTCATAGCCACAAGCCCACAACGCGTCCGACCATGTCCCCCTGTCACGTGCTGTGACCTATCACAGGAACGTCAGCCGAGATTCTCATCATTAGTTCCAATTCGCTCACACATGGTAGGTGATCCTTCAAAGTAATGTTCGTCGGCAACAGCGCGGGTGCAGCTTCGGCGCGCTCCCATAGAATACCACTGCGTACGGCGGCTGCGACGACCAGCCGTTCTAGATTCCGTGGGTTGCAATACTTCCGACGACTCGATGACCTGCCGCCGGACCAAACGCTGCACACTTCAATTGTCGATTTCACCTTGACGCGATGGTTACCTGCGTCTGATGGCGATGACATCTAGGTTATTCCTAAAGATCGCTTCGACTCGCAAAAAGGCCCTCGGCCAGGTCCCAAATGCCTCGAGGGACCGACTCCACAAGAGGAGTGACTTCCGACCGATGGGAGGCAAGGGTATTCTAGCAGCAACGATGGCTTCGCGATCACCGTGACCAGCAATGGCTTTGCCGAATCCGCTCGACTGCATACCCAGAACCACTGCAGAACCAGAACTTGGGGCCAACGTATTGATCTCCAATGCTTTGGGGCTCTCAGTACCGTCGGTCTGGCGCATACAGAGGTATGCATCCCCGTCGTTCCAGGGAGGGCCAGCTGATGGGTCTAGCTTTTGATGGGGTGGCCCATGTATGGGCCCTGTTGATGTTGACGGCTCGGTATGGTCTCGCTTAGCTAGAGCATTGGTTATATATCACGATTATTGCGCGACCACGACCGCCCTCTTGTAGATTCTCAGGAAGGGCACGAGATAAGAACGTGCATACTCCGACAGCCAGGCGACGCCCTTCTCGAACCCGCTAGCTTGGATAGCAGCTTGTTAGTCCGACAATCGCATTGAAATGTAGGCGCTTTTGCTTCCCTAGAGCATGAGTTATATGTGGCGATTATTGCGCAACAAGGAGCAACCTCTTGTAGGCACTCTTAGGGTTGGCACAAGATAAGGACATGCATATTGGGGAAGGCGGTGCGATTCTCGACCCGCTAGCTTGGGTAGCAGCTGATGACCCCAATATTCGGATTCCAGTGTGGAGTTTACATGGGGTGATAGGAAGGCGTGATTGCAGATCACAATGAGCACACGTCGTGCCTACATGCATTTATAGAGTATAGAGGTACCACAGATAAAAACTGCGGTGCGACCATAGACCTCGTTTCCATCTCCCAGCTTTACCAGTGGCGACGACAACACCAATCCAACATGGGACACGCAGAAGATGACATTGGCCTAGACAGCCGGGAAGTGGGCTCCAGGGAGAACTTGCTCGAGGTGAAACCCATCAAAACGTGGAAGGGCTACCTCTGGGACACATGGGAGCTTCCTAAGGACCAACGCTGGTTGCTGTTCAAGTTGGACGCGTTCGTGCTCACCTTTGCCTCGGTAAGTGCCAATCTTCTCTCCCTTTGGAAGAAATAAAAGCATTCTGACATAGAGGTACTCAGGTCGGATACTTCCTAAAGAATCTCGATCTATACAATGTCAACAATGCTTTCCTTAGTGGCATGGAAGAAGACCTGTCGATGTACGGCAATCAACTCGTGACCTCTACGTCCATCTACACAGTCGGCTATGTCATTGGGCAGATACCGTGCAATTTGCTGCTGACCCGGGTGTCGCCACGGTGGGTCATACCTGCAGTATGTACCTCTTCCTATCCCTATATCTTGCGCCAGCCCCGCTGATGTTGTATCCACAGCTCGAGGTAGGCTGGGGAGTATGCACCATCTGTCAAGCGTCCGTAAAGTCATACCAGGGCCTCTATGCCTTGCGGTTCTTCGTAGGGCTCTTCGAGTAAGCACAACCCCAAGCCCCAAGTCCGTCAACCTTGAATTCAATAGAGATTAATCTCACCGAACAGATCTGGCTTCTATCCGGGCATCCATTACTTACTCGGGTCATGGTACACCCCGCAGGAGCTTGGCAAGCGTGCTATGGTATTTTGGCTCGCCGGCTCGATCGGGCAGCTCTTTAGCGGTTTCCTGCAAGCGGCTGCCTACACGAACCTGAACGGCGTGGACGGCCATTCGGGTTGGAGATGGCTATTTATCATAGACGGCATTATCACACTGCCGCTCGCCGCAATCGGCTTCCTTTTCTTCCCCAATCTACCGCAGGGCGGGAAGAAGACGTGGTGGACAACCGAGGAGGAGCACATTCTTTCAGTCAAGCGTATGGATGCTATTGGGCGCAAAGGAAAGGAGCCCTGGTCAAAGGCTAAGGCCAGGAGAATCTTGCTGAGCTGGCACACCTACCTCCTTCGTACGTACCTCCATGTTCTGTGTCTTCCTAGGCTCGAGGCCCGCGCTAACCATCAAGTCTAGCGATGTTGTATGTCCTCTGGAATAACGCCGGGCCGCAGCCAGCCATGGGATACTGGCTGAAGAGCTTCAACAAGAAGCCTCATCCTGTCCCCGGCACTACTTTCACAGTGCCGCAGATCAATAACCTTCCTCTTATCACATCCGGTGTCTTCATCGCTATGGCTTTCGTTTGGGGCTGGCTTTCCGATGGACCTATGCGCGGCGCACGCTGGCCCTTCATCTATATCGGCGCGGTCATTTCGGTGAGTTCTGGAGCCCTGCGTATCGTCGTATTCCTAGGTCACTCGCTAACCAATGCTGGTTTCGCACTTAGCTCGTCTTCTGTGTTCTCATGCGTCAGATGCCGCTGTACGAAAATATCTATGGCCGTAAAGTTGTCTATTGGCTTAGTCAAATTGGCTGGGGCGCCGGTCCACTCATCCTTAGCTGGATCAACGAGATCTGCTCGAACGACACGGAGAAGAGAGCGTTGCTTGTCGCAATGGGCAACGACTTTGCGTATGTCGTGCAAGCGGTTGCACCTAACTTTGTATGGAAAACAACAGATTTCCCGGCCGCGAGGAAGGGATACCTGTGGAGTATCGTCCTGGAGATACTGCTCAGTAAGTCTACCCAACGTCACCTAAAGCACTCTAAGAATGCTAACAAGTCCTTTTTTTCTTAGTCGCCCTGACTGCTGTCGTTCAGGTTCTTCTCTGGCTAGATAAAAAGAAAGCGGCCAGCAAAGCACGTGTGTTCGACGGCTCGTTGCCAGGCTCGCAAGGTAGTGATAGCCCACCACTGCAGGCAAGCGATATCGATGAGAAGAGGGTCGATCGCACTGAAGTCAACCCGGTTGGTCTGCGCTAGACTGCGAAAATATTGGTTCTAAAAACGCTGATGTTCGACCCTTTTCTTGATGGTGGTAGTGTTTCCACGAATTCCTATGCCGGAATGGAGTTGAAGAGCGCTAAGTGCTATTTGTTAGCTATACAGTATAACCTCGGTATTACGAATCGCAATATAACAAATTCACATAATAATGAACACGCGTGCTCTCACAGAGGGCGAGAAAACGGAAGCAGAGAGGCCTGCAGGCAACCGAGCAAGAGCCAGTAAACACATGGAATCACGTGACCGATTTCTGATATCCTGGGCCTTAATGGAACGACTCCTAGCAGAGCCTAGTAGCAGTCCTTTTAGGTAGTAAGAGATTGAACAATACCAACTCTTAAAGCTTGTCCTAGCACTAGATCATCTCTTCCCTACACCCATCTTACCCCGCCTATACTTGACCAACGATCGGTCTGCGAGAGAGCTTGTGTGTCACCGCGTGCCGTGATTGGTCGTCCGACTATACAACATGCAGATGGAGTGCGAGCTAGGATCACGGATGTGGCATGTGTACCTAGAGCAAGTAGAATGCTGCATGCCGCAGAAAACTCTGCCGAGGGTGGTAAATCCGTGTTCAACAAAGTGCCGAGACGGCGATTCTGAATATGTAGGAACGGACTTGGTCGAACCCGTGGGGAATAGGCTTTCGTCGCCAGCAACATGGGATGCTGGTCGTGGTTTACGCAGGCTCTGTCATGCTCACAGGATACTTCGGACCCGCGACACATGCCATATCAAGGCAGGAGATCAGAAAAGCGGGACCAATTTGCATCCTGGAGCGATTGGCGCTAATTAGGGGACAGCTTTGTAAATAGGACGAGCTTAATTACCACCCCCCCTTTCTCTCCGCACCACCCCCCTTTTCTCTTCCTACTACCCCCCCTACATTTAGTCTAGCTTCGGCTCGTAACAACTTTGTTCC